AGACTAAGTGTTGGATCTTAGTGCCATCACGAGGCAGAAATTTGGTGAGAAATTTAACCCCGTGACAAAAGGAATGGTACCTATAGCCAAAAAGCTGGCAATGTCTACATACCATGGTACCTCAGTGATGACAAGAAGTTGCTCATAAGAGAAAGTCTCTTTGATTAGTGAGGGTTCTTCTTTCTTGTCATAGTTTAACCTGGAAAGATGGTTGGCCACCACATTCTCCACTCCTTCCTTGTATTTGATAATGAGATCAATTTTCTTTAGTAAAAGCATCCATTGGTGAAGGAGTAGCTTGACATCCTTTTCATGATCAAGTACATTAAGGCTACATCGTCAATAAAAATAATAATTGAGGACCCAACTAGATACGACCTGAACTTATCCGAAGTAAATACTACTACAAGAAACTTCTTTTCTGCTGTGAAATAGTTCATTTGTGCATCATTCAAGGTCTTGCTCACGTAGTATATAACATACGTTGCTTATCCTTCCATTGTCCGAAAACAACACTTACAACATAATCACTAGCATCACACAAGTGTTCAAAGGGTAAATACTAGTTAGGGGGCTGCATGATGCATGCACCAATCAGAATGCCCTTAAACTTCTCAAAAGCCCTTTGACAAGCATCATTCCACTCAAATGATATATCTTGACATAGGAGATTACACATCAGCCTACATATGGAACTAAAGTCCTTAATGAATCTCCTGTAACACCCAACATGACCTAGCAATGACCTAACATCTTTTATTGTCTTTGGCAGTGGAAGGTTGCCAATTATATCAATTTTAACTTTATCAACTTTGATTCCTTTCGACGAGACAATATGGCCTAAGACAATCCCTTGTGTCACCTTGAAGTGACACTTCTCCCAGTTCCAAACAAGATTAGTTTCCTCACACCATGTGAGGAATTTTTCAAGGTTGTTGAGATACAGTTCAAATGAGTCACCATATAAAAAAAATCGTCCATGAAAACCTTCAAGTAACACTCCATCATGTCACTGAAAATGCTTAACATACATCTTTGAAATATGGCAGGAGCAATACAAAGTCCAAATGATATTCTTTTATATGCAATAGTACTAAATGGACATGCGAAGTGGTTTTCTCTTCATCATCTAATGCAATTTCAATTTGATTGTGCCCAGAGTACCCATCCAAAAAATAGTAAAAAACATAACCAAGAATCCTTTCTAAAACTTAATCAAGAAAAGGTAAGGGAAAATGCTCTTTTCTGGTAGCTTAATTGAGTTTACAGTAGTTGGTAGACATACATCAACCAATGGCAGTACATGTTGGGACTAACTCATTATCATTATTTTGACAATCGTGATACCAGACTTTTTGGGTACTACCTGGGCCAGGCTTACCCACTTGCTATAAGAGATGGGGTAAATAATACCCGCATCTAGCAATTTAAGAACTTTAACCTTGATAACTTCTTTCAGATGTGGATTTAACATCCACTAAGGTTCATGCAAGGATTTTGAGTCCTCCTCCAAGTATATACAGTGAGTACAAACAAGAGGACTTCTCTTGATGTTAGCTATCGTCCATCCAATTGCATTTTGATGTCATTTTTGGACCTTCATTAATTCCAATTCTTGTGACTTAGACAAATGAGAAGAAATCACCACTAGATAACTTTTTTCCTCCCTCAAGACGACATATTTTAAGTCAGTCGAGAGAGGTTTCAACTTAGGTTTAGGTGTAATGACACTTGATGAAATAGGCATTGTGTCATTTGGTGATAACTCCTCAAACATTGGGACCCTTGTCCCTACAGAAAAAGTATTTACATAAGACTCAACAGAATATAATGACTCGCTATCTAATAAAGACTCAAAGTCTAACAACAATTGGTCAAGTGCACGGGTTTCCAACTCACTATCAATGATTGCATTATTAAACAACTCTTCAGTTAATGACTCGATGCAATTGACTTCATGCATGTCTTCTTCTTCCCCTGGATGTTTGGATATGTTAAAAATGTTGAGTTCCAAGGTCATATTTTCGAAAGATAGCTTTATTACTCTATTCTTGCAATTAATTGGAGCATTAGAAATGGCAAGGAATGTTTAGCCCAAAATGACTAGAATCTGAGTGTCAGTGTGCATGAAAGGTTGGGTTTCTAGAATAATAAAATCTATAGAGAAATAAAATTTATCAACCTGAACAAGTGCATCCTCAACTACTCCTTGGAATTTTAATGGATCAGTTAGCTAGTTGCAAAGTTTTGCTTGTAGGCTTAAGTTCGCCTAAACCTAGTTTCTTGTAAATATTGTATGGGAGTAGATTAACACTTGCCCCAAGACCAAGCAAGGTTTTCTTAATCTTGAAGTTCTCTATTATGCATGGCATAGTAGGACAACCAAATCTTTGTACTTGGGGGGGGGGGGGTTTGGTGTTGGATGCGGCAAGTTTTGTCATGCAGATTCCACTTTATATTTCTTAATCGTAGACTTATAGCAAACTGCTAATGTAACATATATTTGTTGAACTGCTGCTTTTTTTTTCTTTGAAGTTATTGTTGGTGATAATAGTCAATATATAACTTTCTTCTTGTTTGGAGATTATTAAATATGTAACTAGCTTCACTTTTTGAATTATCATTTTTGTAGTACTTATCTAGTTAAGCATTGATTACATGATGTGAATCTTCTTGCTTGAATTATATTCGTTTCAGATGCCAAAATCAAATAATAATTAATTTTCTCACTAGATAACACTTTTCAATATGGTCTATATGCAGGTGAAATCTACAGAAAAGCCATGTACAATTGTAGTGAAGGTTGGTATCTGGTTCCCTTTTCTATCTATTGTACATATTCCTTTCTATGCTTTCACTTCTTTTTATCAATAAAGGAATCATTCTAGAATAAAATAAATAATGTGGGTTTGATTTTATTTGAATTGTCATGACCTAAAACAATCTGGATTCATATTAACGCCATCAGACCAGCTCCGTACTCTCGCCAAATCTAGCTCCAGGCTGATGTAATCTGCATGAGCTATATCAAAACCCTGAGCCAAGAACAGCATCTTCCTCTTAAGATCTGTTTATTTACGGGGTATAGTTGTTATGGGGCACTTTACAGAGGCATATTATGGTTTGTGTTGTTCTTATGCTTGCAGCTTAAACGCTGGGAACGGATAAAATGTAAGCCAAACAGCCTCCCGATTCTACACAAAATGCATGTTAAGTTGGGAGATACAGTGAAAGTCATATCTGGACACGACAAGGGCAAAATCGGAGAGATTACCAAGATTTTTAAGCATAATAGCTCTGTGATAGTCAAAGAAATTAACTTGAAGACCAAGCATATGAAGAGCAGGGAAGAGGGTGAACCAGGGCAGATTATCAAGGTTGTGTACACTGCTGAAGTACTTTATGCATATTCCTAATAATTTGGCTGTTGGGTTTCTCCTTACTTTTATGAGTATCCTGGAGGCTAGGGGCACATATTATGCACAGGAAGGAAAAGTTAAATTATATATTAGCTTTCGTTGTTTTTTAGCTGCTGCTTTTTTTGGTCATGTTTTTTAGCTATTACTAATGCTTGATTTATTGTTACCAGATTGAAGCACCCATTCACAGCTCAAATGTGATGCTGTACTCTAAAGAACAGAATGTGGCAAGCCGGGTGGGTCATAAAACCCTAGAAAATGGAAAACGGGTTCGTTACCTAATAAAAACTGGGGAAATCATCGACAGTGCAGAGGACTGGAAAAAAGTGATCAAAGAGAGAGAGAAAGCAACAGAAGCAGTTGCCGCTTCTTAGGAGAACAAGTCACCCACTCTTAATGTACTTATCCAGACTCTAGAATTCAATCTCCCTTGTCATTTTTTCCATATGCTTTCAGATTCTTGTTTGCCCAATTCTTGATCCAAATATCCAGGAAAGTAGTTGTTCTTTCCCCTCATATATTTATTGTATGCAAAGCAGAAAGTGAAGCGCAATCAGCTTGTTGAAGCATATAGATGGCTCTGTTGTTGGTTATGGTTGATGCAGGTCACAAGCAGGGTTGCTTTCAGATTGTGATGAGTTTCAAGTTAAACCTAAGGAATAGCCCATGTTCAGAAACAAGTGCAGACCACCATGCTTCTCATCTATGTCTATGCTTCATTGGACATCAGAAGATCAGCCTAAGCGTAGTTCTATGTTGTCAATTTCCAAGTGCTTTTGTTGAGAGGTTTAATCCAGGATTTAATCTCGTGTATTATTTCTTGAAATGCTTCTGGTCTCTAATAGAGAAGATTGACATTACATTATTCTAAATTGAGCTGTACAGAAACTGTTTAGCCTCGTTGGAGGTAGGCTGAAAGTGGTATTAATCACCCCCGACCTGGACCGGCAGAGGGGTTTTCAAGGTGGACTTTACTCGTGTATCAATCTCTAATGGTCTATTTGATGGTTCAGAAGGGATTACCAAAAGAAAAAATAGAATAGGGAAAAGAAAAGTTCCAAATCTAAAGACTCTGTTGTTGTATTCACAACAATAAGGGAAGCTATTAGATGGAGATTACTTTCCATTAAAGGTCATGTTTCTTCTATTAACAGCCATATTGTTCATGGAACATATGAACCTAAGACTTCCGGCTGGGGTTTTAGTGGTATTCATTAGAAAGAGAAAACAGCTTGGCCTGTTTTGTTTGAAATGTTGAGAGGTGCCAAAGTGGAGGTGGTCTGGACAGTGGCGAATCTACAATGGGAGCAATTGCCCCACTGGAATTTTGAAAATTTTTTGGGAGTAGTTATAATCTTAAAAATTTTAGAATTTGTTTCATATTTGCCCCAATAAAAAAGTTTTCAAAAAAATTATGGATAATCATGTAATTTAATAACTCTATGCGTTAATTTTGTATATGTCAAAAACAATTTTATAAGCAATAAAACCACTCCAGACTACTCGGGCCTTCGCCTTTTCGTATTCTTTTATGACTTGGAACTTTTACTTTTTTTCCATCTCAAACGACATCATGTCAACTTGCCATTCTTCGACAGTTCAAGGCTTGAGCTCTTCGACAATTGAATCGCATTATTCGATTGAGCTCTTCAATCATTTTTAAAGGCCCTATTCGAATTAACAACGGAATTCATTACTGAGTGCTACTTACTAAAAGATTAAATCAACAAAATAAAATTTAAGTTTAAAAGTGCAGTCCATCTCATGCATACACATTTATTAAAAGACAAAAGATGTTTAAAATTTCAATAAAAAAATATAATAATTATCTCTCTCTTCCACAAATAAAAATAAATCAAACAAATTTTCTATTTTTCTCAAGCTCGATTTTGTTCTCATTTAAACACAAAAACATCAGCTAATTAAAATTGTTCATTCTCATAAATGATCCATAATAAAAACTAATTAATAAAGAAAAAACGGTCAATAAAGGTATTATCAGATTAAAAAAACACAAAAAAATAGGAGCAATGTTATGCTGCACAAATTATTGCCAATATTTTGTATTCCAAATCAACAAAGGTGGTTGAATTAGTAGGGTCCACTAACTTCACCAAATATTCAATGTATAAAATTTTGACACATCATTTAGAATATAAGATTTGGACAGTAATTTGTGCAACACAATTTTATCCATAAAATAGTAGTTAAACTTTGTAAACAAGTGTATGATCATATAAAAAAATTAAAAAAAAAGTGCGGATCAAGTAAGAGATGAGAGACAAACAAATGTACAAATCTGTACATGTACTTAGTTATAATAATCTATGTATATTTACAATTCTTATGGATTATACTATTGAACAGTTGCACGCAGATAGAATGAGTATGAAATAACACATATGTAATGTTTAATATATATTAGATGCCTAAATTACCAAAAAAAAAAAATAATAATGTGACACCACGTTGTAACATTGAACATCTTTACTATGACAATATATTATTACGGTCTACACATTATTTTTAAAAAATTAAAAAAATGCATAAAATATAGAGTAAAACATATATTACTTTTAATTCTCACGTGACTAGTTATCAATTTGTTTCACTTAATCAGTTCCATTGATGAAAACTCGGTAGTAAATGATGAGTAAAGATTAAAATTATTACGGGATGTATAGACACTTCAATTCTTTGAATGAGATGAGGTACAATAGAACTAACCCTAAAGTCCGACCATTAAAATAGTCGCCTAAAGCCCTAAATTAGTTTTAAGCCCCGAGTTCACTTTCACATTTTAAGGCCTTTTGAATAGATCAAGTTAAAGGTCCAATATAATTCACAAATTTAATCTAAAATCTTATAGAAACTCTAAAATGTAACAATATTTTTATATGTGTTTTAAAACATTATAGAATATTCTAAAATATAACAAAGTTTCTTAAAAAAATTTAAAAGTAACAACTTCAAGCTTTAAAAATAGCAACTCCTCTCAAATTCTTTTCACTATTTTTTCCTCCGATCTCACCGTCTCTCTCTAACTCTTTTTCTCACTCCCACTATCATTATATTACTTTAGTTTTTTGTTCTTATCTTTTGCTCTCTTTAAGACTTTATTCCTTTGTTTAAAAATTCAGCTTGGCCTAACAGTTTGACACCGAAACCTAGTGAACTAGACTTCAAAGACTGTTCAAGTAGTTAACTCGTCCAAGACTCATTGAATCGGGTAGCTTTTGGCTAAACCGTTAAAAACGGCCGATATGATGACAACCACGTCTTTGAAAATCATATAAAATTAAGACTATTTAGGTTTTTTTTTGCCGATACTCAATCTCGAGAATAGAGACTCAGCATCTTAACCCTCTTACTCTTACTATCATCTCTCTCAAACTCTCATGTCCATTTCTCGATTATCTCAATAATAGTCACTACCATCTTCATTTGTCAATCTATTTGTAGTCGTATCCTTATCCTTCCAATGAAAAGTCTCCACTAGAGATGGTCACAATGGATTAATTATTGAGCTTCAGATTTGTAGTTTGCTTTAACACTTTATGCGATTATGGTGCTATAGAACAAGATGACATTGTGTTGTAACCGTCTTCACAATATTGGTTCATATGTACTTTGTAAGTCTCGTCCAAGTTTGACTCAGCAGGGAATGTGTTTACAAACATTAGAGCAAGTGAATTACCCTGTTAACTTGTGATTCCTATGAATGTGTTTACAAACATTAGAGCAAGTGAATTACCCTGTTAACTTGTGATTCCTATAGGGAAGTGCCGACTGCCCGAAGATATAGCAATGATAACATCCCAAAGGTTGAAAGCGATTTATTAATTTATTAATGCTTTGAGCATACTTGAGGTGATTACCTGAACAAGCGAAGAAGCACAAGTACTCCCACTCGCAGCCATATATATTTACATGAGCTAGTTAACAATATTATGCGCACAGTATTTCCTTTTTTTTATTATTTTTGAACATTTTAAAAAAATTTGAGCTGGAGAAAGGGCTCCAATGTAGTGTACTAGATCATTTTAATTTATATCCAAAACAGAAAACTAGTAACTTATGTCCAGCAAACACTGCACTAGAAACTGAAGGGTACTGGATCTTGAAATGCTTTTGTTCTATAATAAAGAAGATTGATGTTAAATTATTCTAAATTGAGTTATACAAAAATGGTTGAATCTGGTTGGAAGTAGGTTGAAAGCGATATTAGTCGCCCCTACCTGGACCAACAGAGGAGTTTTCATGGTCGTAATCAATCTCTAAGAGTCTCTATTTGATGGTTCAGAAGAGATTACTAGGAAAATTTAAATTAAGAAAAACAAAAGTTTCAAATTTAAAAACTCTATGATTGTATTTACTACGATAAGGGAAGGTATTAGATTGAGATTAATGATTTTCTATCAACATCCATATTGCTCTTTGAACATATGAACTTAATAATTCTGACTGGCGATTACGACTTGGCCTGTTTTGTTTGAAATGTTGAGGGGTGCCAAAGTGGATTTGATCTAGACAGTAGTACAATGGTGGCAATTGCCGAATTTTGAAAATTTTTTGGAAGTAATTATAATTTTAAAAATTTTAGAATTTATTTCATATTTATCCCATAAAAAAAATTATGGGTAATTATCTAATTTAACAATTGTATGTAGGTTACTTTTGTATATGTCAAAAGCAATTTTATAAGACTCGGTCCTCCTTTCGTCTTCTTTCAGTGCTTTGACATTTTTTTTTCTCCATCTCAAATATCGTCTTGTCAATTTGCCGTTCTTCAACAATTCGAGGGCTCTTTGACAATTGAATCACATTTCTCCCTAATCATTTGAGCTCTTCAATCAACAACGGAGCTCGTGGTTATTGAGAATCTACTCGAGACTTAGATGCTTAATGTGCGCTTCAATGAATTTTCACAAGTAAAAATAATTAGTCGTTTTGCAAAAAAATTAGTTGAGACCGAAAAAAATGTTATAAATCCATTGATATATTTGATTGTGAAACTAGCATTGACCTTGTCAGTTACAACTATAACAATTAAAAAAGTATTTTCCGCAATGAGCATAATAAGAATCAATCACGTAATCAAATGAGAGATCAATGGTTAAATAATTACTTGGTTACATATATTGAGGAGGAAATTTCCTAATGTCATTGATAATAAAATTATCTTGCAACGGTTCTAAAATATGAAAACTCATTAGGGATAATATAAATATTTATAGAATGGTCGAAAGTTTGAATTTATCAATGTATAAACTCAATTTATTATTGGGCCCTAATCTTTTTTTAGTATAAAAGCTAGGAGGACTTTAGAGTAAGTTTTTTTTGGCTAAATTGCTAATGTGTACAAATCACACCTCGTATTGGCATTCTTTTGAGGAAAATATACTTAAGAAAATATTATTAATGAATATTTTTGTGAAAACAATACCATCATTATGATTTTAAATTATTAATAAGTTATAGGTTGCTCCACTCCTAAAAGATCCTGACCTAGCTCCTGGGTCTAAAAATGCTTGTAAAGTCAAAGTGCTTTATTACAAACTAGTTTGCTAGATTTCAGTTTATGCTATTGTACTCCAAGTTGGTTTTTGGTGTTTTTCCCCTTGCTTTTGTTACACTCGTTCTTCTTATGAATGAAATTTATTTATTTACCAAAAAGAAAAAGAAAAGCTCTTTATTGAAATTTGATACCAAAGAAAAGATATAGGACCTTGAAAGGGTTCAAAACAACTAGGTATGATTAAATCTAATGAAGACACGTGTCACAAATCATGCGACGAAGACACGTATCGTAACTATCACATGAGGTAAAGGCAGAGTACCTCTGGCAGTGTTTTGGCATGATGTCTGCAAAAAATGAGAGAAAAAAACACTAGATCTAAATAAAAATTCACTGAAATTTAGTTATAAGCTGTAGTCTAGAAATCCATTTTTCAAAGAATGGATTTGATTATAAGCAATAATGTCTACATGGAAGTCGAGGCTCCCTACCTTCCATTTGAAACTAATGCTTGTTGCCTTCGTCAAATTGGTTCTAACATATCCGTCAGCAGCTATTAATGGGAAGAAAGCTAAATGACTTGCAATGTAGTTGAATTTGGTGAAGTGTTTTTCTCTCATCCACTTCTGGCAGTTAATAGCAAACAACGACTCTCACATGGTGTGGACCAACTGCCAACGGAATGGATGCGCGACCGGTGCCAGCGCAGGACTCGGAATGCGTTAATTCCCGCGCTAAACTAACAGTAACTGCTGGTTTTCAAGTCACTTTAAATCAACAACCTTGTAGGGCATCATCAAGACTAGCAATTGTGCTTCATTCAATTTCCTGAACATTCATTCCTTAAAAGAACCATTAGAAGTGACTATTTTTGCATTACTATATGGAAAGAGAAAGGGTCCCGAGGATAAAACAAGCTTCGGAGGAACTTCAAACTTGAAAATTAAAGAGCAGAATAGAGTTTACAGAGCAAATGGAAAGGAGGATGAGAGTGGAAGATTCAAAAGAAAAATTTGCCCAAGACAGAGCGCATATGACGGGTCTGGTCCTCTGGTTTTGGACTATCCTTATGTTGAAACATAACCATCCAACTAGGACCACAAGCCATTTTCACAATGAATCAAGCTACAGTCTACGGAAAGTGGTAAAGTTGCAAGTACACATCCTCCAAAATATAAATCTGTTTGGCAAAATCTAATTATCTCAGAATTATAATCGTCTAATATATATATATATATATCAAATCATACCCAAACCATTCACCTAGATTTGTTAAAACTTACCTGTAACCATCAATTAGGCAACCCAATTCCATGCACAGGCCTCTAATAACTACCAATACTAACACCAATAAGAACTGAATGGTTCATGAAACTACTGATATATTTCACCTCAATGTATCAGTCAAAACAACCTTACTTTTCCCCCCAGTGAAAAGCTTTACATTCATCCACCTAACACTATTAGTTTCTCTTAGCCATTCTCAATATTGTCTTGATGTTCCACTCCAAATGGTTTCCCAGATTTTTGATGATATTTCTTATATAATCCGAAAGTCTCATATATACCTGCAGTATATAATTTGGGAATCTGGGAGGATTACATTTCTATCATAAGAAGAAAGTATACAGATTCATGCTAAGTGATCGGTGTCCACAAAACAATGACAGACGCAAACTTGTGGAATCGCAGATACAAGCACAATATTTTAGCCATGGACAAGTGACTAGAAGAACCAATATTTCTTCAACAAAAATTATGGAAAGGCCTCTAGCATAAACAAAAATATTCACACTAACAATAAAACAAGTGTTTTTTTTTTCTTAGGGCTTGCAGATTACCACAAAGCAAGGAAGGAGAGCTCTAGGATTAAGCGAATAAAGCTCTTCAAAATTTGAATAAAGACCAACTTTCCCAGCCAATGAATCGAACCCCACCTGGCCAGCCATTTCTTGTATGTTCTCCATAGGCCGATGGACTCTCCCTGCAATAACTCTGCAGACTAATAAAGTTTTTCTTATGAATGGATCATCTTCATGTATCTCTATAGATGCAAAAGCTTTTCCACTTGTTGAAGTCGTAAAAATTCCTATGCCACCCTTGAGTTCCTTCCTAGTGGAAAACCCTTTTCTTAGAATTCGACAAACACAGCATTTGTCAGATACACAGAGACTTGAGCATCCATTCATCCCGAGAGAGCATGCCACCGTTGTGCCATAGAACCTTAGAAGTTCATTCCCATCTGCAAGACAACGAGAGTGTTTCTTGGGGAGTTTGCTGGCCTTGATCTTCACCATTTCCCTATATTCTTCAAACTGAGCAAGAGTTTTTTGCCTGTTGTGAACTTTAAAAACCCTCTCAATTGGACCACAATGGCTCTCAGACTTTAGCCAACTTGACCGGCAAATTATTTCAACAATTTTCCTCGACGAGTCGCCCTCCACAAGTTCAGTAACTGTTCATTAGAGCATACATTCAGCTGCTGAGAAACACAACTAAAATTCAAACCAACAAGAGTTATAATAATCCAAAATGGTTTTGATCAATCCAAATTCTTAGCCCACTAAAGGTCAGTTATTGAAGAAATACCAATTTATTAGTATACAATGTACATTTGGTAAATTGTGATACGTACCCATAGTACTTGAGTAAGCCATAAACTGTCATGGCGAACCAACAATGAGAAATTTGGAGGTTTTAATTCTACAAGAATGGTGAAGTGGGCGTCGTGTAGGAGTAAGTTAAGGAGAGAAAGAAATCTATCGGACAAGAAAAATTGCATCAGAATAAAGAATTGAGGTTCAAACTAACAGGAAATAAAGGACAACCATTTCAGCTGGCAGAAAGTTACAGGGTATCTTCAATCTATATGCTTTGATACAAAATAAGAGGAACCCCCCCCCCCCCCCCTCTTCCCCCTCCCTCTACCCAACCACCCCAAGAGACAACACACACACAAAAGCAGAATCAAAAAGAGAAAACAGGGCAATCAAATACAGATTCAGAGCGACAATAAAGATAGCAAACAGGGTTAAAGTATTAGGAAAGTGAAGGGTAATGAGGTTCTTACTAGCATGTTTGGAGAGATGATGTGCTTCAAGAGTTTCCCATTTCCCAAACTGCTCTCCGCACTTATGACATGTGATTGCAGAAAAACCATTACTATCTGTCCCAATATAACACCTTGGTTTTGAAGATACACCATTGCTACCTCCAGAAATAGCACAACCACCAAATCTATAGCCTGCTCTGTGTTCCAAAAGACCAGCAGTCTTTCTTGAAGGAGGGGTTGAGCTTCTAAATGAAGGGTTAAAATAGTGCATTGTAGGGTGCCCCCCAGGGCCAGGTGTACCAGGCCTTAAAGTACCCAAAAATGTTGAGCCGCCGCCACCACCACCAACACCGCTGCCACCAACCCGTTCTTGGAACCCACCCAAACCAGAGATTTTAAGCTCACACCTTGAATTGCTCAGAATCACTTCATGGGTTATTGGGTTGAGGAATTCACTGCTCCCTATGGATCTAGGACTACAACTTGGAGGCTTTTCTAAGTGTGTCCTGCTTCCATGAATGACATCTTTAAGATTGGCTATGGACCTTGAACAACCAGACCTGCATGCTTTTCTTCTCAAGATTTTGCTCAAGTGTCTCCTGGCCTTTGGATCATGAACATCTGATGGCTCTGATTTGCAGTCCAAAGATCTTTTCAGAGAAATCCAAACTTCAGGCATTTCTTCCCCTCTCACTCACCACAGGGTCTTCAATGCTTCATACCCTGCAAAGCAACTTTTCTCCAATGTTCAAGCTTTATTCAGAAAGTCTATTCCTTTACATGGCCATTTTCCGTCTTTACCACAGAGAAACAGAAGAATGAAGCTAAACATCCAATTAACAAAGCTTAATATATCCTTTGCACTTCATTTCCATTTTCAAAAGCCAATCAATCATATAATACCCGATTTCAAAATCAAACGAAACTCTTCAAGAAACTACCATTAAAGATATAAAATTTTCAATTACCAGATCATTGTATGCTATTTGATAACACAAGTATCAAAAAAGCAACATTTTGGAGCTTTTTATTAAAAAGGGTGTCCATGAGAGAGAGAGAGAGAGGAAGAGAGGACTTAATGCCCAGACCCCAAAAAAATACAGTAATTCAAATAGAGTGAGAATCTTGGGCTTGCGAGGAACATGACAAAGTGACAAGAAGCCTGATAGAAACCATGAACAGAGGCCCTAATAAATGACAACAACAGTATACAAAAATCTTTTGGTAGGTTTGGTGATTAAGTCTGTCATCTGACTAAGAGGTTTCAAATTTAATATTTAAGTCAATCACCCTTATATTTTTCATAAGACATGTCCTTATATTAACCCGGTGGCTAATCTTAAAACTCCAAAAAATAGTCGAGACTGAATATCCTCTAAAAAAAAAAAGTATACAATTTGAAAATAGACACTGAATTGAATCGAATGGCACTTTATAAGTCACCTCATTTGAACGGAAAGATTCAAAGAATCACGGGTCTGAAAGATTTTGTTTAATTGACACAATCGAGATCATAAAAATTCCTAAGTAATAATAATGTCCTTGCATCCTATCATCCTACACTCATCTTTGGCGTATGGTTTACTTTTGCTTGCTATGGTGCAAGAGTCTATTTTTGTTGCTACATTCTAACTTTGGATTTGACCATGGTACCCCAAAAAAAAAAAAATATTAAGTATAATACTTTCATTTATTATATTTGTGGTAATTTTTACTATATTTGTGGATCATTTTATTGCCGTTGTTGCATCCAAAAAATGGTAAAAAAAAATTATCACAACTGATACAAAAATATCCAAAAAAATGATAAAAATACGCATTATGTAATAAAAACACCTACGAATATAGTAATATTTTTAGTACTAAAGAAAAATGATAAAAATAATTATCTCAAATGTGGTAAAAACACCTATAACGGTGATAAAAATATTCACAAAAATAATAAATTATCCATAAAAATAATAATTTTTTTAATTGTAAAAAGACTTATAAAAATTATAAAAATATTTATTAAAATAATAATAATTAGAGGTATGATTCCGAATTTATTAAAATAATTTATTTCTTTGATATTGTAGTCAAGCCCACTTTTTTCCTGTTGTTGTTTCTGACCCTGTATGTTTTCATTATGCTGCATTCTTGTCTATTATTACATATAGGTCATGTATAAATTAAATAAATTTTGACAAAATATAAACAATTTTTTACATGACCTATTAATAGGACACAAGATTTAAATAAAACCAAGGAATTTGTATTTACTCACAACAACATTTTTTTTTTTTGCTGCCAAGTATTCAAGTTTACATTGATTATTCCTTTGAATTCAGCAGTTGTTACAGCGACTTAATTTGAGTTAAAACATGTCTCTAATGAAGAAGAGTGATTGACTCTTAGGAATTATAAAAATGAATTGAACGTGAGATATCTGAATTATCATGAATCAAACTCAATTACCTAAACATGTCTAAGGATTCACAACATCAGATCAGATTACAATGAGAGAAGTACCCCCATTATAAAAATAGCATGAGCACCCCAAATCACTCAGGCAAGAGTCAAGCTTCTCTACTGTTAATTGCTAACAGTAAAGATATTATTAGTAATAACACATCTACTGTTACGGCATAGGATGCTGGATGCACAGCCCTTAGACCCAAAAACCAATAGAATTTCCCTGGTTTCCTCGTGATTCAGTGAAAGAAAATCCGTATGGGACAAAGTTTCATCTCCACAGCAGTGCAGTAAACTCAGTCAACAGAGATTCATCTATCCAATCACAAATGATCGAATGATTATTTCTTACTTCAATTTAGAATGATTTACCCTTTAAATCCCTCCCATTTATATCCTGACACCAAATTCATCCAACTATTCAAGCTGGATTAGTCTATGATACTAAAACAAATATTTTAATATTATATCGTTATTTATAATTTTTGTGAGTATTTTTATAATTTTGTTGATAACTATTTTTATTATTTTAATAGTACGATACGATCAATCTTAACAAACACCCACAAAAATTATAAATTACCCTAAAAAGTTTTAAATTATTTTGTTATAAAATGACTCATAAAATTTATAAAAATACCAATTAAACTAGTCAAATTTAGAGGTACGGTATAAAAAAAAAATTGATTCCATAATCTTCTCCATTCAAGTTTAGTTTGGAAATATTCAAACATTGCCTAAATAAGAAAGATTTTTCAAACTTTTGCAGACGATCATTCCCCCCCCCCCCCCCCCCCTCTCACTTTAATCAATTATTGCCTAAATAAAAGTATAGTTAACACATAACTGGTGATTTGAACACCAGGGAAAATTACAAGCATAGCTTTTATTAAGGACGTCCCAATTTATATTTTATCACGAGCAATTAATTCCCCCCCCCCCCTCCTCTCACTTTAATCAATTATTGCCTAAATAAAAGTATAGTTAACACATAACTGGTGATTTGAACACCAGGGAAAATTACAAGCATAGCTTTTATTAAGGACGTCCCAATTTATATTTTATCACGAGCAATTAATGTTGAGATCTCGTATATTTTGCTTCGCTGCTCACAAAGCATCACATGGTAATGTCATGTGTTAATATTTATATAATAAAGTAGTTTACAATTTAAATTTCAAAAGATAAACAAAATGACTTTTGTTATTCACGATTAAAATCACTTTAACTTTTATTTTAAAACGATTAATATTAACACCCTAAATTTAACAGAAAAAAATAGAACCCTAAGGGTGTGTTTAGAGTGACTCTAGAAATTATTTTTCATAAATATTTTTTTTTTTTAAAAATGTGTTTGAAACCGTCTAACCACTACCTCTACTACATCGCCGCTGCCACCGCCACCACCTCTACCGTCACCACCACCGTCGTCGTCGCCACCCCTACCCCCACCATTACCACAGTCATTACCACCTACCACCACTCCCACTGTCGCCCACCACCTCTCACCCTCACTGCAATTGATACTTAAATTATTTTATTTCTTCTTTATGTTTGTGATTTGATTTTGAATATGAATACAAATATATTTATTGTTTACCATTTTTTATTACTCTCTGCCTTTGAACACAAACAATAACTAGTATTATTATAAAATATTATACATTTTTGATCAATTGCTATCATTTATGAAGTTGTCAAATAAGTGTTGTGTGGCAATTTTTTATTTAGTGTAAATACCATATGACAGTGTCTTATAAATATTGAAAATTTTCTCGCTAAAAGCAGTACTCATGTACCCTCAAATACGTGTCGAGGCAACTCTTTGGGGTCCGATTATAAAATTTATATTTTATAAATACCAATTAGTTCCGGCCTATTTTTTATTAGATCAAGAAAAAAATAAGTTGAAGTGCACGTAAGCTGATGCAAACACCCTGACAGTTGAACAAAAAAAATAAATTTTTCTTTCAATTTTAAAAAATATATTGAAGAGAATCTCTTAAAACACACAACTAAAATTGGCATCATATTTGCATGTCCTTTAAGCTTCTAAATTACAAACCACCGATGGAAATAATGGGCCAGGAATGAGACTAGGAAAGATAGAGATGGCGTGACAAAAAGAGCCACACCCCACCATTAAATGCAAGCACATGTTTGTCTTAGGATTCATTTTCTATCTGGCACTTTGGACAATTCACATGACCCCATAAGAAGTCGATGACCATTGCATTTTTGTCTACTTGGTTCAAGGTTAATTTGTCTCCTACCACACTAATGGTTTTTGGTCTAATAATACTATTTATTTTTAAAAATTTTATCTTTTTGAATCATTTGTGTACTCTGGTCTGACGTGACAATGTTTTGATCTATTACACCTACCATTAGAGTCATTCTCAAATGTTCGGTGAAACTGATTGGATTGATGTCACTACCCCTTGGCCATACCTCATACCCCCAAAAAAATTATAATAATAAGACATCAATCATTGTTGCAGTTTGTCTCGTTTGATGCCACTAAAAAATATCTTCAATGATAATAAAAATATTTACAAAAATAATAAATTTTTTAATTATAAAAATAACTCAAAAAAATTATTAAAATATCAATTAAATTAAAATGATAAAAGTTAAAGGTACAATACTGAATTTATTTTTTGGTACTGCAGTGAAGTTCAGAACAAAATTATACCATGCGGGGATGATAATCACTCCAAAATAAACAGGAGTTTGGTACCAAGCCCAATAAAGTCAGCAGTCCGACACTATTTACAAAAAAAAAAAAAGGGTAATAAGTGGATGAGAAAGAGATTGACAGAAAGTAATGAATATGATTTATTATGAGTTTTGAAAAATTGTTATACATTAAAAGGGTATTTAAGTTTTTTTATATTACAAGTGAATTTTTTTATAAAATATTTTTCACTATATACTTTTTGATCATCAAGTCTATTTTAATATACCGGCTTTTCGAAGGGTACTAAAAAAAAGGAAAAATTGGAAAGAGGTATATCCAATTAGACTTAATTCTAAAAAAGTACATAGAAAAAAATATTAGGTAATTAAGTTCTTAATTTTGATACTTATTTGTATCTAAATACATTATTTGAATTTTATTAATTTTTTTGTGACATTTTTGCCCTCTATTAATCCATGTATATTTAATGCACCATTTTTCTTTGAAAAGTGGTGCATTAAACATCTCCTAATTTTATGGAAGAACTTTAATACATATATAAAAATATATATGTATATAAATTATATTTTAATGCACATTAAAATATAATATAAATTATATATATACACTTATATAAATACTTATGTTTGTATGTATGTATGTATATACTTGTTGTTAAATCTCGTATCTAAATTTTGAATTATCTTTTAATGTACCTTGATTCATGTATTTTTTTTTTTGGAAAGTAGTTTTATTTTCAAATTAATTTAATATCCAAATAGTATAATAGTGTAACAATAACAGTGTAACAATTTATTTACACAAAATATTGTAATATTACATTTTGTCAAACATATAGTTTCATATAATTTCATTCAAAATAATACATCTCCGTTTTGAATTTGTAACCACATACACAAAACTACTGAACACTATTTTTCTTATTGTGTATTTGTTATACTATTACATTATTCGTATATTAAATTAATTTAAAAATAAAATAATTTTTCAAAAAAAAAAACGCTTGAATTAAGGTGCATTAAATATAATTTGAAAATAAAATCACTTTTCAAAAAAAAATACGCATATTCAAAATTTAGATAAGAGATTAAACAACAAATATATGTATATATATATATATATATATATATATACATATTTACATGTATTAACAAAAACACATCAATCAAGGTGTATTAAATACATATTTATATGTATTAACAAACACACATGAATCAAGGTGCATTAAAGATAAGAGATTTTGAATTAAATGACCCTAAAATGGATATTTATGTCTTCGTAACTTAGCTATGTATTTTTTTTCAAAACATTTTGTTCTATGTACTTTTTATTAAATAAATCTAATTAGATGTACCGGTTTTCAAAGAACCCTACAAAAAATAAGGGTTTTTAAGGGGGCTGGTACCCTTTTTAGAAATTATAGGGCAAAAAGTACCACTTTTAAAAACATAAGTCAAAAAGTACAATATCTCTAACAAATCTCTAAAATACCCCCTTCAGTAAAATGGAACTGATTATTATATTTTTGTCTCCACAACAGAAACTTAAGGGATCTTATTCTCGATTTTATGGTTGTTCATTCCAATTCCTCCATCTTCAACATCATAGAAAGCAATCGCCTCAAAGGAAATGAAAAAGTTGCAATTTGACATAGTGATCACCAAAACAAACTTCACACTATCACCCCTTTTCTAATCCAACCCCACCATTAACGTATCTAAAACCTTTCCTCTCTGAAAATCTCAACCATCAAAAATATCAAAGACCCACTTGAGAATCCACAGAGAGAGAGACAGAGAAATAAAGACGGTGTTGTCTAGTTTCTTGCTTCTCTCTAATTCAAACACCCTTTCTCTCTTTGAAGTTTAAACCTATCAACAATCCCAGATAGGCTTTGCATATAGTCCATGAATAGATTTTAGAGAAAGAGAGAGAGAGGTGAAGCCTGTTTTTTTGATTCTCTTAAGGAATTGAAATGGACAATCATAACCGAAACTTAAGGGATTCTTTAAGTTTCGTTGATTCAAAACTTCATGTTGATCGCTGAATAGGATGTGAAAATTCCTTTGAATAAGTGATGGATTTTTTGATTGGTACACTGCGAATAAGGGAAAATATTGGTATCAAACGGTGACAACCATATCGAAATTCATTACTGAAGAAGAAGATCGTTGTGTTTCTCCCAACGTTTTTATTTTATCTACTTTTTTTTTTTTCGTCAATTACCTTTTTACTTCTGGTACTTGGTACTACATGCACACCAAGTATTTGATCATTTGCCAAAAAAAAAAAACAAAGAGGCCATATATATTGTGACATGCATCATGTCAATATATACAGTGTGACATTAACTTGCAGTAGTGTGAATTTGGTTTGTAGCAGTGTAACATTTTCTAGTACCAGTGTGACACTGTCTAGTAGTACTGTGACATTATCGTGCGAGGCAGCAAATCATCATTTGAATCAGAATCATCATTTTGATTATTACATTATGTCATACGTCATGTCAATGTATGCAATGTGACATTGACTTGCAGTAATGTGACGTTGATTTGTAGTAGTGTGAATTTGATTTGTAGCAGTGTGACATTTTTTAGTACCAGTGTAACATTGTCTTGTAGCACTGTGACATTTATTGTGCAAGGTAACTAATCATCATCTGAATCATAATCATCATTTTGATTATTACGATCTGCCCCATTTAAGTCATCATAATTAATATTTATCCTCACATGAACATGATGATTGACGTTAAGAGATCGTAATGATTTTTTTTTTAAAAAAAAACATAAGGACTACATACCTGATGCACTTTTTTCATTGCAACTAACTGGAATATGTTTGAAAATTCGATTACGGAATAGAGTGAATGATAGAGGAATCGGTATGAAATGTTTGAATAAACAGTTGGTCAATCACATATGAATAAGTAATTTAAAATTCAAAAAAAATATAGCATAAAATTAGAAAACTGAATCTTTAATATAACTACTATATTAATTCAGCAAAAGTGTACATTTTTACCAAATATTTACACATAAAGGTACTTATACACAAATATTTTATATTGAAATACTTTTATACAAATATGTATGAAAGGGTATACCTTTTCACAATTTTTCCAAAAAATAAATATCTTTAACAAGGAAGACCCATTAGGGCCGGCCCTACTAGGCACGGAGTGGTCTCAGATTATTTAGAATGCTGGCCCGAGTCCGGCCTGTTGGCTAGTTGAACCCCTTGTCCCCGCACCATAAAGTGCTTGGGCCTAAAAATCTGGCCCGGTCCGGCCTAAACTGCCTGCTGCAAACGGTGAGAGTTATAATACAAATCCAACCGTTCTATCATTTCTCATCTGACGGCCAAAAACCTCGATCCGCGTACTTTAACCAGATTGGTCGAATTTCAAAACCCAACCCCCTATATAACCCACCACCCTCTTTCTTACATCTAAACGAACACAGCGTTTCTTTCTGCCGGTTCTCTGTGTCTCTCTCTCAGTTCGTTATCCCATTTCTCTGCAACTACAGGAATGGCTGGTAGAGGCAAAACACTAGGTTCTGGAGCTTCAAAGAAGGCTCAATCTCGTAGCAGCAAGGCCGGTCTTCAATTCCCCGTCGGACGTATTGCGAGGTTTCTCAAAGCCGGCAAGTATGCCGAACGCGTCGGCGCTGGAGCTCCCGTCTACCTCGCCGCCGTCCTTGAATACCTGGCCGCTGAAGTAATTTCTTAATTTCTCTCTCTTCATCCAATTTCATTATTTCCTCTAAGTGACTCCCTGATGTTAGGGTTTCCAATTCTAGGGTTTCAAGTTTATTTGTAGTTGTCCGCATAATTTGTGCTTAACGCCGTTGTTTCTTTTTGTTTAAAATTTTATTGATTCTTCAACAGCCCCAAACTCTAGGATTTCGATTTTCGATATGATTGTACTAAAATGGTTGACTATGTTTTTACAGGTGCTGGAATTGGCTGGAAATGCGGCGAGGGACAACAAGAAGACTAGGATTGTTCCTAGGCATATTCAATTGGCAGTCAGGAACGATGAAGAACTGAGTAAGCTACTAGGAGACGTAACAATTGCAAACGGTGGAGTGATGCCCAACATACACAACCTTTTACTGCCAAAGAAAGCCGGTGGTTCATCAAAGCCCTCTGCCGATGAGGATTAGATTTGATTGATGAACATTGCGGACTTGATGGTGGAGTTATTAGCTAGGTGGATTTGGTGGATTTTCTACGTAGTGTTGTTTCTAGGTGTAAAATTAGTTGTTTGTGTCAGTAGTCATTACTTTTTATTTTGTACTGTGAATACAAACCAATCAATCAGTTTATTGTCTGCTTAACAGTGGTGATATCTACATTCTTAAGAGATTGGATCAATGATATTTATCTACGTGCTGGCTATAATATTTTTCTTATGTTTTCATTCTTTATATGCTTCTTTGCATTTGAGTGTATGGAAGTTCTCACTTGTTTGGTGGGTCCTTTTATTACTCTCTGATTATATACTTTGGTTGGATAAGATGGTGTGTTAAATTACTTGTGGTTGGTTTTGCTAAATCTGAGATGATGGTTTTCATAATTTACTGTGTAAAAGATTTGGTTGTCAGTAGTTTGTGGTTGTGTAAGGGGCAACCTCTTTTTATGGTTTTTGAGCATAGTGACATGTTGGGGAAGTGAACTTGCAATTGAGAAGATCTGTAAAGCATAGTGATTGGATCAATTGGAGCATATTGCTTGAAATTGGGAAAGGGGGTGCATTTGAATTATTTGTAAGCTAGAATTTAGTTGAGGTGTGTATTAGAGGATAAGTTATCACAGGATGGACAGATCTTTGCAACATTATATATGTGAGGTTGATATAAGCCGATTGGTTCATAATCTATGGTTTGTGATGAAGTTGAGCTATGTGATGTGGGCCAGATGTTCCCAAGTCACTGGAATGAATGTTCTAGTTTGGTTTACATATTTTTTTCTTAAAAGCTGAACTGAATCTTCTTTTTTGTTCTGATAGGAATGAGGTGTTAGTAGACATCAGTGTACTGTGCCTTAATGCCTTATCTTGGCGGTTAACAGAACTATGGTTTTTCAAAGGGGACACCTTTGTAGCATTTTGATCCTATTGTGTTTGTATTGGAAGTTTTAGCACTTTTGTTTGTTGTAACCATTTGTATTACTTTTGGTGTGAGTTAGTTAATGTCTTCATCGATAAAAATTATTTACTTAAGGTTTTGCCGTTATTGGTGGACATTGAATTAATTGATGATTTGTTATGATCAGTAGATATGATGAATTGATTACTGATTCGCTAGGTTTGGAGCAGTCATGGCAGCAACTATTGAGCAAATGTACTTCAAACTCAATTCAAGGCTGCAAAATGGCATTTGTTCTGATTCCTTTTAGAGAATTAATGTTCATAACAATTGTATGGTTGTCAAATTTTGGATCCTTTGACCTTTCTTCAGTGCTGTTTGTGAAGTTGTCTATGTTTTTTCTATGCAGGACTGAAATGCATGTTTATTTGGTTTGCTACAAGCCTGTTTTAGGAATCTAATTTGGCTGCCTTCTTGTGGTTACCAGTTTTGGAGATCATGATGGCTTCTTGTTGAGTTCTTTGATTACTTACTCTAGGTGATTTCGTGAACTGTTGATTTGGTTGCCAATTTGAGACAGTAAACCTGATGCTAAACACTTCATGGATGTGGGATTGATGCTAAATAACTTATGACTACCTTCTTCAACATTGAGAAGATATGGATTGCATAGTGGTTGAGCTGTGGGTAAGTCTGGACGAATGCTATTGCTGAAGAACTGGGGGTGATGATGCGGCATTGGGGATCCTACGGCAAGGAAAGAGAAAATGTGAAGTACTTGAATGATTGGCAAAATTAGAAATTTAGAGTTGCCTTAAAGAGATTATGAAGTCAACAGTGTGGCAATAACTTGCATTTGTGTAACATTGTACTTCTGTCTGAGAAAGCATATGCAGATTGATCTGATGTTACGAAGTCATGAACCACCCAACTCCTGATCTCCTCACACGACCACCAACGTCTGCCACCAATGAACCACCACCACCTACCTCTTCATCTCCTCAACAGCAATGAAAACCCACCACCACCGTCTCCACTTTCCACCATCAACTACAACTGTACAACTCCTACATAAATCCATACAATCAATTTACATAAATCCAAAAATCAAGGAAAAAAGAAAGGCAAATTCATATTTTGAAGCAGCACGGAAAGATGGCGAGATTGCTGCAGCCTCCAACCACCCTAGGAGTTGCATCAATTGATTGAATATTTGTTTGATTTAATCCTGACAGGCAACAAAAGTTTCTGTGATCAGGTCCCGATGAAGGGAATGAAGAATTCTGTTAGCTCCACTGGTGAGTGTTGAAGATGAATTTGAAAAATTTTATCGGAGAAGCAAGAGAAGAACTACAAGAAGGCAGAAAAGGTATTAAAGTCCTTTTGTTATGTCTTAACAGAGTTGGTCATTCACATTACATGAGGCCATACAAGGTTATGTAGAAATTTCTGAATATCAAGAATTTATGTATATAAAGAATAAACACCTGGTCCCTGTTTTTAGTCGTATTTTATGGTCAATCTGACATTGTTGATGAACCAAAATGAGTAAAATGATGTTTGTCCGAGTATTTGGCTTTGATTAAATGGCGCAAGCATTTGGATTGCCTTTTCTACATCTCATTTATTTAGGAAGATTGGTCCTCAAAAGTAGTTGTAGTGAAGTTTTTTGGGTCAATGAAAAAAGTAGTTTGTTGCCGCAAAATAGTTAAAATAAAGTGGTATTAGGCACTTGACAAAAAATTCTTTTAGTTTCCTTCCTCATTTAACAGATTTTTAAGTTTGTCTTTAGAGCAATTTCAATGCAGCTCTCTATTTTAACTACTCAAAATATATTTATATATTACACTCTTTATTTTAGAGAATCATATTTACAAGTTTACTCAAATTACGTTCTCTATCTTAATTACCTATTTTAACTAACTTTCAATAATTTAAATTGAAAATACCATGTAGCCTATCAGGCCATCGCCTGAGTCGTAGATTGAAGGGGTTTTTGAAAAAACACCGACTCCAATTCTGACTCCGACTTTTATTAATAATTAATTTTATTTAAGTTATAAATCATAAATTACACATTATTACTAATGTTAATAACCCAGCCACTTTTATTTTTTGGTCATAAAATCGGACAACTTCAAAAGACAAATTACATGATATATTATTGTTAAGGTTAATTGCACTAAAGATTTCTAAAGTATGAGATTTATTTTATTTTGGTTCCCAATATTTCAATTGTATTATTTTGATATCTGCAATATTGAATATCTATATAATAAAGTAGAGCTGAGTTTGAATTTTGAAGACAAAGAGAGGTCCAGATCATTTTGAGACAACATATAAACATATCCAACGGATAATGTAATTTCAACATAAAAGACGGTTCATATCATCTCATAAATAATGATCCGACGATCCACAATGAGTACTGAATTTTATTTTGTGGGTAATGCGATTGGGATCATAGAGGGATTAATAAAACCACAAATTGTAGTGGGCTACATGGAGGGATCGATAATAAGAGTTATTGGAAGGGTTGCAATTTCATTATTGGTTGATGCTTTAAAATGTAAAATATTCGAATCAAAGAATTCTTATTTATGTAGATTTAGGTCTTTGGTTGGACTTGCATGTATAATGTGTCTATAACTTTCGTTATTATTATATAAATGAGATTTTAGCTTCTATAATGTATTTATTAAAATTTGATGTTATTTTTGAGTTAGATTGAGTAATTTATTCTTGAAATTGGTTATGCAATAATTTGTGTTTTGAGAGATTGAATAGTTTGTATTAGAAAATGATGCAATTGATGTCATTGTAGACAGGTTGAGATTTTTATGGGTTACTATTTATAAAAAAAAATTACAATTTTTTTAAAAAAAATAGAATGGATTATATTGATTTTAATTTCTTTAATTAAAAAAAATGAAGAAAAAAAATTTATTTTAAATTGAAGAATTTTTTTAAATTGCAAAGTGTTTGATTACTAGTGTTTTTATATAGTTTTTCAAGCAGACAATGTCCAGAATGCTAACAATTTGTTATCATAAACTTATAACGTAATACCTGAATATAGATAAAAAAATAATTTTGATAGCTTTTGATAAAAAAAATGTATAATATGAGTGATTTTTGACCAAAATTTGAATAACTTATGATCAAAATTATGTAATTTAAATAGCTATTTAACTAAAATATGAGTAAAAATTTGATCAAAAGTTATCCAAATTATTTTTTTGTCCATAATCAAGTATTATGTCATAAATTTATGATAAAAAATCGTTAGCAATCTGGACGCTGTCTGCTTGAAGCCTTGAAGTACCAAATAAAAATATATTCAATATTTCAAAGACTAAAATGATGAAATTAAAACATTAGAAACTAAAATGAGACAAACTTCACATATTGAAAACTTCCAGTGCAATTAACTCTTATTGTTAATTTTAAAATCCTACGTTATTCACTCATATGGGTTTTTGCACCTCTACCCTCCATGAGAGTATACCACTTCTAGCTATGGATGGAGACCTCCGGTGCAATTAATTCTTATTGTTAATTTTAAAATCCTACATTATTCACTCATGGGTTCTTGCACCTCCACCCTCTATTATGGGTGGAAGTTTCCTGCCCTTTGACTTCGAAGACTTTGGCTTCTTCGTCTTTCTTTGCATTTCTCTTTCTGATTGAAGCTTTTGAGGTCTATAACTTCAAAATTCTCGCGATCTCATCAGTGATTGAGACCCAATATAATTAAAGGGAAGGGGAGGGGTTTTGGATGGAGAAAAGACAATAAAGCCAACACACAAGAAGATTAACCATCAAATTTTGCTTAGAAGAGCAAATAATGAGGGAGCCTCACTTGCCAAAAATAGTGAGTAAGAGAAATTTTTGGGATTAACTCTTCAAAATAACAAAAGAATGACGTTAAACAAATAAGTTAGACTTGCTTATATCTGTTAGTGTCACAGGGTAACTTTCGTTTTTCTTTTGAGGCTACATGTGAAGGCGTTGCTATTACAACCAGCCACATTCAACTCAAGAATAAGGGACAAAAACTCATACAGAAGGCGCACACGAATCTACTGGGACAACACTCTCAAACCTTATATATTAAACTCAACAATTTACAAGGACTCTCAAAAGCCAGAACACTCTCTCCTCTCCAGAATGCTCAAGCACCTCTATTTATACAAGAGGAAGGCAGATGACACCCTCATCTGCCAAGGGGTAGTTACCCACGTTGTTGCTATTCCATAGCATACTGGACTAGTAGACTTGGTCTCTGTGCAACACCTGGCAAGCAGTTCCACCACTTCAAGTAACTGCTGTGGAACTGCCCCTTCATCAGCATGCATCTAGACTGGATTCAGACTGGGGACATCCAGAACTGCCTCAGCAACTGCCTTGATTGAGTCTCAGCATCATAACCGCCCACATCCTCCTGGTCACATGCATTGAGCAGTCATGTGTCAATCAGGTGCCCACATTCAGCAGTCATGTGCCCACATTCACCAGTCAACCTTACTACTCGAACCAATGTGCATGCTGGGTTCAACCCATGCCATGCAATCCGAAGCTCTGCACCCACATTGCTTCAATTGAGCCCACCCATGCTGTCATACTCAACCGGGTGGTCTCATGCTGTCTTGGTTCGCCCCAATCTGTCGAACCACTTAACCGCGTCACCTTTGATTCCAATTTCTGGCATGCCTTGGTGCAAGATGCCACTAAGACCGGCCATTTACACCCAAGTCAATTAGGGTGTGACAAGTCACCCCCACCTAAAATATCCAACGACTTCGTTGGAATAGAGGCATGGTATTGCTTGATGAGATCCTCAAACTGCCACAATGTCGTCTCTTTCTCCCAAGTGGCTTCCTTTTAGTGTTTTCCCTTTTCACTTGACTAGGTAATGAGTTCTTCTATTTTTCTTACTCATTCCTTCAGTCTTGTGGTCAAGGATAGCTTCAGCTATTTCTATGAATTCCTTCCTGATTGTTGGAGGAGCCCGACGCCGAACGTATCTGTTAGGGTCCTCCGGGTCCTCAACATACGGTTTCAAGAAGGCAACATGGAAAACTGGATGAAATTTGAGACGACTGGGAAGATCCAGCCTATAGGCCAACCTATCTATCCTTATTGTTATTAGGAAAGGGCCGTCATAACGCTGAATTAATCCCTTGTGTGCAGACTTCCGAGAGATCTTGTTCCAGATTGGTGGGGTCAATTTCAGCATCACTTTGTCACCTACTTCGAACTCTACTGCCCTCCTCTTCTCGTCTGCCCACTTTTTCATCCTCTTCACCGCCTTAGTTAAACAGTCTTTTGCTTCGTCGTTCCGCTCTTGATTGGTCCGAGCAAAGCGATATGCCGCAGGACATCTCCCTTGAGACTTTTGCTTGACTACTTCATGCGGGGTAAGAGGCTGTTGGCCAGTTGCCAACTCAAAAGGGCTCATTCCAGTGGACGAACTCTGTTGGAGGTTATAACTGAACTGGGCTACATCAAGTAAATCCACCCAATTGTCCTGGTTCGCTGTGACATAATGTCTGAGATATTCCTCCAGCATTGCATTAACCCGCTCGGTCTGCCCATCTGTCTGCGGATGATTACTAGTGGAAAGTTTGAGCTGTGTGCCCAACAGCTCAAATAAAGCTGTCCAGAATCGGCCAGTAAACCGAGTGTCCCTGTCGCTCACTATGTCCAACGGAAGACCCCAAAGTTTCACAATATGCTTGAGGAATAACAGAGCAGTAACTTCCGCCGTACATACTTTTGGGGCAGCAATAAAAGTGGCATACTTCGAAAATCTGTCTACCACCACAAATATCGAAGTAAAATCGTTTACCTGAGGCAAGCCATTAATGAAGTCCATGGAAACACTCTCCCAAGGTCGGCTTGGAATAGGGAGAGGTTCCAATGTACCCGCCACCTTCTTCCTTTCAATCTTGTCCTGCTGGCACACCAAACACATGCGCACATACAGCTCCACATCTGCTTCCATGCGGAGCCAATAATAACTTTCTGCTAGCAAGACAAGAGTCCGTTGCTGCCCTGGATGTCCTGCCCATAGAGCATCATGAGCTTCTTTCAGCAACATCTGTCGAAGTCCGCCTGACTTCGGAACATAGGGTCTCCTACCTTTGGCGTAGAGAACACCATCCTCTACCCAAAATCACCGAGTCACCCCTTCGTGAACCTGCTTCAGCAATAAGCTGGTCACTGGATCATCTTTATTCTGATCCTGAATTCTCTGCAGTATGTCTCCTGTAATCTGGCTAAGTGCAGCAACTGTCCCATCAGCAACTGGGATTCGACTAAGAGCATCAGCAACCTGATTTGCACTGCCAGGCTTGTACTGCAACGTGAAATGAAACTGGGCAAGAAAATCCTGCCACCTTGCTTGTTTTGGTGTCAGCTTCTTCATGGAATTGAAACAGCTAGTAGCCACATTATCTGTCAGTACAAGAAAATGCTTCCCCCAACAAGTAGTGCCTCCATGCATTGATGCAGTGAATGACTGTTGTCATCTCATTCTCATGTACTGAATACCGCCTCTCGGTATCATTCAGCTTCCTACTTTCAAATGCCACTGGATGCTCATTCTGCACCAACACCCCTCCAAGAGCAAAGTCTAATGCGTCTGTATGGACTTCAAAAGGCAAATCAAAATCAGGTAAACGTAAAATTGGGCTAGACGTCACCACTGCCTTCAATCGATCGAATGCCTCCTGGCATTCGTAGGACCAGTTCCATGTCCTATCTTTCCTTAGAAGATTAATCAGCACTGCGACCTTCTTCGAATAATTCTTCATGAATTTTCGATAATAGTTTGTCAAACCAAAGAAAGAACGATATTCAGTAACCTTAGTAGGGACAGACCAATTTGCAATGGCCTCAACTTTTTTCGGGTCCATCTTCACCACGCCCGCAGAAATAATATGCCCTAAGAATGAAATTTCTTTCTGAGCAAACTCACATTTTTATGGTTTCAGATACAACCGGGTTTTCCTTAACTTTGTCAAGGCCAACTTAAGATGCTCAACATGCTCCTCAAGAGTCTGGCTATAAACAACTATGTCATCCAAATAAATCACCAAGAAGCGGTCCAAGTATTCCCGAAATACATTGGTCATTAAGTTACAGAATGTAGCAGGGGCATTGGTTAAGCCGAAAGGCATAACTAAAAACTTATATGACCCATACCTTGTCACACAAGTAGTCTTCTCCTCATCTCCCTCTGCAATTCTGACTTGATGATATCCCAGCCGCAAATCCATCTTGGTAAAGAAAATCGCCTTTCCCAATCTATCAAATAGTTCGTCGACAAGCGGCACTGGATAGTTGTTCTTGACAGTGACTTTGTTGAGCGCTCTGTAGTCTACACAAAGCCGTAAGGATCCATCCTTCTTTTTTTGAAACAGAACAGGAGCTCCATAGGGTGTCTTGGAAGGTTGAATGAACCCAATGTCCAATAACCCCCCAAGTTGTCTCCTTAGCTCCGCCAATTCTGATGGAGACATTCGATAAGGAGCCTGTGCAGGGATTTTTGCCCCTAGTATTAACTTTATGGCATGGTCAATCTCCCGTCTTGGCGGTAACCTTGTTGGTAATTCTTTAGGTGCCACATCCTTAAACTCAACCAGCAACTGTTGTACTGATTTAGGGACTTAAAATGCTTTGGACTCCTCTTCCTCAAATAGAACAGCCAAGTATGTTGCCTCCCCTTTTCGTAAGCCATCTTTTACTTGTAAGACAAACAACATTTCCCCCGAAGACTTGACTTTGGTGAGGGGAACAAAACAAGAATTGGGCATGTCCATCACGAACATCCCATTTAAATGCGGCATAACAGACACCATTGCCTTTGTAAAGAATTGCAGTCCAAGGATTACCTAGAAATCATCGAGAGAGACTACCATAAAATCACATGTTCCTTACCAATCACCCACTTTTAGAGGGACTTCTCTTGCGACGCCGCCTACTGTTTTTGCTTCTGAATTAACAGTCTTAATCTGGCTAGAATCTTTCACCAAAGCCAGACCAAGCCAAAGCCAGACCAAGCCGTTGTACTTCCCAATCAGAAACAAGATTATAGGTTGCACCTGTATCGACCATTGCCTGGACAGCCACATTGTTCAGGCAAATCTGCATTAATGAATGATGATACCAGGGGATAGCTTGCATAATCATACAGGTTATTCTTTAACCTCTAGTTTCACCCATCGATCACCAGAGAGAGGTTTGTCCATTTATTTTAATTCATCTATGTTCTTCCCCATGTTGGACTAGATAAAAGATCAGGAGATGTAAACCAAACACGATCTACCATAAGCATTACTGAAAACAAGATCATAACTTGCAAAGAAAACGATCTATTGTTTCATTAATGATCAAACTCGCAGCAAATCCAACCAAAAAACCAACTAGATAACAATAACAAAGGAATTTCCTCTACAATCTAAAAGAATAAATCACTAAATCACCCAACTTTGTACCATTTTCCTATAAAGATCGTAATGATATCAAAAGCCCTCTAGATCTAATTATCGGCATCCGCCTTGGAAGACGCAGAGCCGGCCTTCTTAGGCAGCAAGTGATTGTGAATGTTAGGCATCACTCCGCCATTAGCAATGGTCACACAACCAAGCAGACGACTCAGCTCCTCATCATTCCTCACCGCCAACTGTATGTGACGCGGAATCACTCGGTTCTTCTTGTTGTCCCTCGCCGCATTCCCAGCCAGTTCCAAAACCTAAAGAAACGGCCAAAAATCACACGCAATCAGAACATATAAGAGAATCAATCATGTATGTATAGGTGAGCTAAAAAAAGTAGAAATATTCACCTCAGCGGCGAGGTATTCGAGGACAGCGGCAAGGTAGACCGGAGCTCCGGCTCCGACGCGCTCGGCGTATTTGCCGGCTTTGAGGAAACGAGCGATCCGGCCAACGGGAAATTGGAGACCGGCTTTGGCGCTGCGAGAGGTGGCCTTTTTGGCTGCGTTAGAGCTCAGAGACTTTCCTCTTCCGGCCATTGATCAGAGTTTCCGAGAGAAAGCGAGAGGTTTTAAATTGGAGAGGTGGAAAAAGAAGAGAGATACGAGGGAAGTTTGGGGGTGGGTCGTACATTGTGGGGCTTTATATAGTGAGGTGTAAAGAGGAATGCGCCAATGAAAAGCGATGACGGAGATCGAGATCTGCAGCCGTTGATTGGTTTGTAAATGAACGGTGAGATTAGTTGGAGTACAGCACGATAGTGGATTGGATAAAGAAAGTTTTTGAATCCGCCAATGAGAAGCGATGGCGCGGATTGAAATAACTAACCGCTGATTCATAGCATTAGACGGTTAAGAGGGTCTGACTTATTCCCTAAACAAACTAAGGCATTAAGCAATAAAGATTTGACATGGTAAAGCTAGGAAAGTATTACCAGTGTGACAAAAATAATTTATCCCATCCATCGTCACTTTTACATGACCCAAGCACGTGAATTGTCACACATTAAATCACGCACTCTTTTTCTCTCTCTCTCTTAAAATTAAAACTCGCTAAAGTAGCACTACCCAAAAATCCCAATCACCAACATTATCTCCATCGCACTTCTCTTTGGCAATTTTAGGAATTTGATTGAATGAAAATTATTCCACCCTTGTTTTGTATATCCAATTTTAATTTTTTTTTTTTTTTGGATACAAAAAGGAAAATTCCTCTGTACATTAAGAAAAATATCATGTTGGATAGGCGAACTAAACCCAAAAAAAAAAAAAAATTATTCTTAGAACAAGAAGGAACCCCAAATTAATTGACTGAAGATATTCGTTCTGTGAAGGCCTTCCCACCAAACGAAGTTCAAACCTGGCCGCAGAGAGAGATGCAAATTGAAAACCGGCCAAAATCTCATTTACCAAACAAAACTTACAATACAGAATTCACCTGAATGACTATTATCAAATAACATTTGAAAAGAATTCAGAAACCAGCCACTTGCATTTCAAAAAATCTAACATTTCTTATGTATGTATAAACACAACATTAGAACAATCAATTGGCTACTTACTTTAAGTTCCAAATTTATGAAAAAATTCTAAATCAAAATTGGTAAAAGAATTATAAACTAACAGCTAAAAAATTCTAACTATTTACCAACAACTGGACCTCCATGAACCAAAAATCATTGCAGATCCACGAATTAAATCCTGCTACGATCCTCCACACAACAACATGGTTAGAACTGTTGGTGAACACTGCATTGTCGGCTTCAGCCAGGTGTACTAGAACTCTGAACTAACTGTGTATATGCCAGATATTCATGGGTGTCACAGATTGCAGATACAATGTTGTTTCAAATCAAGGAAAGGAAAAGGTTCACAGGGGAGAAGGGGGAAATGTTGGTACCCAAGTCAAAGAATTTTGTATACCTGTACCAAAACAGATCTATGGAGTGTCATCATCAGAACTAGAACTATCCATCCTTCTCTCAATGATAACCGGAAAAAGATGCTGACGAGGATCTGGAGAAGGAGAATGGCGAGGTTCTAAGGGTGTCACCATCGGTTCCTCTTTTCTCACCATCCTATTTGGCTTCCTTCTTGCATCTTTCACCTCTCTGCAAACCTTATCTAAAATTATAAGGAAATCCCTAACAATTACGAATAACCGCAAGCCCTCATCCTTGCCAGAGCTCCCATGGAAGTAATCTGATGTGCTCTTGACCAGAGCCATTATTCTCTTTTGTTCCTCAAACAACCACATAGTGTCAACTTCAGCATTCTGCACAAAGCTCTTCAGAGCTTGGTGGAATCCATTTTCTTCGTCTATACTCTTCATATCCGAGTTCAGAAATTCTCGGGCTTTTATGAGTGCATGACCGAGTTTGGTAACCATGCTCGTTAAGCTATCAGCATCCAAAACTGCAGCTTTCTTGACGTTCTGAAGCTCAGCACCCAAACTTGAGACAACCTGAAGACCAATGCTGCGATGGTGCTCTTCTGAATCATGCGAAGAATCCTCAAGGAGATCATCAGATTTGATGCTGGACATGCTCCGGCTTTCTCTGGCTGCACGGGCAGCTCGTACACCTTCTGATCGGATTATCTCTTGAACAACAAAGTGCAAGAGTGTAGTTTTTCCATCTGTTCCTTTTACATCAGCTAATTTCAAAAGTGTGTCGAGTTTGAATGCTTGTGCACCACCGCGAAAGGTTCCATCATTCATGCGATTACCCATTTTGAGAACAGCCTCCAGGAGTTTGAGAAACAATCGGCTTTTTCTGAGTTCCGTGCAAGCAGCCTGCAGTTAAAATGGAGACGAGATGAAAACAAGAGACTATCATGCATAAATGTCCAAATAGGTAGGCAGAATTGATGGACCAACATGAGTAGATGTGTGTTTTAGGTCACAGATAGGGGGCAGGGCAGCTGCCAGAGCGAATGCGAGAGCATTAAAGTAACACTGATCAAGTATAACTGAATTGGAGCGTCTGTGAATGTACAAGTACTTTTCTTGTCTTATCTATATATATGCCAACTTTACATCCAGGTGTTTATTGAAAAGCAAAACAACAAAAGTATAAAACGTCAAGAACAACTAAACAATGGATCCAGGTTAGAATTTTGTCAACTCTTAGTTGACCGTCAAAAAATGTTTGGTTTGAATCTCTGTAATACCCACTGCTCAGAAATAACAATCCCTTACCTTTGGCCTCATCTATTTTGTTATCTTTCACTTCACTCTCGCGGGGAAAAAACCCCAGTCCCCACAATGGGATATAATTAGAAATATTCAGAAACAGCAGCAGCAGCTAAATCTCTCTTGTATACTATTTTTTTCCTCCCTCCAATATGACAAAGTGGATATTCTTCCTCTTTCTTCAATAGGTCAGAAGAAGTGAGAGCAAGAAACAGAACATGGGACGCAGTAAAGACCTATCTAATTGCACATACTTGTGACAAGCAAAAAGAACTGAGGGAAGATATTTGATCAAGGGGTGGGGACGGTGCAAGAGCTACCACCAATGTCTTACCTCTAAGGTAGCAAAGGACTCTTTAGCAATTGATGCTTCCTCCTGCAGAGTGCACATAAAAAGCAATAATTCTAGCCTTTTAAAGGCAAACGGGATGTCAACCAAGACTTTTAGGAACCGATCTGCCGGACCAAGTCGAGAAAGTTCACCACTATAAAGCCTCAGCTTCAGTTCTTCTTCTGCTGTTGGTGCCATCCTCAATAAAGTCTGAAGGAATTCTGATGGAAGTTCATTTCCTGATGCAGGACAAAATGAGTCAGTCGCTGATTTTGTCGCAATATAATCTGAACCACAGTTACAAGCTACCACTTCACATTCAAGAACAGAGCATCAATATTGTTAAGGCCAAAGGTTCACTATAACCCATATGAAAACCTATATGTATATATGTCTCTGACTATTGGGAAATTATCTCGCTCACTACCCTATTCTCTCTCTCTCTCTTTCAACTGCAAACCAACCTACTCATACGGGTTAATCCAGGAAATTCGTTATTCTCACTTTCAGTTCGACATTTCAATCTCACTGGGTAAAATATCATGCACTTCTTTCGATGCAATAAACTGTCAAGTTTAGCAAGATTGTTTTAATAAACCCAGCCGTTGTCACTCAGAACATGTGCCATATGCATAATGACTTATATATCCTACTGTTTCCCGGTAGATAGGTGCATCAAAGATAAATACGAAACCAAGCAACGGAAATTCTTAGATGAGTTGGACTTCATCCAACTTGGTCAGCATAAAGTGATCAACGACCTATATTACTAAGGGTGTAAAAAAATCATGTACAAGTTCCAAGCATCTATTAGTAATGCTGAACTAGTAAACAACTATTTCAGTAAATCTCTTTGGGAGCTTTAAGCATCAATTTGAATTTTATATGAATAGGTTATACATTCTTCACATATTTGTTCCTTGAATGAGTTATGTAACGCACCTAAACTAAATCATCTATTCCTTCTAGGAATCCCAATAAATTCTTTCTCTACCACTGTGATGAGAACAAGGTCTGTCCCAGTATGCTAACTACCAATATATTTTCTACTTCTACAAGGAGAAGAGAATCACCTTCTAGAAGTGCATCACAAACTTCTTCTGTGGTCACGTTCAATGCTTTTAGAAGAATCGATAAATTCTGTGACTTTTTCGGATCAATTATTTGAACATATTGTGTTGAAGGACCTTTGGATGAAGACTCCTTTCTGGGCTCATTCTTGTTTCCCTCAGCAGGGGCATAGCCAAATAGAGTTTCTATCATCTCTTCATTGAACCTGTTCATAGACATCTTCATTGTCAGTTTGGCAGCTCTATATGTTTAAGAATCCATAAGCAGCATCAATAAGAACCCCCCCCCCCCCCGCCCAGAGAGACTTACTGGAAGGACCCCGATTTAATCTGATGCCAAACCATTGAATGATCAGGATTGGCCAGCACCTTATCCCAGAAGAACGGCTTTAGCTTGGTTTTAGGAGCATCGGCCTCGACCCCTTCAGCGGAAGCAGCAGTTGATGAATGCTTCGATCCAAGAGGTGAAGCTCGTGGTGGTTTCAAGCCCATGGCAGAGGGCCGAGGTGGTGGGAGAGAACTACTTGGAGGTGGCGGTGGGCGAGGACCAGTCTTGATGCCAAAAGGTATAGGTGGAGGAGGAGGTGGTCCTGGAGGAGGAGGAGGACGTGGGGCACCAGAAGAAGGTTTCAGTGATGGTGGTGGTGGTGGTCTAGGAGGAGGAGGAGCTGCCTTGCCAGGAGTGGAAGGTCCAGCAGGATCTGCCCTTCCAGGAGAAGGCTTCAGAGGTGGCAGTTCAGATGTGCCCAACCTTCCAGGAGGGGCCTTCAGTAGAGAAGGTGGCATCTGCACAGAATTTTCTGCTATGGCAGCACCAGCAACAGTACCTAATGGGGTTTCAACTTTGGAGCTATTGAGAATATTTGACTCCATGAAAAAATTGTCATCCAGAGATGAAGGCATTTTTTTATGGTTGGAGTTGGTATAGAACTGATTACTAGAATTCTCTATCTTGGTTGAATTTCCAACTGCAAATGACTTCAGTGAAGAACCTGAAAAGCCACAAGTTGGACATTCATGAGTATAGAAAAATGCTAATGAAATTTTTCTACACAAAAAAAAAAGAAAGGAACTATCAATATACCAATAGAATATTCGCTTAAGCTGAGAAGAGGCCTCTGATCATTTTGCCGGTCTCCAGAGCCAGCCCTACACACCTTACGATAACATAAAAAGAGCAGCGCAGCAAAAAGAATTGTCACTACAGCAGTTACAACAACAGCAACAACAACTGTTCTGCGGCTGCTCTTTTGCTTATTGGACTGATCATTTGAAGCAGAATTTGAGCTTGTACCAGCTGCAGGTTGCAAGTTTGAATCATTAAAAGCAGGTGGAAAAAATGGTGGAGGATCAGATGGGCGTTGAGAATTCGGAAGTTCAGAACTTGAAGGTCCCGGGTCAACGGATGGTGCTGGACTAGAAACAGGTGATGCAGCTGCAGGCGAGGGGGCAGGTGCTTCTGCAAAGCTCTGAAGCAATGCCCGCCTTTTAGAAGCAACAGATCCGGTAAACCAAGACTCCAGATACTTGGTGTACCAATATTTAGAGCCTATCTCTTCTCCAGAGATAAGGAACATAAGATTTTTCTTCCTCAGACAGTCCAGAAGCGTTTGCTTAACCTGGGGATGCAAGACACTTATAGCCTTCTGTATGTTTTCTTTTGCAGATGCCCTACTTTTCAAGATGATTTCATTGCTGCCACTGGACTTACATTCTGGAACATATAATTCAAGATCTTCAACAGCATCCATTGCACGAATCAACTCTAGCCCACAATTTACCCATAATAGCTCAGCCTGCAGCCAAAGAATTATATCAGACTCAATAAGTTTTTATGTGTATAAGTGCAACTACCACTCAAAACCTGTTCAAGGTTTATTCCAGAAAGCTATGTCCGTCAAGTAATAAGTTGATAATAAGAAACTGAATTTTAGATTGAATTTAAAAGGGGGACAAAGAAGGCACATCCTATGCAGTAATCCTTGTAGCTAAGAATATTAAAATCCTATTAGCTTTAGTGGAAAGCATGTTAGTCACAGTGAAACAATTTTTTGACATGATTTAAACTACAGTCTCAACTCTTAATTTCATTTAGAAGCAGATGAGAATATTTTTGAGCTGTGGAAAAAAGGCACAACAGTTATTCTTAATTCCTTTCTTTTTTTTTTTTTTGGGTTAGTAATTTCTTTCGTATTTCCACAAAGGGAACTATGAATTTTAAATTAGAAGTGTTTTTAACTAGGACTAAAGAGAAAGACCTAACTTCCAGGAAAAAAAATAGAGAAAGATCTATGTAAGGCCCTAATTTATTTAGTAAAGAATATATTACATATTCTGAAGAAAAAAAAACTGTATATTCCTACTGAAACAGCTCTAGTCTGGTGCTCCAGAACCAATAGTGAACAGTGGTCCGTGTTTTTCTATTATACACATTCTGCTTTCCTGACAGTGCCCTTCAAATGAATCACTTGTACTTTTCTTTTAGGAGACAATTACACTACTAACCTACCGGCAAATAAAAACAAAAAAACAACTACACTTCTCGGAAAAAGTATTCTCCATTACTACAACAAGTAATCCTATTGTTTCAGGTAGTTGCATAAATTACATAACAGAAGAAGTTTGAACATAAAACTGTATATAACATATCAAGAATATCATTCCAGCCCCACATTTAACATTAAATTCAATACAGAAATTCACATAGGTTGAAAAAATGGGAAAGGACCATTTACTCTTTTTTCTTAACTATAAGACATAAGATGAGCAAGACACCCAAAGAATACAGGAGTCAAAAGCAAAGAAATGCATCACATTTGATACATGAAAAATAAGTATATATGTTTATGATAAAGGCTGTTGAAAAGTCTTGTACATTTCATTAGAGGAATCTAGTTTAAGCTAAAAATAAATTTTATTGCCATATTCTAGCATCTTCTTCCATTTTCGGTATATTTAGCAATTTTTGTTTCAAAAGACAAATCTCCAGTGTTATCTTAATCACAGAGTTACAAAACTCGATCCATATATTCCTGACCTCAACTTTTTACATTGAAGAGGAAATAAATACCAAGCACTACAAGCAGCATTGACATAAGTTTCCTTGACCTCATTAGGGGGTCTTTGCCAAATCATTTATGAAGGAGAGCCTATTGGATGTGACAACAACCTAAATAAGCAACTCTAATTGCTTCTTCTGAGGCATAAACTGCTGAGTTAACGTAATTGGTTCCTAATATCAACAGGAATTTTAGAAGAGCATACTTCCCTCATCAATGCATGATATCAAATCCACGGGAAATGACGTAAGGGTACTGCAAATATAACATGGGAAAGATGTTCTAGCAATTCTGTTAGAACTGGAGATGTGTGTGCCTGCTATGCAGCACATAATGTGCTGTTGGCTAACCATCTCTACAATGTATGCTGTAATATTTTTTTTTGGAAAGACCATCCGGTATCTGAAAGCCATTTTGGGCTCCAACTAATCCGGATTCGAGCCGGATAGGACTACAAGGGCGGCAAAGCTCTCCCTACCGAACACAGCTATGTTCCCAAGACTCGAACTCGAGACCTTGGTTAAGCTAGAACAGTCCCTCACCAACTAATCTAATGTTCGGTGGTATGTATAGCTATTGTAGTCTTTAGCATGCTAATAACAACAAAATTAAAGTATTTGACTTATCCTCCTTTCAATTAGGCTACCACAGCAAAGCAACATTCTTTTCATTGCAAATGTAAGCATGCATTGCAAACAAAACACAAGTACTCGGGAAAAAAGGCATGCAATGAACAAAATTACGTATACAACTACCGCAGAAACAAAAGTTATAGCTTACTACCATGTCCTCATTTGTCCTCCACAAATCATTTAGAATTCCCACTGGTAGTTCATGAGTCTTTTTGTTGCTTTCCAAACCCACCGCTGTGAAAGTGAAAAGCAGAAAAGCAAATGCAATGAAACAAACCACTCTGCTCACAGCCATTTGTTGTTGAGTCAGCATTCCAAAACCATACAATGACTTTTCATGTCATGAATCCAAAACCCCCCAGAATTGAAACCAAAAACCAAAACCTTAGTGTTGTAGAACGTATCAAATCTCCACCAATAAAATCATTCATCAACCCAAAACACACCAATTCAAGTTTTCCCAAGAAAGCCCTTTCAATGTCCCCATCGTAGACCTTCCCTCAATATACTTAAAGAACCCACTTCAAATTTCTGGCAAAAACTCAAATCCTTGTGCCAAACTCACTCCTTTGATCTAAACCCAGAATTTTCCCTCCAATGAAACGTCAAATCATCGAATGCAATTGAAACAAAACCACCCCTAAATCAAGCAATTTCAGCTTCGATGAACTGAATCATTCGAATTAAATACCTAACACCCTAAAAAAAACAATTATCAATAGTGCACCCAAATCTACAGGGAAATTCCTTCACTTGGGTTTGGTATAAAACCAGATCCAGCAAAAGGGAGCACCAATAAAAACACAACCTTATAAAGAAATCAACGCGAGAACTAGAAGGTTGACCAAGACAATCCTTGAGAACGAGTAAAACTTTTCTTTTTCTTGTGCAGAAAGAGTCGTATGAAAGCTGGCCACGAAGAAAATGGCTTTTCAATTGTCAGACAGGTTTTGGTTTGCTCTACATGTGAGTGTTTTTAATTTTTTGGAATTTTTGTTCGTTCGCTTTAGGTTTCCTTAACGCGAAAATGACGCGGAAAGGAGAGCCGTCTTTGTCCTGAGAGAGGACCGTTTGGATACTTTTTGGCCAAATAATTGAAAACTGGGACAAGTGGGATGAGGTCACGGTGGTAAATTGGTCTTTGAAATTTTAATTTTATTAATTTTTTTTTCGAAGTTTAAGTATCGAGTCGGTGTGATTCTTGACACTATACCTCCGTTAAAAAAAAGAGATGGAAATGATCATGCGTGTCTCAGTAGTCGTTTTTTAAGGATATTTTTGATATTTTATAGACAAAATAGAGGGTAAAATTTGATGAGTTCAAAATTAATCAAATTTGGTCCAATGAATTAAGAATGCCCAAATCAACTAAAGGGTGGCCCAGACCCATTTTGCAAGCCCAATCTAGTCCGATCCAGTTCAAAATCTAAGAAGCTCAGGAAAATAGAAACACGTGGGAGAGAGAATATCGGAATATGCACTCACAGAAATCTAATTTTACCATAATTATACTTGCCAAAATGGTAAAAGTCCTCTCCATCACGTCATTACTTTATCAAACCTATATAATGTAAACTCTCTCCACTTGAAGGGCAATCACCCCATCACCTTTTTTAGGCCTCTATACCTTGAGATTTCTACACACACTACACCTTCAGATTTCTACACACACTACATCTTCCTACACACATTGCTTCTCACTTCGCAAGTTACTATCTCAGTGATATTATTCATCAATAAAGATCTCTGATTACTATTGTCGTTGCCGTTCCTGAGAGTGGAGTAGGTCACCCGAACCGAACTACTATAAACCTTAAAGTTTGCTCATATTTACGATTTTTCCATTGCTTGCCTATTTACTACTCATTAATTGTGTTTCTTGATATATTCGACTGTTGATTTTGCGCAATACCGATTTGTGTATCATCAAAATACAAAATAAAAAATCAACGACCCTCTCTTTTTTTATCTATCTTCCCTTAGAAATTAGAAGTCTCATCCCAATATATCCCCACCCCTAGGTTTACCAACGAATATCACCACCTCCATTATCCCTTCCTTGTCCAAAATTTGTTCTCCATAATATTTACCGCAAAACTAACTCAATCATCTAGCAGCAACACAGTCACTCATCTCTTGAGTTACCTCTAAGCCCACCACCACCATAGTTAAACCCCCGCTGCTACTGCCACCACAAAAAACAGCAAAGACGAAATCTCGATGACCCACACCAATTTTAGAGAATAAAGTGGAGATGAGAGAGAAAGAGAGATAGCAAATTAGAAAGAGAGAAAGGGAATCACAATCACAAATCCAATGTCCAATTCAAAACTAATTTTTCATTGGTCCAAATCTGGGGGTTTGGCACTTAGATGATTTGGTAGTCATTTTTGGGGTGATGTCATTATTTAGAGCTTGACTGCCCATGAAGGTCTCTGAAAAATCACACTCTGTATGTGTGTGTGCGTGCGCGCTCGTGCATGTGGGGGGTTTGTGTTTTGTTTGTGCTTTTGTGTTTTGTGCTTGCGTATGTGCTAGAGTTTGAGATATGAAAGATGTGTTAGGTTTAAGAGAGAGAGACACAAGAACTAGGGGGAGAGAGAGAGAGAGAGAAGGGAGTGGGATGGAGGGGTTTGTGGGTTTGAGAAAAGGGACAAGCAAAGATAAAATTAGATAGATAGTGAGAGACACGTAAAGAGAATGATTTGTGGGTTTGTGGGAAAAAGATGAGCAAGAGGCAAATTGGGGGGGAGGGGCAGAGCGAGAAAGGGGTAGAGACAAAGCTACAAAATGCTTAAAAGACCGATTGGAATCGAGGAACCAAATCCATGTGTATCGGAAGTGGAGGTATTGCTCCTAGATGCATGTTCAATTCACCTTGTTCTCTTTTCCATAAGTTAGGTGTATCTTCTTGAAAATGACACATAGTGAAAACGAAATTGAAGAGAGAGTGAGAAAAAAGGATGTCGCGTATTTGAGCTAGAGAAGGAAAAAAAAAGAAAGGTAGAAGAAGATAAATGTTCAGGGTTCAAGTTTATTGTATACAAATAAAGAATAAAAAATGTTTGGATGCATACGTTGTTATAAAATACCATAAATATCCTTAAAGAACTACATGTGACACGCATATGGTAGTTTGCATCTCTTTTTTTTAATGGAAGTTAGTTTCAAGGATCGCATTGATTCAATATTTAAACTCTTATCATTTTTTTTTAATTCAAATTTAAATTTAGATATTTTCTTTAATTATGTATTCAAACCCAATTAAAACAAGAAAGACCCAAACCTAGATCTAAAATAAGGGAGACTCAAAACCTGAATCCAAAATCTAACAATAAAAAATTTATTTCAATCTCTTCTCCTCCACACCCCACTCTCTCTCCCCACTTCTTCATTCTATTAGATGTGTTATTTCTTTCCCTTTTTTTGGCCTCATTTACTAGTTTGATTTTATTCTTTAAGGCAAAATAAGTTTTTTTTTTCTGCCTCATTTATTGATTTGAGGGGGAAAGAGATTTTGGAAGAAAAAAAGTAGAGAAATGAAAAAGAGTAAAAAAAAGTTTTGGAGGACAAAAATGAAAGAAAATAGTTTATGGGATAAGATTGGAATTTTTTAAAAATATTTGAGTGATGAGTTTCCAATAAACTTATACCAAATCAAAATTTTTATCTGTTTTTTTACTTAAATTTGAATAAAGGTTTAGATCTCTATTGGAGATAATCTAAAGATTTACAAATGGGGAGCTAACTCCTAATTAGCTGATCTTGATAAAAGGCTACAGACACAACTTTGAGAGCCGTCCAATAATTTGAAAGGGTGAGATGATAAGGTTGATGAAGTGATTTTGTTCGGCATCGTCTAGTAAGATAAGATCGATGTATTATATAGGTAAAAGTTATTTTTTAATTGTTGTGACTTATTCTATGACCGCCAAGTGTAACTCAAAGCCATATGCTGGTGAGTTAGAACTTTACAAGTGGTATTAGTAGTTAGACTTACCTCGTGGTGGTGTGGTGTGTCTCAAGAGATCAATTTGAGTGAGTTAGTGGTTCTCACATGGTGATATATGTTGAAATTTGACCCAAACTCCCGAAATCTCATGAATAGAAGTTTGTTGGGTAATCAATGTAAATATATCGATGTAGATTATTGGTCCGTGGATGTAGGTACAGTTTATCAAGTATGTTTTTGTATCGAACCACATTATATCTTTGTATCATATTTTTATTGTTTTTTTATTTTTGAATTTTTATCTTTCAACAGGTATTATTTATGTTAATTATCTGTTGTACAAAACTAACAAATGGTATCAGAGTTATGTTTCAACAAATGGTATTAGAGCTATGTTTCAACGAGATGAGTTAGGACTAATTTCATATGCCATTTTTGAAGTCTTTGAGGCCTAAAAAGAGGTGAAGTGAAAAAAAGATTGGTGACGTGATTAATTCATGAATTTCTCTCACATTGCTCAGTTAGAGAAGATCAGTTTGTTACATATAAAGACATTGTCTCAATTGATATGACGCATTTTAAAACCCTAAAGAACACTCAAATTAAACAAATATCACATACAATTGGACCAATTGGACCGAGACGTTACAATCACCCTTCTCGAACCTTTTCTCGAACGTCTGGTAGGTGCGCCCACTTCAAAGTTCAAACCATAACAAACCCACAGTAACACATAGCCCAAAAGGCCTAATTCTTTCCTTCTCAATTTGGACGGCTGTTGGTGTGTGAATCAAAATTATGGATCACGTGTGGTAAGGAGTAATAAAAAGTTGAGGAAAACCATTTGTATCCCAAAAATTCCGTCATGCTGGTAGAAAGCTTTTAATCGTGTCGGTTGAGGCGAGTACGTGTTGAAAAATATTATAATCATCCTCAATTTATTTATTAATTCGTGTCTAACGTATTATATCGGGTTCGTGTCGTGTATAACTGATATATAAAAGATTGTATCGTGTATTTTTTTTTTTTTTGTTGGTTCGACGGTTACAGTGTCTGGGTCAATTTACGTATCTTAATTAATCCTTTCGTCGGTCTAGTCAAATGCGTATTCACACTGGGATTAGGAAATTCATGATGAATAAATTCTTTATGATCTGATTCTAAAAATTTTCAAAATTTAAATTTAGGACATCTGAGTTTACAGATGGGCCCTATTACTATTTAAGCGACTTCAGCATTAATTAAAAGTACGAGAATTTTTTATCTCGTACAAATTGCATAAATTTTTTATTATTTCAAAAACTAGGCATCAATTGAAAATTAATCTAAACTCATTAGACTCTTTTTATGACAAGCTAGACTAGCCACAAGAGTGACCTCTACGAGCTATTAATTTGTTTAATTTCTTGCAGGCCACCACTGGTGTCTTGTTGGAACCATCGTCCAAAACCTTTGACACTGGCTCCATGTGGTCAACCCTCATCCGGCTTTCAACAAAAAAAATCCCACATCAGTATAACTTTGACAAATGTCATATTCCATTAGGCTCAAATGCAACTAGGAAGTTCGATGATTTAAAACAAGAAAAGTGACGAAACAAAACTGACAGATTAAGGATATATAAATAAAAAAAATCATTTATTTACCAATAATTTAAGCATCAACATCTTATATCTACAACCCTCATGGGTAATTATTTGATTAGTTTGGGATGAAATCTAAACTAAGACATCTTAGGTTCGACTTTTATTGACGTCTCTCGCGTTTTACAAGTCCCGGTGATCGTGGGTGATCATAATATCTGAGATTACTTAGTAAGGGTCAATCCAATGGTGTTTTAAAAAAGATGGGTCCACAAAACACTAAGACTTTTTTTTTTCCAATTACACAATTGATCAATAGATAACACATATCGATATTTTTTGATCTGAACGACATTAGATGTATGACCGATATAAAACTAATATCATTGAAAGTATATATTTGGTTAATTACATTGCTAAAACTTACCCAACTATTTTTGTTGTATCAATGTAATTAACCCATTAAGTTTGTTTTGTTACCTTATTGATGATATTCCCAATTCTATATACTTATTTTGTATCATGGAAGTTTCAATAATTCTCAACACATTCTAACAATACTTTAGTCCCAAGTCGGCTACTTCAGACAGTATAAAAAATTCTCAGCTCAAATATGAAACCTTTGTGAACTTTACGCTTGCATCAAGCACTACTACAATGCTTGATAATGAGGCAATACCACCAGATCTCAGTAGCTTTTCACTAAATGGTTGACCATAAATCACTTTCGTTTCACAAATAGAGGTATTATTTGAAATTAAAATCTCGAAATACAAATCCTAAAAACTTCTCATCCGAAAGCACGTTTACATGTTACAAGATTAGAATATAGAGATACGAACTAAAACACCATTAATCCATGTGTTCTATTGGTCATATGGCACCGAAATTATACAACTAAATGATGTACAATGTTACATGTATCATCTGGTCATTTAACAATTACTGTTTACACCGACAAAAGAGAGAGAGAAACGTCAACAGCTTTGAAAGTAAGTTTAGTCATTGTGTTTATTAGGTGCAGAGGATTGGGATAATTTTTGAGTTGGAAGCCAAGGGAATTTGGCAAGTGAGTGTGAGAGAGAGAGACAGATTGAGCATGGCTAAAGAAGAAGCCAACCAACAGGTATCCGAAAAAGACTATGGGAATGTTACAAAGCACCAAGAAACGAATTGAAGCACCAACAAACGGCTGCATCACTAGAGAAGATGGCTACTTTTACCGCTTGCTACCCCTCTATAACATGAAAGAGTGCTGGAAAAGTTTTCCTGCACAGTAAAAGTGGAAATTCTTGACGCCCTTTCGACGCAAGAGAAAGCATTTGTTATTTTTATAGGGGGTCTAGTTTTTGGTTCTCGTTTGTTGATGAGTGTAAAGTTTTTTTACTTTGTTGTTCTATATTATTTTTTTATTTTTTATTTTATAATTAATGGCTACAAACCAAATTATACAACAGTCAATCGACTTCGATATTAAACTCATAATTTTTTTGTGTAATGTAAACTTATCATAAAAGGGAAAAATGTTTGAGACGTCAAGTTGTCATTTTTTTTGGGTACTGTAAATTTATCATAAAATAAAAAACGTTTGAGACGTTAAATTGCATGAATTGAATTTTTTAGGCGTGGTTCAATAGTTGAACTTGACATTTGGTAACTCAGAAGTTTTTGATTCAATTCTTTCTCAGTCATACCTTTTAGGAACATGCTCAAACTATGGTGGACAGCCACTAAATACAAGAGAATAATTGGTAGAAATTGAACACCTTTAACAATAAAAAAAAGTTGCATGAATAGAAAGACAATTCTGATGGTGTTGGTCCATTGGCAATTTGCAATTTGCATGGGTTACATTGGTCAAATCATCGAATTTTATCGACTTATTAAAAGGCTACTCATTAATTTTTATGATAGTGTTTAGACCAAATTATATGTATTTTTAGTGAATAAGCAATGAACGGTAGATGCCTGAGAAATAAAGTCTGCCAAAGAGATTCGCTACGTATTATTCATTTAATCAAAAATGGGTATACAACCAATCAATGTGATTTGTTCAAATTTAGGAACAATTACATTCCATGTAAAGGAGGGAATTAATTGGTTATTTTGGAATTTGAAAAGGCAATAGTTATCAACACTATATTGGCTCTAAGAATTTGAAAAATAGTAGTTGAAACAAGGAAGAAACTAAAGGGAAAATTGCCCGAAGAAATCATAATAATCGTCGATAAGAAGATGCCTATAAGATAGGCATTAATTGTAAGGAGAAGACATAATTAAACCCATCAAAGATTCATGACTTGGACATTTTAGGAGGAGTAATTTTAGACTAAATTTAAAGTTAGAACTAGTTTAAGAGGTTGTTTCATCAATCTGTTGTAACCCAAAAACCTTCAAAATTAATAAAAATATAGTTTCTTTTGTTGATCATTTTACTGTCATTTTATTTGCTTTAAATTCATCAACTATGATCATTCAAGGACGTTTTGAGATAAGACAACTAAACTCAACATAAAATAGTCATCTGATATCGCTTTGTAAAAAAGATTAAGTCCATCGATTTCAAAAGAAATCTTTTGTGAAGAGTCGAAGACCAACAAATAGTTACATAATGTCTGTGAATCAAAAGATTATATATTTGGTCCAAAAATTAGGTAGGTATTTTGAGAGTCACATATATCTCGTAGTCAGAGTTGACAATTTTAAGCACAATATTCAATTAGTGGATCACAATAAATAAATTTTCAGTATGAAATCGAAAGTGACAAAACCGGTTAACTAAATGAATTGGGTTACAATTAAGTATGAAAAAATCGGATCAAAACTCTTTAATCCAACCATATACTGCATTTAGTATTATATTTTAGTTCAAGCGTATTAATTTGTAAATTTATTATTTATCAACCAAATAATCAAAAACATTAATAACTAGATAAAATTAATAATTTTTTAGTTAATATGTAATTAGTACTCTATTATCTCACTTTTAATCTAGTGTCTTATCAAACACTGAATTACAATACATAATATTTTTATCTCATATTTAATATTATATTTTATTCGCTTATATGTAATTAATCTTTATTATATAATATAATTCATTCTTTTACAATACGGTAATCAAACGAGTCCAAAGAGTATTAACATATACATAGACATGTAGAATTTAAAATCTCAGGAAAAAAAAAATACAAAAAAGGCCAAAAAATTAGTTGGAAAAAAATTATAAAATGTAAGGGGGCATAATGGTCATGATGAACTTTCAACGAATCCTCCTCATAATACCGCCGGATTTTGTTTCAAAACAATTCAAAAACTACCCCTCACATCACAACGCTCCACAGTCACCACCCAATCCGATCCCCCACCCTCTCCGCTCCCCTTTCTTTCCAATCCTAACCCTTAGTTAATCTCACATTTACCAAATTACCGAAGAACAATGGACAGAGACAGAGAATGACATTTAAAATTCAGAGAGAGAGAGAGCTCTGATTTATGTTTAGTGTTCTTTATGTGTGTGGGTTCAAATCATTTTTTTAATGTTAGGTTAAAAAATTCATTTCGCTGTCTGAGAGTTTCGTCTTCTCTCTCCATTTCCTGCAATTCGAAGCAACGGTTGTGATTGTAATCGATAGCTTTGATTACAATTCAAGGTCCCACCAAACTCGCCCTTCCCTACGACTACTACTCTCTCTCTCTCTCCAAATGGCTTCTAAGAACCAGAACAAACCTCCAGTACCCAACACTTCCACACCTTCAACCCCTTCAAATGTAAGGTTTGATTTACTCTAGAACCCTTCTATTTTCCTCATCAATTTTTATCCACATCCTGTTTTTTTTTCCCTCTCGACATTTCCTACCACGAAGGTTGTTTATATCTTCCAAATTTGGTAGATTTATACTGTTTCTTTAGAACCATTTTTTGTGGGTAAGAGCAAGTTTCTGTGGGTTTTTATTGTTTATACTGTACAATTTTCAGGGTCTTCTTCTACTTTTTTAAATTTGTTGTGGGTTTTTGTTGTTCTTCCACACTAAGTACAGTGTAGACGAGGTCTTGATTGACAAGAGGCGAAAGATCGGAGTTGGAAGAATGGTAGGCCCGGCAAATACTACCAGAACCCGGCAAGCATTTTCAGTAGTGAATGGGGGTCAAGATCTGGCTGCAGCAGGCAGGCCGGCAAGTAATGCTGGATCAGATTGTGGTGTAACTGAGTTTACCAAAGAGGATGTCGAGGCATTATTAGGTGAGAAGATGAAGACAAAGAATAGATTTAACCTCAAGGTGAATGTGCTTTTCCAGTTTTGGTTATTGTTGAAACTAGTTTGTTTTTGGCTGTTATATATGTTTATTGATTTCGAAAGAGTTGATATCTTTTTAGGAGAAATGTGACCAAATGCTGGAGTATATAAAGAAACTAAGGCAATGTATCAGATGGTTTCAAGAGAATGAAGGAACCTATCTTTTAGAGCAAGACAGGCTTAAGAATTTGTTGGAATCAGCAGAAAAGAAATGCATCGATATGGGTATAGTTGGTTCTTTCTCTTTTACTTAAGAACCACAAGAAAATTAAATTGTCGATTAATGCATATGTGTATGTCTTGATTCTAGAGACGCTAATGAAGGCAAAGGAAGAGGAACTGAATTCGATTGTTATGGAGTTGAGAAAAAATTATGCTTGTTTACAGGAAAAAATAGCAAAGGAAGAGACAGATAAGTTGGTAAGATTGGTAGAAGAATACCATTAATTTTTAAGACATCGAGTCAATTGTTCAAGTTACTTGGTCAATAACAGTTGGTGGAGAATTAATGTTGAATGTCATATCAGGCTGCAATGGACAATTTTACAAGAGAGAAAGATGCTAGGGTTGCTGCGGAGAAGTTGCAGGCTTTCCTTTCGGAAGAGCTCAAGAGAGCTCAACAAGACAACTCAAATGCTAATCAGAAGGTATTAAAAAGATTTTGTATTTTATAAGAACAAATCTCATATTATTATTCATAGAAATCAACTATTCTAACTTTTGGCTTTTTGGATTCTGCAGATACAATCGCTTAATGACATGTACAAACGATTGCAGGAATACAACACAAGTTTGCAGCAGTACAACAGCAAACTTCAGTCGGAACTTGCTACAACCAACGATACCCTTAAGCGTGTGGAGAAAGAGAAAGCTGCTGTAGTGGAGAACCTCAGCATTCTTCGGGGTCACTATACATCCCTGCAAGATCAACTTACTGCTAGTAGAGTGAGTCTGTCCATTTTGGCTTAGATTTCCTATTCAATTTTTTGATGCCGCTAAAGTTCATTTTTCAAATTCGTTAATTGGTGCAACTATTCTATAACTTTGTTGGGAGGGGAGTTTATCTGTATATATATTCGAATTGACTGATTTCTAATTTATTTCATATTGATTTAAAAAGAGTTCTATTTTTGAATGAAGTTAGCAGTGCTACTCTATTCAAATTTAACCATGATTCCTTGTTTTACCTATTACTTGGCTCTGTCTTTGTTCCCATCTGGTGTGTCCGCTATCAGATTGGAACCTAGTCATACTATGTTGAACTTTTTAGGAGAACTTAGTTGGGTTGTAGAAAATCTAAAGGACAGCTCATATGATGACTGCATTTAGCTGAGTCCTTTTGCAACTCTTTACATGTTATTCAATATCCATGTTTGTTTATGTTAATTTCACTCAAATAGATTTGATTTTTTAACATGGTTAAAGTTTATGATTTATTTCTTCAAATCAATCTAGGTTTGATGCTATTGGAATAAACTAATAGATTGCTACATGTTTGTTACCTTTCTTTAGGCATTATTTCTTATAAGTTGCTTTTGAATACTGTTGTTCTATCAAATTTTATTAGGCTTCTCAAGATGAGGTTGTGAAACAAAAAGAACTTCTAGTTAATGAAGTTGGATGCTTGCGGGGGGAATTGCAACAAGTGAGAGATGATCGTGATCGTCAGTTATCACATGTTCAAAATTTAACGACCGAAGTTGTGAAATATAAAGAGTGTACCGAAAAATACAGGGCTGAGTTGGATAGCCTGGCTATAAATTCAAATGAGCTGGAGGTTTGTTTATAGCACTTTTTTTTTCTAGATTCGGTGTATGTTTGACTTAAGCGCTGTTTTGATTTTTATTTGTTTTAGGCTTAATCACTCTATTGATTTTTATTTGTTTTAGGTTAGATGCTTATCTCAAAGTGACCACATAACAAGACTGCAGGAACACCTTGCTGTTGCAGAGAAGAAATTACAGGTTACATGGAATGCGCTTGATGAAAAATTTAGCAATATGGATTTAGGGCCATGTGACTTCTAGACCTGCAGTTTGTTTAGCTCATCTTTCAACATTATTAGCTAGAAAATTTACTATTATTCTTGTTTATTACCTTGTTAGATGTATGATTTGTCCACGTTGGAGACAAGAACAGAATATGAAGAGCAAAAAAAACTTCTTTTTGAGTTACAAAGTCGGCTTGCTGATGCAGACCTGAAAATTATAGAAGGAGAGAAACTACGTAAAAAGTTACATAATACAATACTGGTAATGTTATTTTATTGTACCTTCTGAAAAAGAGGTTCTTGCATTGTGTTTTTGATAATTTGGGGCTGCAAGACGTTGGGCCTTGTGAATTATTTGATTGATGTGCTCTCTACTGGTACAGGAACTAAAGGGGAACATCCGGGTTTTTTGTAGAGTGAGACCTTTGCTATCCGATGATTGTGCTAGCTCAGAAACAAAGGTTGTCTCTTACCCAACAACAACTGAAGCACTGGAGCGGGGCATTGAGTTGACGCAAAATGGTAGTATTTTAAACAACTAATGTATACAAGGAAATATATGCAATATATATACATATATATATATATATATATATATATATATATATATATATATTGTTTGAATCATACTTTGTGTTTGAATTTGACTTTGTGTCATTTTTTTTTTTTCACAAGGGCAAACACATTGTTTCATGTTCGACAAAGTATTCACAGCTGATGCCCCGCAGAAAGATGTTTTTGTAGAAATATCACAGCTTGTACAGAGTGCTCTTGATGGTTATAAGGTGATTTATTTTCTCTATTGCACACCAATTTTTTGTTACTTGCACTAAATTGCTTAGAACTGTTTCATTTAAAACACCAGTCATAACAACATAGGTGACTCTTATCAACATACTTTTAGATGGTAGGGTTGAAAATGCTACTGCAATAGACTTCGATTTGATGATGTACTTGAAGTTTTTTTACTAATATACTTTATCTATATCAAGAGATTGTAATTCTTCAGTACTTTTCATAATTGTGTTACGACCATGATTGGAATTTGTCAATTGAATATATGATTGTGAAAGGATGTTCAGGTTGGTTTTCTTTCTTTCTGTTGAGTATTAAATGATGTGAACATAGTTCAACAAGCAATAGCTGCTGAGGTATCTATAATTTATAATATAAACAGGACAACCTTCAATAAATCCATCCGCGGTCTCAAATAGACTTATATAACAGCCACTAACATCCCTTTCAAAACTATTCACATTGCACTGTATCTTCAGGCACGGGTTACCCTTAGTGAAATCATAAAACTGTACCTATTTGATGGTATACCATATATGTAGTAATGTTACAGCTTAGCGCACCTTTAGAATCTGTCAAACAATGATGGTGGTTTTTGTGTTTCAGGTTTGTATTTTTGCTTATGGTCAAACTGGTTCCGGAAAAACCCATACAATGATGGGCAAACCGGGAAGTCCTGATCAGAAAGGTCTGATGCCACGCTCTCTAGAACAGATATTTGAGACTAGGCAAGCACTTCAACCCCAAGGCTGGAAATATGAAATGCAGGTGAGCATCAAAATTTTGATGGTATTTATTATTTCTGTTGCACGACGATGCCTTTTAGACTTTTGAACTTATGTCTTCGAACATTTGTAGGTATCAATGCTGGAAATATACAATGAAAATATACGTGATCTGTTATCAACAAATTCATCACGAACAGATAATGGAGTTGCGGGAAAGCAGTATGCCATCAAGCATGATACGAATGGGAACACTCATGTCTCTGATCTAACCGTTGTGGATGTCCGCAGTAGTAAGGAGGTTTCATATCTGTTAGATCGGGCTGCACAAAGCAGGTATTGAATAGTACATGCTCTTAGATCCATGCTATTCCTTTTAAACTTCAATTGAGTTCATGAGGACCCCTAATTTGTGAATATACATGCGGATGTTTTGGGAAATTGATTCCTTTGCATATACAACTTTTGCAAATATCTAGCATATCCTCCCTTTTCCAATGAATCAGCACTTCTTGAATGTTATTGCTCCTTGGCACAATGAAACTTGGGACTTTTCCTTGAAAAAGTTAATATAAGATGTACACTTTAGAATCCTTGTATGACAATTGAGTGAATTTTGTATGCCTTACATTTATTCATACCTGCCACATATTTACAAACACACCATCCTTGTCATGGTTTCATATTTAGGGGTTCTAAGGTTCCTGAAATTTGCGCCTTACCTTTATCATTCTTTCAGGTCTGTAGGCAAAACCCAAATGAACGAACAATCTTCAAGAAGTCACTTTGTCTTCACTATGCGAATATCTGGTACAAATGTGGTATGAATAATCTTAGGCCTTGTCACCCTTTCCAATCTGTAGTGGTGATAATGTATATAATGTCTCAGCATAAGTGAAATTTATTTTGTTTTATCCTCCAGAGTACCGATCAACAAGTACAAGGTATCCTGAATCTTATTGACCTTGCTGGTAGTGAGCGCCTCTCTAAGAGTGGGTCAACTGGGGACCGGCTGAAAGAAACTCAAGTATGTGTACAAAACCATTTTGAGTTATTAGTTTGTTTCTTATGATGGATCTACCCTAATGACCAGTTCCTTTTGCAATTATTACCAGGCAATCAACAAGAGCTTATCATCTTTGAGTGATGTTATATTTGCCTTGGCTAAGAAGGAGGAGCATGTACCATTTAGAAACTCAAAGCTTACTTATCTACTCCAGGTAAATGCTTTATATTAGTTCAATGCAATGGTGTCATGTCGAAATTTTCTATTCTTGAAATGCTTCTTTGGCCATGTTGTGGAAGATTTGGTGGTGCATTTTCCTGACAATGACAATAACTGTGTTCAAGTCATATGCAAAAAGTTTTTTCAAGACACTCTTAATGTGGAGGATTCCAAATCTTACACTGAGAGCACATACAAGCTGGGACTGTATGTTTGTTCCAGACTTGCATTAGTCTCAAAACGTGCCTGATCGTCAAACCTAGCAGTTCTGCACAAGGCTTTGGATGAACTGATGTTGTTTTCATGAGCAGGCTCCCTTGGCCATTGTGTTTGTGAATGGGCATAGTTAATATGAATTATTTGAAATCTATGTTATGAATTGCCTTCTTTGGTGACCAGAGCTACAGAAGCAACAGATTTTATTTTCTTCCTGAAATGGAGAAAAGCTTCCGCTACTTTGTTCTTTTCTGTGGATTTTCATTATTGGATGTCTTCTGATCAATGAATTGTAAATCAGCCTTGTCTAGGAGGAGACTCGAAGACCTTGATGTTTGTCAATCTTTCCCCAGATCCTGCTTCAGTGGGTGAGTCTCTCTGTTCGCTTCGATTTGCAGCAAGGGTTAATGCTTGTGAGATTGGGATTCCCCGGCGTCAAACTAGCCTGCGATCTTCAGAATCTCGTTTGAGCTTAGGCTGATTTTTGTTATGATAACACTGTAGTAGTTTAATTTTAGAGAATCGCGTGATTTGCATCGGCGTAGCATTGATTGTTAACTGAGAATTAAAAGCATTTCTAACATCTTCAGCATATACTTTGTATAGTAGAGAGGACAATGGGCTTGTATTAGTAATAACCAGGGGATGCCCTTTTTAATCATTAGATTTGTATTTATGAAGATATTTGTTTGAATTTATTTCTAAACATTCTTCATTCAAGACTGTGTTGATGAGCTGTTTATTCTGCAGTGTAGTATTTAGTTGTGCCTTGCCTTTCTTTAATATCAAAATCTAACCATTACTTGAATAGATAGTAACATTAAAATTGTAAATGGGATGTAAAAGTGACATGAAATACAATGCACAAATCATTGTATGCCATTTCGATTCCTGAAATCTAACCATGAAATACAAGCTAACATTAAAATGTTTATGCCATTCGATTCATGACCTCTTCGAGAATAGCAGTAGTGTCTTGATAACATGATTGTGTCTGAGGAAGGTTTTGTTTTTTCACAGCATCTTCAAGCTGTCAAAACACACAAAAAACAAAACGCAGGTGCTTTAGTTCCCAGAATCTTGAAACCAAGTCATGTTTCATATACAACTAAACTATTCAATGTCAAAAACTGTGGCCAATTGACTTACCTTTTCGACACTGTCAAACAATTTGTTGGCAAGATCAGTGAGAGGTTGCTTATCTTTCACCGGAGCAGCAGAGATTAAGTTATCGAAATCATAATACATGAAGGTGGACTTAAGCCGGAGATATTTCCTAATGTAATTCCAAGCATCTTGTCCTATCATATCCCCCAATGCGAGGAGATCAAATGCGTATTTCTTTATCCTAAATGCCCTGCTTTTCGTATCAATATTTGCTATAAAGATTCCTTGCTGGAGGAAAGAGCGAGTCCCGGTCTCCTCATTTGCAATTTCTGCGCCAATGGAAGACATTGAAGGACAATTGAAACAAGAAATGATGAAGATGAGGAGAGACATGACATTTAAACGTATTTGATTTGTTAAGAAAGCTTACTGTTGTATATTAGTGGTTCAGGTATAGGGCTAGTGAGCCAGAAACCATTGTCCTCTGCTAGAGAGTTTCCAATACCAGAATTCCCAAAGAGTGCTATTGAGGAAAGGCCTAATGCAACCCTTCTTGTAGTTTGTAATGACTGTTCTTGAAATTCCTCTTTCTTGCACAGAAAACTAGTAAATGCCAATCTTTTTCGGGTTTTTTTGGCGCCATGAAGCTTTTGAATTGCTGGTAGGGCTTCAAGTACTCCATTCAGATTTGCCGTGTTTGCCATGATTGAAGTGTTTTAAGGGATAAATCTTGGGTAGTTGGTTGTGCTCTTCTTGTTGGTTATATCAGAAAGAAGAGGGTGGCTATTACTGACCACTAGATGGATATCCAAGTCGAGGGTATATTTGTAATTTTAATCATATGAAGTTTAAACCTCAATTGTAAGGATCAAGTATATTGCATCTGATCGCCTTTGTTCTGAAATGCATCTCAAAGAGAGAACTATCTGATTATACTTGAGGGGCAAGGCTATGCCACCAATTTTTTTTTTTTTTTAAGATTAAGTTATAACTTTTTTGAGTTGTTCGATAACACAATCGGTGTTTGGGATAGGCTATAGAATATTGGATTTATCTTGAAAAAAGTTTAGGATTGAGTTTTTGTTGTAACTTAGCCCCATTAAATTATAACTTCGACTCCAAAAAATTATTACATTCAATACTGTACCTCCTTCGGTACGCAAGTATTACCTTGGAAATGAACTTGAAGCTGCCAAAAGGTTAAAGAAAATGTAAAATACCATACCAGCCATAGATTGGCTAAAGCATCAATCAGAGGATAAAACAATGTCTAACAATTGTTGGACAAATTGGCAAGAATAGTAGTTGCAGATTTGGTAGAGGCTATGCCCTCATGACTGGCTAAAGAAGATTCATTTAGCCAATTCATTTAGACTTTGATTCAATAGTTAGCTTAATTTCACTCAATAGTAATTTTTTTTCGGTTTTCAATGTTCAATTTTGGAGTTTGACCTAATTTAAAGTGACCAAGATTGATTTTTATGACACTACTGGCATGGCCCACAGTTACCATGAAAATGGTGACAAGAAAACTAGTGAAGAAACATGCATCATGGTTTTTTTTTTTCACTAAAATGTGTTCAGGCTTGTGCCGGTTATTTTCTCGAGTTCAGCAACAGGTCACCATGGCTTGAGCTGGGTTAGAGCATGTCTCTTTGCGGACAAGAGTGTCTAGTCCTTAAGAGGTGTGGGAAGGAATTGAACCTAAGTCCTCTGGATAACCAAAGGTCAAGCTCAATCACTGGACCATCCCTAAGAGTTTATTTTGATTACCTCCTACAATGATCTGATTTGGAAGATTACCACCCCATTTTGGGTCACCAAACTTTGGCCCTTGCCTACTACCATAGCTCCAAACCTTCAAAGGAACAGAGGAGACCATTGAAGAATTCTCTTTGGTTCATCACTGTTGCAACCCTTAGAGGTTGGTGATAAGGATAATCCTCAATTGTTGGAGGGAGTTTCATGGTATTTAGTCTCGTTTTTGTTGAGTCTAATTCTCTATGGTATAGACGTCATTGATTGAATGGAGATAGATATATAAAAAGTATGGGCTGAGTAGCATGGTCACTGACTTGCACCTTGGTGGGCTAAATAAGATATATCACATTGACATGTGTGCCTTGTTTATTTGAGTATTATTTTCTGGTCACATTATATTAAAACAAAATTATAGAACATGCTTTTGAAAGTCACTCTCTGAAAGCTGAAAACTTCAAGCTATAAACAATCTAAAACATACAAAGTTACAGCAAGACATCAACCATTGAGGCACAACCCTTTTCATATATGTTAATCCATATATTATTAAATACCCTTTTTTGAGTCTAATCTATTAGTACACTGGGAATTTGGCTATTGGATGACATAATAACAAATACATACAACAATTTCATCTTGGGTAAATTTTACTGACACCCCTTCGAGTTTTTGAAATATCACTGCCTAACCCAGTCATTTTTGGAGGCATTTGCCAAGTTAATACAACAAAATAAGGAAGATAATATAAATTAACAGGTTTTTTGTTCAAATCTGATTGCATTGTAGCACACTGTAAACTTCAAGACCAATAGAAAGACATGTAGCTTGAAAAACAAGCTACAGATGCCAAGATTGGTTAGTGGATTGATGGTCATGCCTAGCAATTATTGAAGGTAAAGACACATTTTTAACAGATATCTTTGAAATTAAAGCATGATTATCATGGCTACAGATTTGGATAAAGCAGAACTCTTATAGATATGTATGAATAAGTCTCTGTCAGGGGACACGGGGGGAGGGGGGGGGGGGTGCCCATAGTTTTGTCATGCCCATACCATTCACAATCCGAAAAAGATAAAAAGTATGAATACTTGTCACTATATAACTTTCGTTTTCCAAACCTATGTTAAGTATATCTCCATCTCCTCACAGAAAGAGAGATAAGAAGAGGAGGAAAAAATTCAAGATATGGAAGGGCATGGACAGCTTGTGAAGTCTAGAATTGTAAAGATAGAGTCCGAAGAAACATGGGATTTCTGCATAACTCAAGCTAGAAATCAAGGATGTCCGGTAAGTCTTCATGGTTCTCTGTTCCAAGACTATTTTTTTCTAGTAATCTGCATACTAGGTATGTTTTTCACATATTGTTCGACCCGTTTAAAGATATAGCTGATCTTTAAGTCTAATATTATGGTTATAACTTAGCTAGTTTTATAATTAAACATTTTTGTTTGTGGATTTTGGTAATTTTCAGGTTGTAGTACATTTCACAGCTGCCTGGTGCATCCCTTCAGTAGCCATGGAATCATTTTTCGATGAACTGTCATTAAGCTACCAAGATATTCAGTTCCTAACAGTGGATGTCGATGAAGTTAAGGTAACTAAAACGACTACAACAACAACAACAATACAAATTCTATTTCAGCATGAAAAAATGACTGTTACTATTTCTTATGTGGACTTTTTTAGGAGGTAGCCTCGAAAATGGAGATCAAAGCCATGCCCACTTTTTCTCTAATGAGGGAAGGAACTCAGGTGGACAAGCTTATAGGTGCTAATCCAGATGAGATAAAGAAGAGGATTGATGGTTTCATTCACTCTATCCGGTCAAAGAATATAAGTTAAACTATATTGTTTACACCTTCAAGATCAGCAGAGTCTCAATATCAAATTATGTGACCTTGTTCATAAGAAGAATTATAACCTGTGTGTATGTAGAAGTGGTTGACATAATATGTTCATCGCGATGAAATAATGAATTAGCTAAGTTAGCGATTTGATTTCACAAACTATGATGCCATGAGTTGTATATTCACATTGTAATTAGCCACACCACTTTGTGAAGCGCCTCAAACGTAAGGCATGTCTAAGGTAACTTCAGTATCCTTTGGAAAGAAAAAAAAAGGCGAAAAAAAGCCGAAGAAAAAGAGCATGACTTAATGTGTGACTATGAAATCTATAGCTCATTGCTGAGCTATTACATGGATTATGACACAATTGGGGGTAGCTTTTGGAAAGATGGCAAGTTGTTCTCACTTAGATCAGTATAATTAGATGGTGGCATAAGATTGTTCCTCCCTCAAAGGTCTACAAATTGACAAGTGAAAGTGGTTTCATAGATGCTTTACAAGACATTTCCAACTATTTCAAAGTTGGAAAATAACAATAGGTAGCAGTCACCATTTGTGCAATTGAAATCTACATTTTTAATAAGCTGTAATCAGTTGTATTTTTCTTTTCTCCAACGCTTAGGTTCCAAATATATCATAGCTTTAGTGTGAATACATAATGTTCCAAAATCTATTTTGGAAGACATTAACTATATTTGGGACGTTACAAAACACCTCTGTAATCACATAATACTTTAGCTTCAATGTATGTATGGATCAAATTTTGATGCAAATCTGATCTAAATTAAAATAGCACAACTAGGGCCAGTTTGGTAGATGGGTAAATCGGGATTGGTGTGATGGGTTTAGGAAAAATAGTTCAATAGACCAACAAAACCCAAGTTTTGATACAATTTTAAAGCCCTTGATTGCAGTCTTGGCCCGTACTTGACCTGGATGCTTAAAACCATGAGCATTGACTTCAGCAAACCCAAAGGGGTTTTGATGGGGCCAAACCGGATTCAATTGGTAGAACACTTTTGTACTTCTTAATTTAGTTTAAATTGCTTAAACATATATATGTATGAATGAAATTAACTAACAAGCAAAATACTCATTTAAATGACAAATATATGGTGATAATGGTAATAAATTCGTGGGTCTCATAATTGTATTTGGTACTTATCAAGTATGGGTATGGGTATGAGTATGAGCATGGATATCAGTATGAATATGATTCATCTATGAATCATCATATGACAAAAGTGATCATTAAAAATGATAATTGAACTAACTAGTTGGATATGAATTCTTATCTATAACTAGATCGGATTCAAATAGTGATTTTTATCCCATTCAGATTCGAATCAAATCAAAGTAAAACTCTATCCGTTGGAGGTGGACTGCCTGAAGTGGATCGATATGGAGAGGTTTAAGGCCACTCATCCCCAATACCTTTTTTCTATAATCATTTTCCACCAATAGCAAGTGGACGTGTGAGCGTGCTTGTAACTTCAATATCCATAGCCTTAAATTGGGATTTGGAAAGCAACATAGTCCATGTGTGCTGAGGTGGGTGGTGTATCTGAACCAGTGACTTGCATCTTTTGCTTGAAATGACCCAACACATGCCTTTTGAAGCCGAAATGATATTTTCTCATTTGCTTCAATCTTTATCCGTCTAATGGTGACTGCACTTGCTGTTAGACTTTAAATTTGCAGATTGGAATTTTATCGTTTTCTCTTTGTAATACTGCAGGACAAAAAAAAAAAAAAAAAAATTTAATTTCTTTCGCTTTGCATACTTACACAGTAGTTCTAAATATAATTCAACTGAATTTTCTACTTTCATGGTAAGTGTTGATAATCGAATTGAGTTTTGTAAGTTCGAGTTGAGTCTGTCAAACTATTTTGTCTACACGAGTTTAAAAATTTATTCATACTTGATTCGTTTAGAATAAGAGCCGAACCCGAATTGAAATGAACCCAAATAGCTGAATTATTTTACTAGCAATGCTATATGGATTTAAAAATTAAACTTAAAAACCTAGACTTAATAATTATAATCATTGATTTCACTGTAAATCCCAGCATTTGTTGGGGTCCCACTACCTATTCAATGGCTAAGATTATCAAGTCTAATTTTTAAGTCCATTTAGCATTACTCTTATTTTATATATAAATAAGCCGAGCTTTGCGAGCTTGAGCTGAAAGTTTAAAAAAATGTTCAAATCCAACTCATTTAAAAAATAAATCGAGTCCAAAACAAATTGAACCCAAATAACTCGATTCATTTATCAACCCTAATCATAATGAAAAAACATTTCACACATATAAAATGCATATTGAAATCAAGTTTTCTTTTCACACCTTATTTGAAAAGTTATCGTTTACAAGTTTATACACATGTACCTAATTTTTATGAGACCATCCTCAGTCATGGTAGTTTCAATTAATTTGAAATCAAGTTCAGATGAAATTCAAATTATTCACAATTAGATTCATTGCGTTCTGCAAAGAACTCCGATTCTATTCCATTGAGTCTTCTCATTTGTGACGTAGAAGTTAGTTCGTCTCTTTCTCCCTAACATCCCTCCTTTCTTCCTTTTAACGATGACGACGTGTCTTAAAAAAATAATATTTAAACTTAATTAATTACAACTACATTATATTATAGTTCTTGATTAAATTATCAAATTAATTCTAAAAAAAATTAATATTAAGAGAATCTGAATTGCGTCCACATATATTTTTTTTTTGGTATATTAAATCGATATTTATAAGTCATTCCTCGTATCCATTAAGGAGTATTATATTTTAGTATCACACAGCTATCTATAAGAGATTCTACCGCGCTTATGTCAAGGTTAAAACTAAAGTCCCACCGTGTATTCTGGGAATTGATTGAAGAGTAGGTCAAACCCAATAAATTATTTAGTTATAGAGACTCAAATCTAAGCATTGCGTGAAATAATCTGAATATTTACCCGCGGAGCAATCGGTTCGGACACAGATCCATGTATCCAAGGCCCGATATAAAAACACGGTCACGTGGTTCACTGTCACAGTGCCCGAGTGGGAATCTCAAAACATGTGCCAATTTGTATAACAATTCCAGTATTCCTCCTCCATTCTCTCTCTCTCTCTCTCTCTCTCTCCTATCTGTGGTTGGAGAACGAAAGAAAAGTCCTTCATTTTCTCTCTACCCAAAGCTGCGTAACCCTCAATTTCTTTTCCATTTCTAACAAAATTCAGAATTCTTTGCTTTTCCGGCAATTGATCCGAAATGGTTTCCCCGGAAAACACCAATTGGCTCTTCGACTATGGATTGGTCGAGGATATCACTCTTCCTGATGGGAATTTCTCGGCTCCAGCTTCTGGGTTCAGCTGGCCTATGCAGCCCTTGAATGGTTCATCCAATTTTAGGTACCGTAGTTTCAATTTTTTAAATAACCTTTTTGGGTTTAATTCAACCTAGATAATATGAAAAATCTAGGATTTTTACCCATTTGTTGAATTGTTGATTTCTTGTCTGGTTTTGTGAATTCTGAGAATTTTGGGTTTTTTAGCTAGTATTTCGTCTCTACCTTGATTTGTGGCTGTTTGATCTCAAAATTTTAACGAGGTTAACTACTCTTGGATTATTTTTTTTTATTTTCTGCTCATCAATTATGTAGATTTGGGTGGTTGGTTTTGTTAGAATTTGTGGATTAAATGCTTTGGGAGAAGTAAACATGACAATTATTTATAATTTTCAGTAAAATTCTTCTTGTACTCTGGCAAAGCCTAAATTTTGGGAAAAATTTCTGCTGTTTTATTAATTTTTTTGCTTTGGGAAATCTTTGAATGAGGGCAAACTATGTACTTTTTGAAGTTGTAGCTTAAAGCTACTTGTTGGTCCTTGAAGCTAAGGTTGGAAAGTATTTTTTGTGGTGAAGCTGGAAGATGCAGGTTATTGAACTCAATAATAATAGATTAGGCATCTGGCAACTATTTCAACGGAAATTGCTGGATAACGTTAGCATTGCCGTGTAACATTCATTGAACTGCTGACATTTATGGAAGTATCTTGTGTTTCAACCTAAAGGAAAACTGTATTTGACTTTTTCTGCTCAAAGGAGAAGATATATTGACACAGTCAAGTTTTTTGCTTTCATGATTCGGCTGCTTGAGATTGTTTTTAAGTGAATAGTTCTTACAAACCAAGAAGCCATGCTGAACTTTTTCAAGCATAGTATGAGTTGTATTCAGTGCTTCTCTTGGCTGTCTGAACAAATTATTCCATTTGTGAATTTTTCTTACTTTCGCCCTTTGTGTGATTTAATGTGTTCCCAGCGTGGAAATTGATGGCTCTTTTGGTGATTCGGATGGCCTGAAGGAAACTGGTCCAAAAAAGCGGTAAGAAGCTCTCTTTGGGCATGCATGTGTTTGTGGATGCGTTGTGTGGACTCTCGGTTGGCTGAGTAGAGAGTTAAATCTTTAGGTAAAGATGGTGTTAAATTTGCAAGGACTATTTACCATTCATCCGAATTTTAAAATTATCAGCAACTGTAACAAATATTTATCCGAGAATAAAACATATAATAGTTGAGTTGTCTTTTATTTACATGCATGCTTGCTATTCGTTGCTCATCATCCCTCAATTCATAGAGATAGTGGGCCACTATAAATAAATAACTTTTGAATTCCACCAATGCACAAAAAATTATATTGCCTTATAGAAAAAAAAAGAGCTTTCTCATGATTTGCAATGAACATTCACGGCAGCCATGTTTCATCAATAATGCCCACGTAATGTCTCTGGCGCTCTCACATTTCGTGTAACGGTTATATTAGCTTCAATGTATCATGGTTTGATGATTGTACCCAAGATCTAGCTGGAATCTTTTGAATATTTGCCAACTCTACAATTAAGATCAAAACACAAATTGATCTACTTTGATTATAAGTAGTAGTGCTGAAAGTTTGATTAAATGTGAACCCTGCAAGCAATGTTAAGGTTGAAAGGAATCTTAAACTCCTTTACCTCGCCTCAATATGTTCTCCCTCTGGTCACTCATCTGTTTGGGTTCTTGTGGATTCTTATTACAGGACAAGATCTGAATCATGCAGTGCATCAAGTTCTAAAGCTTGCAGGGAGAAGTTGCGAAGGGATAGGCTAAATGACAAGTGTGCTCATATTCTCTTCTCTTCTCTTCTCTGCTCGCTCTCCCTCTCTCTGACACAACCAATTGGTCATGTTCTCTAGGTTTCTGGAATTGGGGTCTCTCCTTGAGCCTGGAAGGCCTCCCAAAACAGACAAGGCTGCTATTTTGGTTGATGCTGTTCGAATGGTGACTCAGTTGCGGGGTGAGACTCAGAAGTTGAAGGATTCGAATATGAATCTCCATGAGAAGATTAAAGAGCTTAAGGTGCGCCTGTGTGGAATTTCTAAAGAAAAATATTATTTTCTTAAATGGAATATTTTCCAAGGTTTCTCTGCTCATTTGCTTTCTTTCCAAAAAATTTCTCTGTTTTATTACTTTGTCTAATGCATGGGGAGACATATTGTAATTTATACATCTCTGGGTTAGGCTGAGAAGAATGAGCTCCGGGATGAAAAGCAGAGGCTAAAGGCTGAGAAAGAGAAGCTGGAGCAAGAACTAAAAACCATGAATGCCCAACCTGGCTTCCTACCCCCTCCTGCCATTCCTGCTGCATTTGCTGCTCAAGGCCAAGCTGGAGGCAACAAGTTGGTGCCTATTATTAGTTACCCTGGAGTTGCCATGTGGCAATTCATGCCACCTGCGGCTGTTGATACCTCACAGGATCATGTGCTTCGCCCACCAGTCGCCTAAGTTGGCAGCCAAAGCCTAATTGGGTCTGCATTGTGGTCCAATTGTTCATTTATTTTGTCACTGCTCTGACTGTATTAGTTTTTGCTCGTGTAACTGGATTTGGGAGACCTTTGCTATCTTCAAGCTTGAATGAGTTGATGCTGGTGTTCACATGTAATGTAAATACCTAAGCCGGCAGCTCGTGTAAGTGACCCTTTTTTTAAGGAGGATTCAGTGACAATTGGCAGTCACTAGACGTGGTTTCCTCAACCACGCTGGGTGGACTTGGTCACTGGCAATAGAAGTCACTTCTTTATGCAGTGTGGTCTCGACTTGAATTGCTATCTTGTTGGGATTGAATTTAACTAGCTGTGTGAGAGAAGTCATTTTCCTTCAATTGCTGATTTGTTGATCGCAGTACACTGTATTTGATTGATATAGATGGCTATTTTTACTTCACTTATGAAGTTAAGGACTTGGCTAAGATATCGAATAAAAAAATTTGATAATGTATTTTTAAAATTATTATTTTTGTATGTATTTTTATTATTTTTGTGGATATTTTTATAATAAAATAAATTATTATTTTTGTGGATAATTTATCATTTTTATATGGGTGTTTTTATCACCTTTATGAGTATTTTTACAATATTTTTTTAGTACAAAAAAAATTATTATTTTTGTAGGTGATTATTATTTTTATGGGTATGTTTATTATTGTTGTGTTAGTTATTTTTATCACTTTAATTTAGTATCGTAATAGTGATAAAAACACACATAACAGTAGTGATAAAAGCACTTTAATCTACCTTTACCTTGGTTGCGTTCCTATTATTTCAAACAACTAGTATGGGTGTTCATCCTACGGATAGGAAATATAGTTTTTTATTTTTTTATTTAATATTTTTGTAAAAGAATTTTTTCTTAGCCTCTCTTACCTGATCAAGTGCGATATTCTTACTCGACTTCCGATCAAATTAACTGGATAGGAAATCAGATGAACATTTTTGTAGTTATTAATTTTTGAATCATTTTAACAATTTAATTAAATAACATGCACCAATTTAACAATACAATAAATCAATAATACTAAAACATAAAATAATTACAATAAAACACAAGACAACATAAATATCAATCAATTATAATTGTTGCACAAATACAATAATAATTATTTTAAGTTTAAACTATATGATTAAGGAATTAGGATTTTTAGTATGTATATATATAAAAATTAATGCAGGTAAGGAAGGGTAAAAATACGAAAATTAATAATTATTCCGTATTTCTACTCGATTTAATGGAAATGCTATAGTTTTATTCGTAATTCTCCTCAATTTTTTCGGCCAATCATTTGATATGATCGGATAATCGTTTGATAAGATCGGATAAGGTAACAAATTGAGGTTAAACGGAAATTTGAACGCAATCCTCTCCCGGCCTTTTCCATTCCCCCACCAAACAGTCGCTTCGCCTGTGTCATCTCTTCATCTTCCATATAAATTTTCCCCTTTTTACCTCGAATGTTACCTCTCTTCCTCCCAAAGATGAAGCCATCCTCACCGAAACGTTCCTCGTAACAACCAGATGAGTGGGGGGAGGATGAGGAGGAGAGCAATTTTGGTGATTTGAATGGCTTTGTGGGCTCATTTGAGGTGGGTGTATTGATTCACGGGACTGGAGGTTAGAGGGGTTTTGAGTAAGATAAATGTGCCATCTTTAAGTGTCAGGGCTTGGGTTTTGAGTGGTGAGAGATGGAGTGAATTGGTTGAAGAAGGAGAGTTAGAAAGTGGTTACGAGATTGGAGGCGTGGCCATCGATCACTGAAGTTGAGAATGTCTAGTACAAAGCCCGCACAATTTTTGTAGGAACTAATGTCAAATGTAACCGGAAAAAAGTAAGTGCAACGAACAAGTAATGTTCCTCTCGATTTTTTGCTCAATTTTATTTGTGTAATGAATATGTTCAGAATCTTTTTGTTGAAATGCCTGAACGAAATCCTTTGGTTTGGACTGATAAGCCCGCTTGGATGATTTTTCCTTTGTACTTTTTGATCAATTGCAATTGATGTAAATCATACGGTTCTGTTTCTCTCCTTGATATCAAGAGTTATGTGTATTAGCCTTCCGTTTGCTAGACTTTGTTACTATTGATAGACAAAGCCACAACTGGAAAGGGTGACTGAACCTTCTTTTAGTTCTGAATTAGAGTCTTTGTATTTTTTCTTGCTTATAATTTCTTTTAGTTCTGAGCAAGTTGCTTCTAGCCTCTTGGAAGATTCATTGGAGTTCTTGGATAGGTTTTAGCTAAGATTAATTGGAGAATCATGGTTGATAGCACATCTTCATACTGTGGTATCCTAGAATACGTTTGCTGTTTAATTTTTACCCCATATTTTTTTGAGAAACTGACATAGATGATAGATCAAATGAACTCCAAACTTTAACGATACTCTTTATGGAACAAACAGAGATAAACTTCTTCTTTTGATGCGGTTATGAAGTCCAAACTAGATCATGGAAACTGCTTTCAGAACCTACACGTATGCACAAACATTTATATATGTTTTTTTTTAACCGTGTGTGTTTTCGTACCTTCGTTAGCCATATTCTTGTTGACTTATTTGACATTTCTGCTCATAGCCTTATGGCACAACATTACTCAGAAACTAATACCATGACAATACTGGAAGGAAGGCCAGTCATCAACTAAGGTACATCTCATGTAATTGTTCTGTCATTTTTTTCTATGGTCTTTTTGTATCTCAGTCCTTTTCACTACGAATTTTTTTTCCTCTTGAAGCTTATTTCTCGAGATAGTTATTTTAAGCAAGGCTTCAGAGACCTGGGATTTCACATATATGCAAGATATCATCTACATAGTACTTGCATAAAAACTGTATGGCTGAAAATTTTAACATCTTTTCTGAAAATCATATATAATATTATAGAACACAAAACTCCACTCAGGGAAGTAGAGTCCATAAAAATTGAAGCCAGGGGCTGTTATCGTCACCCATCCAGAATTGCAGAGACCTTGAATTCCCCTGTAGTTCAATTTTCTCATATACAAGCAAAATGGTCAACATCCTCTCTGAGTCCATTCTATCATGGTCTAATATGACAACTTTTGATGAATTTATCAGAAAAGTCGACATACTTAGTCCACAGTTGCCGAAGCTTCGGGAATGCTATATCTAGCCAAGGCTTTGCTCGGCCATTAAAGTGGATGACACCGGCACTTTTAGCATTTGCCATGCTTGTATTATCCTGGTACCCAAGCCCCAGCATGTGCCAGAAAGGATCGATAATGTGAACGTGACCATGGAATGCAATTAGGCCAGGAGGTAAAGTCCCTAGTTGCCACAAACTTAGATCTGATTTCAAATTCTGCAAATGGAAGTAAATATTCATCAATTAAGAGATTTTAATTTGACTCTTTCAAAAACTCACATATTGTTAAAGGATTGATAGAAATCAGAATAACTTTTATGCAGTGAGTGGTTTACCTCTTCAAGCCAGTAATGGTAAGTGTGGCTTATCTTGGTCTTCCTCCAGGCCTCTAGATCAAAGATGTTCATGCCATAGGCCCATGCACATTCATTGGGGTCAAAATGCTTTGCTATCAAAGGATGAGAAAAGTTCAAGTAACTCTTAAACTTCTTTGACATCACAAACTTGTCATCTCCCCTGCATGTTTCTACTGCTCCATTCACTTTTCCGTCCATGTCGATGTCCCATAGAGGTGAAAGATCAGTTTGAATGACAATATCATCGTCTAGGAAGACTACCTTGTTCAGACTAGGAAACAGCTGTCAAAAAAATGCATTCACTTAGACGAAATGTAACAAAAAATAAAGAGAATTAGATGATGGTCTCTATTAAAACATTGGATTTACCTCTGGCAGATGTATTCTTATGTGATTCATCAGTGAATTGTATTTGGGACTGAGAGCTTGCAACTTTGCAGCAATTACGTAAGGCTTCTCGGTGTTATTGGCTACAATGGCTGATGACCCTCCTCTGAACTGTGACCGGACCCGTTGATCTTTCTCCATGGCTTCCAATACTGGGACCTTCCCCTTCGCAAACCAATCGAATTGGTGCAGACCCTTAACCTCAATGATTGCAGGTGCTAAAGAATGCAATGAGAACCAAGCCTGCATTGGACAGTTGGTCTTTCTATCTGTGATTATGTGAAGAACAACCTTTTCAGGATGCAACGAGTTTTGAACGAGCGATGCTGCAACGACAGAGGCAGCAAGGACGTTGTCGGAGGCGAGGACGAAGTGGAACAACGAGTTGTCGACCAAAGAGGGGACTAGTTCTGGTGTTGGGAGCTGAAGACGGGCATTGGCATTGGTGGAGTGCTCATTTGCTAGTCTTAGAGCAAGGCAATGGAGCTGCTTTGGTATGCTGCTGGATGCCACATGACGGTACAGGTATTCTTGGATTTTGGCTTTCCTAGTCCTCTCTTCAAGCAGGGTGACCTGTGGAAACCAGAGGATATTGTAGGAGTGACTTGATCAAGACAATGATAGTAGTTTGTGGCAGACCCATTCCAATGTAGTGATTTTTCTTTTTAAGCTGAGAATTTGGTTTGTGTAAAAAAAAAAAAAGCTTTAGAAATTATACAGTATCAATTGAATTTAGGGTTGGAATTCAAATCGGGTTTGTCTCGAGTTGATGTTTGGTGTCAAAAATTGTCACCCTTCTTTCAATAAATGCCAACGAAATTTGATGTGCATGCAAATGGGTAAAGATGGAGCAGAGTACCATAGCTTTTAGCCTGATTGCAAAGTTCTGCGCATCTGATCGACTGTCCTTCATTTCAGCAACAAACTCTTCCAATGACTGAGGAACCTCAGGCCCTCGTTGTATTTCATCTTGCTTCACAGGTTCTTCCAGAACTTGATATATTACTTCCGGGACACCCTTATCAGAAATCAGAGGAAGTTCAATTGAACATTAAAATTAAAATAATAATAATAAAAAAAAAATAAGTAACTGGAAGATGTCTAGTAGTTGAATTAAATATGAAAAGAATATTGGGGTTAGGAGATTACAGTTGATTCCGGCCGTCTTCCCATAATTCTTGGCCCTAATCTTTTCCCCAAGCAACCTACAATAGGATAAAAAATTTGATTTTAACATTAAATATAGGGTGTACAGGCAAACAAGTTGGGGGGTCGATTCTAATTATGATTGATAATTAAACCAAATTATTCGGATTCGGCTCGGACAGGACTCGAAACAAGCCGAGTTTGAACAATTTTTTAAGTTCGGCTCAAACTTGCAAAAACTCGGCTCGTTTATACGTAAGATAGTCGAATTACTCGAGTTTGGCTGGTTTTGAACCCGACTCAGGCTCGGTTTTTTTCTAAACGTGTCGGGCTTAAACAATTTGTTATGCTCGTTTAAGAAAATGATCTCGACAAGGTTGACTTGATTATCAGCTCTAATGCCAGTGGTAATGCAATCTGAATATTAATTTCTTGCAATCTGAGGGGTTCATGTGTACATTCATTCAACAACTTCACCTAATTTATAATGCCTTAGTTATAATTTGTTTAGTTAAAAATGCAGAGATAATCTTCAAATTTTATATCACCAATCAACTTCATTTTTTTTTGGGTTTAACGATAAGGGTATTTGGACTAATTTATACACACTTCGACTAATTTCTTACTCAACAAATCATCTATATGAGGACTATAATATTAATGACCTAATCCTAAGACAATTAGGTTTAAGCTATCCTTGAGTTTCCACCCATCACCTTCTGAAAGAGGAAATAGGCATCTATTGAAGTAATTATGAAAGTGTCAAACTAACAACCATGAAAGTACAGGTTTGAATTTTAATGAAATCATTTTATTTTATGTAAATATTAAATAATAAAATTAACAGGGCCAAAGTAGGTAATTGTGATTGTTGGTTCAATGTCCGAAAGATTATTTTTTATTTTTTGTTGAGAAAATGAAAGGGTGAGGTTAAGGAAGAGCGCCTATTGATCACCCCGATAGGCCTCATCGGTGGGATCATAAAGTCCCTAATCACGTTTGGAACATCTCCCGAGACCAGACCTAACTAAGTTAGCATAGCAACCAACAAGCAAAGTCCCAATAGAGACTCTAAAACTCGAACTTTCAACCTCAAGGTGAAAAGTAAAACCAATACTCCACTAAACTATCCAACGTGATGATTTGTCTGAAAGATAATTAATTTCACTTCAAAAAAGATGCTAAATCAGATAACATAGAATTTTTGAACAAGAATTCTAACTTTATAGCTTAAATAGAGATGTATACTAGGTATCCCCGTAACTAAATATTTTTTTTATGGGTAAGTAAATAAATGTTTAACCATCAATAAAGGTATTGGTTTTAATTACGTGGTATAGCCTCGACCCATTTGAATTTTTGTTAATATTTTTTCTTTTTAAGATTTTTTCTCATGATAGGAAAAAAAAAAAAAAAAGAATAAGTTTTGAACCCGCAACTATTTACCAATAGAATTATTAGGGGATAGCATGTTTTGTTGTATAATTCCTGATTAATCTCTGATATTAATGCTGCTTAGTATGATCTGTGTAACCCTCCAGCCAGGAATGAGTGTTTCTTGTGTGTGTGTGTGTGAGAGAGAGAGAGAGAGGATGATGTTACCTAGTGTTGAACATTTGCTTTCTCCATCAATGGTGTCCACCGCCGTTAACACGAAAACAAACCGGAGAAGAAAAGTAAAGAACAAAAGCGAATAAAAAACCATGCGATATGAGAATCGCCTGGAGCCAACCTTCACTTTCATAAACTCTCTGAAACCTTTCCCCGGAAGAACCGTTACATGCCTCAAACTTGGAGATATATGAAGCTGCATTTTCATAAAAGAAAAGGAGAACTTATGAATCAGACAAACCGAGAAACCTATCGACCTCTTTGAGTTATTTTAGGTCTATAGCTATTTGTTATTTTGGCAATGACCCACGAAGAACTGAGTTGAATTGCAGAAACCCATTTAGGAGATGCAGAAAAAGGAAGGTTTTTGGGGGTGTTGTTCACTGTTGCTGTCATGCACCTAAACTTGCTTAGAATTGAGGTTAGTTAAGTAGGTTTTTTGGAGTTATAATATTCTGCGAAATAAGAAGGGGTTGTTTGAAGGAAAGAGACATGGGAGCTGAGAAGAAGAATGCATTGGTTTGGCTTGGTTTTGAAGAAGGGATGTTGAGAGAGAGATAGAGATGAGAGGGTGTAGTTTGGTGTTGCTTGGCTTTGCCTCCATATGAAGTTACGAGAATAGAAAGATTGAATACATGTTGTTTGGGCTTTGACGGAACTCCGTTTCTAAATGGAAAATGACTCTCTCTCTCTCTCTCTCTCTCTCTATAGGAGGCTGACTGGGGGAGGTGGGGGTTGGTTGTTGGTCTGTTGGAGTGAAAATTACAGGACGATCTTTCTTTATTTAGTTTTTTTTTAGAAATACTATTTGTACAAAAAAATATTTACAAAATTTACATATTTTTTCAGTCACAAACATTGAATAGGGAATAATGCTATACAAACTTTAAAAAAAAATAATACTATTTAAACCTAAAAATCTGGCATAATTTGTTGGTTTAATGACGTACTTTTAGTAAAATCATTGAATCCACATCAAATTCTAATATTTAATGAGGTGCACAATCAATCTAAAAGTTCTAGCGAATTAAATTAAAAAATTAGGCACTTTTTAAAAAATTGACTTAAAAACCTGACTTAATGATACGACTGTTATATTTGTCATTGATTTAACTGTAAGTCTCGGTATTTATTCAGACATATTACCTATTCAATAACAGTGATTCATCAAGTCAAGTTCTTAAATCAATTTAAGAACACTATAACTCGAACTAGTTTATGACTTGTTTTTTCTTAAAAACAAGGGTAACTGACCATTAGAAGATGTGGGAAGTATAAAACCTGACACCTCATACTTACTTACGAAAGAACATGTTTAACCACTAGGTCATCCATAAAATTTCTTTATTTAGTTCTTTATCTCAAGAGAAATTAGTTTTAAATCGATTATTTTTTGTGCAATTTTATTAGTATTCTTTGAAACGATTAGAATGAGGGTGCCTAATGCCTTTTATCATATATATATATATATATATTTTATCATTATTAGGGTTGTCAGGTAGTTGGATACAATGCAGTCTAATTAGATTCGAATTTTTTTATGGGTACGTTGGAAACTATTTGACTAATTCTATCCGATCAAATGAAAGTCTTGAGAATGTACCTTTCATTCGGGTTGGAAGTCGCTTGTGGAGAGGAGATAACCTTTTCGTGCACCTCAACAATTTTATTTAAAAAAAAAAAAAATTTGAAGTTTGCGTCATTATTTGATTATTAAACCCTAGCTGAAAATGATATTTGTTAGGATAAATTACACTTATACCCTTTATCGTTTTTAAGGCTTTCACTGCACCCCCTATAGTAACAATACTCATTTTTAAACTTGAGGGTAAAATAAAAAGTTTAGGTTAAAAAATTTGCTTAACATCGTCACATAAGTTGCTACGTGTTGATTAAGGGGATATTTATTATAATAAGTTACATCACAAAAGATGTCAGTGTAATTTATCCTATTTGTTACTGTAATTTCTCGTTTTTTATGTCTAATTCTAGAATAATACTACTACACAACTCAAATGAAACTTAAAAATTTATAACTTAAATGCATATCCTTCGTTTGATGAATGTGCCCTATCAATTTTTTTAATGGGACTCTCTCATCATATATAGATGATATACATTTTGATTATAATTATTGGATTTTATTTAGGTTGCATAGCATCTGTGATAACTCTTGAATTCATTTAGAAGTTGTGGTTATCGGAATGAGTTTAGGTATCCGAAATTTATTCTACAATAAGTTTGATATATTATAAATTCATATCCTTTTAAAACAATATTGACAACTAATTATATGATAAATGTAAATAATTTTCAATATATTCTATTTATAATAAAATTCAAGGTTGTTTTGATATGTCAAAATCTATCTGTATTTATAAAATAATTGTTTTCTTTCGAAAAAGTTTGAGAAGTCTTTTCTACTTATTCTGTTATTCGATCTATTCTTAGCATTCAACTTATTTTAATACTTTGACCAAAAAAATATTATTTTAATACATTCACTCCAACCACATAGCACCATGTAACACAACCACCCATCTATAAACTAATAACTCCTCATTTGCACTTTTAGTTACGTTCTATCCGATGACACTCAAAATCGAACTCGTCCATCTTGAAGGAACGAGAAAGAAAAAAGCCCAAAAGCTGTTTCTCCTATCAGGCCATTGATAGGCCCTACTTAGCGTAATGGGTATGAAACTGGGCCTCATCCATGACTGGGCCTCGTCGTCTGGACTCGGCAAGAGATCTGCGATGATGACTTTCATTAATTCCCCCGTTATTACCTCTCATTTGTTCTCTTATGTTATTGAAAATATTGACAATTAATTATGTTATAGATGTAAATTGATTTTTTTTATATATTCTATTTATACTATAATTAAGTTGATTTAGTAATTTATCTCAATTTTTTTTTATCAGTCTGGTCCGAGAGATGTTTCAAGCGTGATAATATCAGACAACTTAATCAACACAATCTCTAATACCAAACAACTTTATTAACTTACACCTACATCTCTCTTATTTTTTATCAGTTTATTATAATTTTAAATTATGTAATCAATTAATAAATATTTTTTTTAGGTGGCCTCTAAGCCGCTAGAAATAAATTTGGAATTGAATAAAACTATTCTTACCAAATGAATTGAGAGAGTCCCATATCATTCCTCGGTCAAATGAATTGTTGCTTAAAATATTTTTTATAAGACATGAAATCTGTCAACTTATTGAGTAAAAATATTTTCAATAATTTTTTTTAATTTACATAGCATTGACTGACTCGTCGTTAAAGCATCAGAAAAGAAAAAATATAAAAAAAAGTATGCGATGACTTTTGTATTTTATGTAATACTCCCCCCCCCCCCCCCCCCCCTTCTCCCACCCCACCAAACACAAATCCAGCTGTTTATCGATGAAATTTTAAAGTTTATATTAAAATTCGTTGGTTGATCGTTATGTTAAGACTGTTCTCAAAAAAAATAACGAGAATAATCAAAGATATCATAAATCCATCAGGGATAATCTATTACTATCGAGACGGTTTGTGAGTGTTCTTTTTTGCTCTCAACTTTTGAAAAAAAAAAAAAAAATTCAATGGCGTGTATTGTCTACTAGTCGATCGAGTCTCTATCCTGGTTGGGTCTGCCCATGGTAAAAAAAAAAACTAAGTAAACTCTAGCGATTTTCCTTCAATGCATCTTTTTAATTCATCGGCAAGACATATTTTTTAATAATTATACACAATTTGAGCTATTTTCCATCAATTTTACTTGAACATATTTTGTAAATAAACTCTTGAATTATAGCCTTAAAATACGTTAGTAATTATTAATATTATCCAACTCTTAAAATATATTAAAAAAAAATATCTGTTGTCATCTCTCTGAGATTTACTTTTAAATACCATATTTTAGTTTAAAAAATAATACATGTAACGTTTTTTATTTTATTACTTGATTTAATTTTAATTTTGGAACTAGACCCGTGTCCCTCTCCTGACCCGCAAAACACATCCACACTTCGTCGGGCATCTGTTTCGTCATCGGCTTCGCCACCGTCGCCGTTGATCACCTCTCTCTCTCTCCTCGTTCTCTTATCTAAAATGCCTCCGATCATCTCCTTTCTCTCACCTCATCCTCCACCAGTTCTAATATCACTCTCTCTCTCTCTCTATAAATATATATGTATATACGTATAATGTGTGTTTGACTGACTGATTCCATGGTTTTTCCTTTTCTTAATCAGAAGAGAACGTTATTCACATGTGGAGTAGCAATATAAGCGCAATGGCTTGGCCGACATGCTTCGCGTCGGAATCTAATCAGTTGACGAGTGCCGGGAAGAAAAATCAGATAGATTCATTCTCAAATCTAAGTTCTGTCATCCTATTTCGGTAACGATTTCTCCTCAGTTCACACATTTCAGTATGCATTTGTACATTTCCCTAATCTGAGGAATACAATATTCCTATACAGTAAAATGTAGTTGTTTGTGACGAAGTTAAATTATTTTATATTTTATGCTTCTAATATCAGTGCTGTTAGGAATATGAGGTTTCTCGATTTTCCTATACAGTGAAAATATCAATTTTAGTCTCCGTTTGGTTGCAAAGAAAGTGAAGGAAGAGAAAGAGATTTGAGAGAGAGAGTTTTTGGTCAACGAGGGAGAGACATTTCTGATCCAAGTTCCATTGGATCAGAAATGGATACAAAACTTGGTCTAAGGTATTATTTGGAACATATCAGGTAATTCTGTGTACTCATTTCGCCAAAATTCATGTAGTATGTTAGTATGGTACTTTCCAAAAACAGTTTCAATCCTTGTAGATTAAGATTCACATGGGATCAGAAATTGATACAAAATTGGTCTAAGACTCTAAGATATTATTTGGAACAGATCAGGTAATTTTATGTACTCATTTTATTTTTGTACTTAGCTCTATATGCGATTTATCCATAGACTCTAATACTCCGTTTGGTAGGAAAGATGAAAGTAAGAAAGATGATGGATACACTTTCTATCCTTCAAGAATCTAAAGTAGGAATGATACACTTTCTTTCTTTTGTGTTTGGTTGGATGGATGGAAAATAAAAATGACTAATTTTTTTTTTTGTGATGGCTAAGATTATGATTGACACGAGTCGTATCGTATCAAATTCGTGTTGAGTCATAAAATTATGAATTTTTTATATTTCTTGTTCGCATGTCAGGTCATTTTAAAGTTCATATCGAGTTATAATTAAGTTCATGTTATAAAATTTGTGTCGAATTCGAGTCATGTCATCGTGTTGAGTTGAAAATTTTCACTCTTAATTAAGATGAAAAATTATTTTTTTTTAATTTAAATTTTTTTATTTAAAAAAAAAAAATATATATATATATATATATATATACATATTTTATTATTATATTTTTATATGAAATTAATGTATACATAATATATATATAGACAAATAAGATACATCTAAATACAAATAATTAACTTTTCATTCACTTTCTTTCCGTTTTTGGAGGGATTCATTTTGATGAGTTGAAAGGAAAGTTAATTCATCCATTTTTTCATCTTTCCTACTTTCTTTCCTTATCAAATATGATGTTTTATCTATCCTTTCAACTTTCTATTTTTTCATGATACCAAACGGAGCGTAAGGCACGACTCATATGAAATTACGCAAGTCCAATAGATAGTTCTAAATAGATATTTCCCCAGTTGTTTGAAGTTTATATTTTTGTCATTAGTTTGATGATGAAACCACCAAGTGGGAATGCTCATTTCGTCGACGACTGTATAAAATTAAAGGCCACAACAAATGCAGACAATCGGTTGTTACTTCTTTACCAAGAATTTGACCTGGTTTTTGTGGTGTATGTTTTGGGTAGCTCCAAATTGGAGAGAAGGCAAACCAAGTCAACTTTCCAATATTCTGCAATTTTTAGTGCATAGAAGCCTTCAGTTGACCCACTTTGATCTGGCAGCTCTAAACAAGGAACCACTCGATAAGCATTGTTTTTGATTCAGATCATCATTCTGCTGAAAACTGAAAAACTCTAAACACCCATATTCTCTGTTTTTTTCTTGTCTTTTGGAGTCCTTAAGCTGCTTCTTTACTTCTGCCTGAATCTCCACCATGCAAGTGGCAGCTTCAGTCGCGGGTTCATTGGCGGCAGAACCTAGTCGCCTTCTCTTTGGCACCGTCTATGCAAGAATGCAGATTTTGTTCAAGTTTCGATCAAACCTCAATTCCCTAGAGAAGCAGATGGAGAATCTAATAAGCCGGAGAGATGACGTGAAACGGGAACTCGATGCAGCTGACCGAGAAGGAAAACTTCCTAAAGCTCTAGTGGATAAGTGGCTAAGCAATGTCACCAAGCTCGAGATTGAAATTAATACCATGCGAACAAGTATGGCAGACAGAAGCAGCAATACATGTGGGTGTGGTTTAAACTGCGCTCTCCGGTGTAAGTTTAGCAACAGAGTGGTAAAAATGCTCGAGGAGGTTGCACAGCTACTAAAAGATGGTGATTTTCCAACAGGCGTGGCAGCGGTTAATCATTTGCCGGTACCAGTTGAGCACATCCCCGGGCCATCAATTGAAGGTCAACTAACAGCGTCCAGAAATTTAGCCAAGATTATGGAACTTCTGAGCGATGATAAGGTTAGGACAATTGGCATCTGGGGTATGGGAGGGGTGGGTAAGACTACTCTGGTGAGGAACTTGAATAACAAGCTCAAGAGCACTTCATCGACACAAGTTTTTAGCATCGTCATATGGGTTACAGTGTCCAAAAAAATCGACTTGAAAAGAGTCCAAATGCAACTTGCTGAGAGGCTTAAGTTGGTGAATTTGGAGGAAAGCCCGGAGATAATGGCTAAGCGCTTGCATGAAAGATTAGAAAAGGAAAAAAAGTTCCTTCTCATTCTGGATGATGTTTGGGATGCTATTGATTTGGACCTTTTGGGTGTCCCACTGCCTGAAGTTGACAAGGGTAGTAAGATCATATTGACATCTCGATCTACACAAGTATGTCGCCAGATGATGACTGATGTCAATTTTAAAGTTGATGTCTTAAATGATGAAGAGTCTTGGCAATTGTTTTGTCAAAATGCAGGCGCAATAGCCATGTTGGAACCCATTAAACCATCCGCAGAAGCAGTTGCCAAGGAATGTGGTGGATTGCCATTAGCACTTAAGACTGTGGGGAAGTCCATGAGGGGCAACACAATGGTTGAGGTTTGGGACCATGCATTGGACGCACTGCGAATGTCAATGCCTTCCATTGAAGGGATCGAGGATAAGTTATACAGGCCCATAAAGTGGAGTTATGACTTGTTACAAAGTGAGCAGTTGAAATCTTGTTTTCTCTGTTGCTGCTTGTATCCGGAAGACTTCTCAATTGAAGTTAGTGAACTTATTCAATTATGGTTCGCAGAGGGTTTGCTTGATAAACACCAAAGTTATGAGGCACTAGAAAACCAGGGAATGGCTATAATTGGAAGTCTAATGGACTCTTGTTTGTTGGATCCTGCTTCCCAAGGGGACGCTGTAAAGATGCATGATGTCGTGCGTGATGTTGCTATATGGATTGCATCCTCCACGGAGGATGGAATTAAGTCCTTCATTCAGTCTGGAATTGGCTTGAGGCAGTTGCCAGATAACGACTTATGGAAGTCTTCCAAGAGATTATCTTTCGTGAATAATGAAATAACAAGGTTACCTGATTCTGTGATGCTATGTCCACAAGCATCAACTTTACTTCTACGAGGTAGTCGTTTCCTTGAGAAAGTTCCTCATAGTTTCCTACTAGGATTTCAGGTGCTCAGAATTTTGGTTCTTAGTGGCAGCTGTATCAGATCATTGCCTGATTCTCTTCTCCAACTTGGTGAACTCCGGGCACTTCTTTTAAGGGGTTGCAATGATCTTCAAAATTTACCACCTCTGGAAGGGCTTAGTAGACTACAAATACTGGATTGCTCTGGTACTCGCATCAGTACATTGCCAGAAGGGATGGAAAAAATGACCAACCTCAGGCAATTAGACCTGTCCTACACTTCCCATTTGAAAACCATTAATTCCGGAACTCTGTCCAAGTTGTCTAATTTGGAGTTTCTAAACATGAGATGCAGTGGTTACTGGTGGGGTATGGAAGAAAACGTCAAAATGGGGCACGCACCGTTTGAGGAGATCCTACGTCTCGAGCGATTAACTGTTCTATACATTGACTTACAGACTGTTCCACATTCCACCTCCAAAGATTTTACAACTTGGATTCAAGGACTCAAGAAATTTGGGATTTTTATTAGTGATTATGGTCGTAGAGATCATATAGTTGAAAATTCTGAAGGGATCAGTTTTAGGCCTCCGCATTTTGTTAGAAGGCACGTCAGCCTCAGAAACTATAATCTCTCGGCCGCAAGACAGAGTTGGTGGCTATTAATCAATGCAACTTCAGTGGATATCTGTGGTTGTTCTTATATTAATCTGATGCTTGAAAATTTGGCAATGAACAGTAGTAGAGTCGGTTCCTTTGCTGGTTTGAAGTCACTAACCATTGGAAAATGTAAGTACGGCTTTCAGCCAGGAGTAGGGAGAGATGGTGCACAGTTTGATATGCTTCCAAATCTAGAGCACCTTCATCTCTTTTCTCTTGATTTTCTTGACAGCCTTTCAGATTTAGTTCATTACCTTGGGCTCAAGTTTTCTAGACTACGATTATTGGAAGTTATCGGGTGTCCCCAGTTGAAGTATCTTCTTTCTATTGGAGGTTCAATTCTAGTTTTGAGAGAACTGAAAGAAATCAAAGTAAGGTCTTGTGAGAAATTCGACGAGCTCTTTAGATATGGTAGTTCAGGGCAGATTATGGATGAAGAACCAGTTGTTCCAAACCTAAAGATGCTAGAATTGAAAGGGCTCCCCAAGCTGGAAACTCTTTGCAAAGAAAATGAGTTGTTACAGCAGTTAGAGCAGCTTGAAGTTCTTGAGTGTAACCTCGTCAGGAAGTTGCCTCTCACTGTCCAAAAGGCAAACAACATAAAAGAAATAAGAGGAGAACAACAATGGTGGAGCCAGTTGGAGTGGGATGAAGAAGGTGCCAAGTCAAGTTTAGAGCTTTACTTCACGTCAATTATGGTCAACCCTTGTTGATAGCTCTCAATTAAGGTCTCTTGATTTTGCGTTCTACCCTCAAGGTTTGAATCAGCCAAATCTATTCTCGGTTGCCCGGTTGCGAGGAATTCGTCATTCAAAAAGCTTGAACAGGTAACTGCATCTGATATTTCTGCAAATGATCAAAATACCTCGTGTCTCTTGGTCAAAGCTAAAACAACTCTACTTGATTTAACTAGTATCCCAACCTGATTGAGGTGACTAATACGGCTACTAGCCCTGTGGAAAGGGTAGGATTTCCCAGATGTATTCATGGTGTTCTTGTATGATTGTTTTGGTGTTTTCTTGTTGATGTCTATGTACGATTTGTCATATAATGGTGTGATTGTTCTATTGTTTCTTTCATTGATGTGTATGTATGATTTGTCATTATAATACCATTGCTTGAATGCTTTGGCTTTTGGGTATTGCTTGCTTTAGTTGTGTAGCTTATGTTTTGAGTTACTTGCAAATTCGATGAGCTCAAGAACAATAACTGTCTTCCTAATGGTAAATCTGTTGAAAATCCCTTAAACTGGAGGCTAATTTGCAACACCATGACAAAACCTTTTTTGGTGCAAATGTTGAAGGGTCATCAGCCAGTTCGATTTGAGAGCGACAAAACTATCATGCAAACATAATTTTGGCCTCAAATTTGAACCTGAAAACCTCAATTGTTAGCCCGACACACCCATCATTCCATCTGAAGATGATCCGTTCTTTCGTAGTATATATTGAACTTGTTTGGAACTGATGTAAAACCTCAATTTTTTTAGATTTTAGAGAAAAAGAAGCATAATCCATTTAGAGCCAAGTTTATTGGGTGGCCTTTCCATTAGTTTTTTAGACAAAAACAGTTTTTTGGATAAAAAAAACTTGGGTAAATTGTAAAGGGTACACCAAATTAGGCTTATTTGGCAAAAGATACACACTAAAAAATGTAGGGTTATTAAGTACTTAATTTTGATACTTATTTGTATCCAAGTACATAATTTGAATTTATTTATTTTTATTGTGACATTTTTGCTCTCAATTAATCCATGTGTATTTAATGCACCACTTTTCTTTGAAAAGTGGTGCATTAAACATCTTCTAATTTTATGGGAGAACTTTAATATATATATTTATATATACACGTTTTTATATATACATAAATACATATTATATATATATATATATATATAATATATATATACTTATGTATGTATGTATGTATATATTTGTTGTTAAATCTTTTATCTAAATTTTGAATTATTTTTAAATACACCTTGATTCATGCATTTTTTTTTTCGAAAGTGGTTTTATTTTTAAATTAATTTAATATCTGAATAGTGTAATAATGTAACAATAAAAGTGTAACACTAACAATGTAACAATATAATAATAATAGTGTAACAAGTTATTTACACAAAATATTGTACTATTATATTTTGTTAAACATATAGTTTCATATAATTTCATTCAAAATAGTCCATCTCTATTTTGAATTTGTTACCATATACACAAAACTACTAAACACTGTTTTTGTTACAGTGTATTTGTTACACTGTTTTTGTTATAGTGTTTTTGTTACACTGTTATTGTTATACTATTACATTATTCAGATATTAAATTAATTTAAAAATAAAATTATTTTTCAAAAAAAAAACGTTTGAATCAAGGTGCATTAAATATAATTTGAAAACAAAATTTCTTTTCAAAAAAATAAAATACGCATGAATCAAGGTGCATTTAAGATAATTTAAAATTTAAATAAGAAATTTAACAACAAATATATATATATGTGTGTGTGTGTGTGTGTGTGTAAATAAGTATATATATTCGTATATACATATATACACACACACATATATATAGAATTTACACACAAAATTACAGAAATTACAACAAAGTGCGAAATTCGTGTGAGTTCAGGGAGAATCACAAGATGTAGAATTTACACACAAAATTACAGAAATTAGAATATGAAATAAAATTAAGATACTTACAATACTAACACTAAGTAGGCTAGTAGTAAAAGAGGATAGGAGAGAAACTTTTCATTTGTATCATTATGAGAGATCTCAAAATACAGGGTTATAATGGAGGTAAGAGTGTTTTTGCTAAGTGTGTAATAAATTTTGCTTTGGCAAAAAACCTTGCTTCTTCCATCCCAGAGGAGTTTTAATATAGGCGTAACGATTTCTGAAGGAATCCTTAGTCCTAATGTCCTTTCTGCTTTTTCTCTTGGTAAAAGTTTTTCACTTTAACTTTCGGTGGAAAAGTATGGGTGGAATACTTTTACTTGGGTAACTTTTGACAAAAGACTTTTAGTGGGTTCTAATGTCTGAAAATTAGGGCAGAGTTGCTAAGTGGGTCCCTGCCACAAGAGAAAAAAGAATCTACTTTCGGTAGAAAAGCAGAGCACATGGGTGTTGTCAGCTACTTTTCTTGGGGAAAGGGCTGATGTACTGATTGATATCTTAACATTATACGTAATAGACAACTTTTTTTTTTTAGATGAAGAAAGTAGTGCTTGAAGCTATCATGCATAGGAGAAGAATCAAAGAGAAACTAGGTCAGAAGTGAGGTCATCAATTCTGGCAAATGGATCTTGGCTATCTTGACTCAAATCTACAAATGGGTTAATGGACCCTGCAGATGATGTTAGTGAAGAAGAACCACTACAACTTGCTGCCTGTTGGAGAAGTTTCTGGGCCAAGGCAATGAGCTCAGAGGACTTCTGTTTTGACTGCTTCGAGGATTCTGAGGGCTTACTGGAGTCCTTAGATGAGGACTTCTTCTGCTTATGTTTTGCTGCTTGAGGCTAGGCTAGAGCCAGGGTTTTCTCTGATGTAGAAATCCTAAGGGCCGGCAGAGCCTTTGATGGTGGTGGAGTTACTGGTGGAAGGGTAGCTGCAACAGTTGATACTGTAACTGGTGCTGGTACCTTTACTGGGAACTCTTTTTTGACTTGGGCAATAATGCAGTCATGTTAGAACCTGGGCCACCATTTCACACTGGATTGCCTACAAACAAAGTTAGAACAAATTTTTCAAAATCACTTATAGATCCAAGGAAGTTTATATTGGGTAAAGAAAATTAACAGACTCATGAAATGAGTTCTGTCATAAAAACAAGGTTTATAAACAGAGGCAAAATAAGTGACCTGATCTTGTAGGTCCAGGGGAAGAATTTCAGGTATAGGGCCATGAAGATGCCACCACTGTGCGAACCAAGCAGGAATTTGGCTCTTGAAATTTTTATCAAATTGAATGAACCAGTAGTGAGTTAATGACTCATCCTGATAGAGGAGAAGTTTATACCATGAATTAATGTAATCATAATAACAAAACTTTTTTTCATATCTCTCGAGATCTCTGAGCAATGAAGGATGAAATTCTCATTCTTTGAGAGAAATAAACTTTAAAATATATAGGGAATGATATATGACTTTACTTGGCTCTTTCTTATCAAATATGGGTTTGATAGAAATAGAATGGGTAAAGAACAAAATATCCTGATAAAAAGTAAATATTTTCTCTGGATCAGATGGGATGAAATTTCATCCTGATTCTAGATATGCATTTATTAGGTCTTTTGGGTTGCTTAGGTGAGCATGGATTGGTTCAATGGCGAATTCTGGATAGGGGTTCGTCTTTCTTAACATAATCAATTTTAGGGTCTTTTTGGGCTACAAAAGTTAATTGGAAACTAGATACTGGGTAAGGATAAACTAGTTGACTAGGGGTAACTAGTTGGTTAGTTTTGCTGGTCGAAGAAGTACCAACAAATTGGGTTGGGCCATAAGAAGGAAAGTAGATGGGGCCACCAAAGTGGACTGGACTACTGGCCTTATGTGACTAGGATTACCAAGAGGTTGGTAACGATTGACAATTTAGATAGATGATGTTTGTGGGCTTGGCAAAGCTAATTGTTTTTGTTTTTCAGTATCTCTCCCGGCTTTGGAAGAGGTACTGGGTTTAGAGGATTTCTTGTCCGCCATGAGATCCCTGCAAAAATTCTCGGGTTAGAAAATCAGGAATGCAGTTATTACTGCCTTTAATACAGGTATACTATCATCATCATTGACAACAGTATACTTAATCTCATCTCTAATTTTCTGAGTGAGATAATTGTCCCACTAACTACGTAATATACCAGTGAATCCTGAGGCAATAATGTCAACTATCTCAGGTTCATTTTGGTCAAGGTTTGTGACATAGTTATTAATAATCATGGACATGTGGTTGGTTTTATTTAAGATTTCTTGTTCACTTAAACTATTTATGTTCTATTCATAGAGTTTGTTAGATTGAACAGAAAACTGATTACTAATATTTTTTTCTTCAAATTGAAGATCATGTGGTGTTGGTCTGGTATACTAATTTTTACTAATACTGGTTGGATTAATATTTGAAAAAGTTAATTTGTTAATCTGTTGGTTACCAAACTGTTCTTCTAATTTATTAATTTCAGAATCAGATGAACTTACTGAGCAATCATCTGATGAATCATTAGAAGTTTGATTAATAACAGTAACTTGAGAATGACCTTCTTTCTTTTTGGAAGATGGTTCTTTTAGCTTTATTTTAAAAATAAGCTTTTCAATCTTCTCAATGTTCTGACTATCTTTAACTCCTAATTTACTGCAATCTTCAGGTAGGTGAATTAGAGGTTGTTCTAATTTAGTACCTGGTTTAATTTCATCAATTTTATTTTCAATTTTATCTAACTGTTTGCCTATAGTAATTAAGCTTTGGTTACTAAAATTGTTTTGTTCAATAATTTTTTTCTCAGACTCATCAGTGGAGAGTTTGAAATGTGAGGCAACTGCAGATCCACCATGGTCAATAACTATGGTTTCAACTAGAGGGTGACTAGATAATATAGTGGATTTTTCTGTTTTCCACTTGTATTGTGTAACAATATTAACTTCTTTATGGAAGTTATCAAGATAATCAAAGAATATGATTTCATCTTCTAGTTTATACATTAGCTTAACTCATTGTTTTTTTATTTCTATCTGTTGTTGTGAATTGAATCTTTTAAAGTACTTATGTCTTTTAGATTCATTTTCAGATGATTCAAAGTCTATTTTTAATATATTCATATTAGACATGAATAGGGTACTAGACTCTTTCTTAATCATGAGTAGCTGGTGGTTTACTGGAGCGTTACTCTGGAGGTCACTAGTAGTAGGAGAATGGGTGAAGTCTTTTTCTTCATCATCTTCTTCTGTTTTTGGTTGTAGAATACTCTGATGTGGAGTATAACACGGCTTACTTATTTGTGAAGAGGAATTATCAATTCTTTTTAATTTAAAAAGTTTGTGAATTTCATTATCTATTTCTTGATCTCGTTTAGAGAGTTTAGAACTAGATTCAGATTTTCTTCCTTCATTAATTTGAATAGGTCTGCTTGATCTACTAGATCTTGCAGAATCAAAGGAGATTCTTACTAAACCATCCGATAATTGGTGGATGCTTTCTACATTTGTAGTGGTGTTTTCATTGTCTTTATCATAGTTTTCATTTTTTATTATCCAAGATTTTGGGAACGTTATATCCTTCCAAAAGATATGCTTAGAAGTTTGGATATTAGATTGACTAGTACTGACTTGAATCAGTGTAGTGCTTCCTAAAAGACTTTGTTGTATTGCATGCACATTCAGGTTTGTGGTAATGCATTTATAGTAAATCCTGTAGATAAGTACTATTAATTCAATGTCTTTTATCAATTTAGTGATGTTTCCTGTAAGTTTTATTCCTAAGGTTAAAGCTAAAGGAGTATTTTTGCATCCTAAACTTAAGGTAAAATCAGGAAAACAATTAAAATAAACTGGTCATTTATGGAGATCTGTTTCCATTATGCCAATGATACTAGGTTCACATTCTAGAAACCTAACATCTCTCAAAGTTAACAAGGTTGCTGAATTTTTTCCTTGTTGGGTTAATGATTTAATTGCCACTTGTACTAACCAAAGGTGAATAAAATTAAATCTTTTTTCAGAAATCCTTACGCCTATATTAAGACTCCTCTGGGATGGAAGAAGCAAGGTTTTTTACCAAGGCAAAATTTATTACACACCTAGCAAAAATACTCTTACCTCTATTATAACCTGTATTTTGAGATCTCTCATAATGATACAAATGAAGAATTTTTCTCCTATTCTCTTTCATTACTAGCTCATTTAGTGCTAATATTGTAAGTATCTTAATTTTATTTCATATTGTAATTTCTGTAATTTTGTATGTAAATTCTATATCTTGTGATTCTTCCTGAACTCGCACGAATTCCGCACTTTGTTGTATATATATATATATATATATATATATATATACATGTATTAACAAATACACATGAATCAAGGTGCATTAAAGATAAAAATTTTGAATTAAATGACTCTAAAATGGACATTTATGACTTTTTAACTCACATTTTATTCTATGTACTTTTTGTCAAATAAGTCTAATTAGGTGTACCGGCTTCCAAAGAACCCAAAAAACTTTTATCAACATCAAAGCTGAAAAAACGAGACTTATCCAAAAAAAAAAGTCAACTTTTTTAAAAACACTTCAAACTATTACAAAAACTTTTTTAACTCTAATTTTTTCATTTTACTTTTCAATTTTACTTTTCAATCGTGTGTTACGTAACCAACAAAACCTACTCCAAACATTTTACTTTTCAAATTCAACAAGAAACACGAGACGAAGAAGCCCTTTACAATTAAGAACTGATGATGTGACCAATTTCAATCTCTTGGCAGATCATAGATAAAAAAGAAAAAAGAAAAAAGAAAAAAGAAAAAAGAAAAAAGAAAAAATTAATAACAATGGGATCATGTCTGCCATTCCATGGTTGAACTCCCAATCAAAATATGCCTTGTACCAAATGTTGCAGCGACCCAGTACCAAAATTGATTTCGGAACACAGGAAAAAACACAAATACAGATCCGCTTGCTTGAATCCCAACAGACAGCACCCAATATCATACCACTGCAGTACGTCTTTCCACCAAAAAAAGTGCACAAGAATGGTAACAGCTAAAATATATATATTGATAGAACAGAACACAACAGTAGATTGTCACAAGGACATGCTATTATTTACATACTAAAACATTATTGGATATATACTCTTTGAGTCAGTTATTTACAAGGTCAACAGAACATAAAACCCCAACAACACTCATATCCACAATTCTACATCACAGTCGAGCAGTCAAACCCACGACGACTCATTAATTTTCTGCATATCCACCAACAATATTAACACTGTTAAATAACCGCCCAGGAGAATAAAAGACAGCTGCACACCTGAAAAAAATAGAACACCAGACATCACTCAAAATATGCTTGATCTTAAATGATCACTTTGACTAGACATCTATTTCAAATCCTATAAAACAAAAAAGAAAAGGTAATCAAAGAAATAGGATGCGCACGTGTGTGCATCGACACCCAGGTGAGAAGGTTCGTGGATTATCACCCTTGTAATCCAAAACGTAACAACTGATTTTGCGACCACCATCCCGCCCTACCATTTTTTCTGAAAGAGGGAAAGAGGAAGGTAGGGGGAATTAAATAGAATATAAAATCCCATTCTGTTTGTAGGAGTTCTATGTGTGTATGACAACAATGACAGGCTTCCATGGACATCAGATAAAAAGACCTCAGAAATTAAAATGTGCAAGACATTGAAAGGGAAATTATCGGTAAAACCATGTACCTTAAAATAATACAATAACAACAGCAACAAGAAAAATACAAATCTAAGTGTAGCTTATAATCTGTGACCTATGATGATGACAAAGTCTACAAGTACCATGTCATATCAGATTTTACAAACATTCCCTTTCCCTCTGACAAGAACATAAGACATCGGAACTCCTTGAAATGTCCTATTAACGCAGGTTAACAAATCCAATAAAAGAAAGGACAGTTGAGTAGACTTGTAATTGTGCCACTGGATTAAATAGAGTACATGATTCAATGTGATAATACTGCAAAATCCGAAGGATGACAAAACGGATAAAGACCACGCACAACGTCATTCGTATCCATATCCGACAAAACATTTAAAAGGGGAATATGAGAAGTTACCTCTAATCAAACTCATCACCTTCATCTTCATATTGATTCTCCGTTTTCAGGCCGCCTATATTATTATTTACAAACTTAAATTGCGTCTGCCTCATGGAGTTTGCTCCATTATTTACAACCCCAAGCCGAGTGTTTGATTTAGGGCCGTCACCATTATTTACATGGCCGTTGGTTGTTTCTGTCTGCATCTGAAGACCATCCCACCTAGTGTCTTCAATGCCATTGTCAAGTTCAGCGGCTACGATACCATCATCAGCCATGGAATCAAGATAGCCGTTCCCACTCTTGCATGCAAGCCTGCCATTTTCAGACAGCCCAGACCTCTGATGCAACAGTTGTCCATTATAAGTCCCATCCAAAGCAGGAATCCTGAACAAGAAGGAACACAGTACTTCAGAAACACTAATATGATTACTTGCCGTTAAAACTAGCACACATTAAAAAAAGTACAACCAGCAAGAACAAATGAAGTAATAAAAAGCCAACTAAAATTAATGACAGACAATTAGACATTAAGCAAGCAAGCCATTGATGGCTCCCGCCAACTTCATGAATGAGCAGCTTTCCCTGATTCTTACGTACTTTTTTGACCCTCTTGAGTACCTGAGGAGGAATATTTATTATTGTGTATTTAAAAAATTTCCCCAGCAGAAATACCAAGCAAGAATCTCATACAAGATGAGCAATGCCTCAATCCTTAGAATTAGAGGGAAAATGGACATAGAACTGAACACACCTAGCTGGTGGGAACTTTGGAGTTTGAAGATAATCAAAAACTGGTACCAAGTCTTTTGATCTTGCTTCAATCATGCGACTAGTAATCCTTTCAATCTCAATTTCCCCTTCTAAAGCATCAGCCTCACCAATTTTGATGCCATCTGTCACCATAGCTTGAAAGTATATCTGCCAAGCAATAATATAAGAACAAGAAACGTCACTTATCACACTGATGGAAGAGATGCACCAAGTTTCCTGCACAACGCAGAAAATACCTCAGGCTTCACCCACAATGGATTCCGGGCTTGATGCATCTGCAGCTCAGCCTCAGATATATACATATGTTGTCTTTCCTCCGGACTGATAATTTCTTTTGTCACTGCACCTCTGGCCTCAGGGTAGAGACTATTTTCCTTTTTGGTTCCTTCAGGAAATACTTTACTGCTGTCTGGATTACCATGATCACCATAGATGTCAATATTATCTTCTCGCTCTCTACGATTCTGTTTGTGACAGATATTCCACTTTTGGATTGCCTCAACAACTAATCTTGCATCACACTCAGGAGCTGATTCATAAGCAGCACTTAATCCAGGCATTGCTGTCACAGAATCTAGTCCAGAAGATACATGAAATGCATATTGTATAACACAACCAGAAGGAGAGAAAACCAGTAGGTGATGCTTTGACTTTAAAGAGCTGGTATCCACAAACATTTCGTTGCCTTTGCAGTTGTGGAAAGCTGAAGCAATAGCCCCAGAGGGGGAACTCTTCCTTCCAGCAGCAGTTGCAGCAGCACCACTTACAGAGCTTCTCCAACCATTATTTCCGCTCCTTATCCTGCTTACAACGGAGAGAGTAATTGGAGAACCTGATGCACAGAGGCTCTGTTGCTTAAGCATCTGTAAGCCTGAACTTGGTGGCAAACCAACTGTAGGCTTTGTCATCATACCAGATCCACCATTTTTTTCAGTAGAACAAGCATCACTAGAGTGAAAATTAACTGATCCCCCAAAAGGTGATATAGCAAACAGATGGCTTGTCCCTCTTGATGAACTTATCATAATCCACTTGCTGTCATTACTGAAACTGATATCCTGTATCACCTGGAAAAAGTTTCACAAAGAAAGGAAAACATCATCAAAGAAGCTGTACTCACCAGCTAAAGGGTTCAAGTAGGAGAGTGAAACAAATACACTGCTCTTACTGCATTTGTAAAACCACGTTGCAGCCTATAAAGATGGACATAAGATGCACCAGAATCACATCCAGAGGAATTTCCAGAGACTCCAGGCATTATTCGCAAAACATTAAAGTTATGGCCCTGAACCGAAGCAGTCACCAGAAGGGTCCCGGTAGGATCAAAGCATAATGATAAAATGGGACTCTTATGTGCTCTAAACTGGGCAATAACAGATTTGCTGACAATATCTCTGACAATGACCTGGAAAACAAATAATAAATAGAGTTTAGATATCAATACATTTAAAGAAAATATTGATATATGAGATGACCACTCTTGTTTCATTTCTTTCACAGATAACACCATGTTTTGTTGAAAGAAACAAAGAAACACATTAATTGTACAGAACCAGACGCTAGTCAATAATTTCAGAATAATATACTCCAACTTTGAATCTACTTCAGATGATGGTAGTAACAAATCAACATTAATCAGCACTCGAGAAAACATACCCCATAAAATTTGTAATTCATTTAGTAAAGTAAGGAAGAGCTAAGTTCTCCTTAAAGACAAAAGTGTGAGAGACAGCTGTCAAACTCATGGTTTTTACCACATCACAACCTAAAAAATATTTAATGAAGTGATATATACCATTCCAATGTTATCTGCATCTGGCAAAGGACCATGACCAATTCCTTTGACTTTCAAGTGAGGACTCCCTGATTGAAGCGAATCATTGCCATCAGGTAACAGCTCAGAGTAGTACCTGGAGAGCTTCTTATATCCTATGTCGCCTAGGGTCACAAGCCCTGCAGCAAGTTGCTTGCTTGATTCTTTTGCATAGTGTGCAACCAGGCTTCCATTTGAAATGGGAACCGGGAAACTAGCAGAAGCCATAAGATGTTGTGGAGTGATGCGTCCAGAATTTGAGACTGCTACTGGACTTCCACTATAAGCAATCCACCTAGGACCCACCGCAAGAGGTCCAAAGCCCACACCTCCAAATCCAGTACAACCAGGAACGATAGGATTTGTAAGAATAGTGTACACCCTCTCTAAAGTTGCAGCGTCAAAACAGTGGATCTGCATATATACAGCTTTATTGTCAAAATCAGAAAAGACAAAATATAGGAGCTTAGAAGAGTAAGCAAACATACCTGAGCCGATTGTAAAACAGCAACAACTATAGAGCTGCACCTTACCAAATGAACAACTGATCTGAACTTTAGCACATGTACATAAGAATGAGAGTTCAAAGAATAAAACCAAACTACAGTAGGCACAAAACCAGCAGTCAATGGATCTTGGAAATTTTGGATGCTTCCATTGCAAGCTGTGGTCAACCCATCACGAGTGTTTCCACCTCCAGAAAAAGATCCATCTGAACAAATCACCAGCAAAGGGCGATTGTCTGCAAACTTATCTCCAGAGAGCTTTGATGCTATTGGTTTTGGTAACATTTTCATGAATGAAACAGGACCATCGTATCTCGAAACTAGGACACGCACATTATCTGCTTCATCAACATCCCAAACTTGGAAACCAAGCCGGTACCCCAGCAAGAGCACTTGCCGAGAGATGTCTCCCTCACATTCTAACTTGTCAAACCCAGCCCAGTGCACCTTTATTTTGCAAAAAATGGAGCATGAAATGAGTCATCTCCACCATCAAATCTAAAATAGATGAATTTCCAAAAGGAAAATGATTCTAGGTTGAATGGAAGCACTTAAATGCCCAAAGGAATATGTACGAAGTTGACAAATATCAACCCATCAATTACAATTTGAGTAAAATATAAGAACAAAACCATAAGTCTATAACGAGCAGAACTATACATATTCAAGCAGAAAAGCACAAATTAATGAGCAGTGAATTTGAGCAATGTAATGCACATAATTTTATTTTTTAGAAAACACCAAAAAAGGTGTAGTCCAAATCCAAGATTCAATCATAATACCCTAAATCACAACCTCTTCACCATCCTTTAAAGTTAGAGGTGCCTCTAGCCAGTTGATGAATTGTGCAGACATGGGAAAGGGGGATGTTAGTTCTCAATGCATGATCCATTCTTAATTTTAGACCGTGTATAGAAATATCCAAGACCCATCATTCACTTACACATTCTAGCACTCCTACTTGAGCATTTAAATGTGATTCTGGAGTACAGATTATATATAATATTTCATACATCTGCTCAAGATTTCATTTATTGAGCATGGCAAAAGGGTCATACAAGCATCCCAGGTCATGTCTACTCGCCCAAATGAAGATTTATCTATTTCTACCATTCATAATCTACAGCACTTTGCAGAGCAGCAGAAACAACATGATAAGAAATCAGACATAACAAAACTAAGACTGTCAAGGCAGCGGAGTGACAAGAGCACAAAAGTAACCGGAATGCTAAAAAGGATCATATAGAACGGATTCGAGACTCAATAGTATCCTATGAAATCAAAATTACACTTATTACATCAACATTAAAAGATGAAAAAACCAAGTTGGGCTGGTCAAGTGCACATAAAGCCTGAAAAATGGACAACCATAAAAGTTGAAGACTCTAACAACAGAGAGTGATGACAAAATGAGACAAAACTTAGCAAATTTGACAAAACACAAAAATGATACATGTTAGCGAACAAAAATGCCAATTTTTCCTTAAAAAGAGCCTTTGCAGCAGAAAAAGAAAATTATTCACATAAACAATACGTGGTAACAACACTCAGAAAGTGCATTGTCAAGTTTTAGAGCAACAGTACAAGCACATGGTCAGTCTACTTTTACATCCATACAGCACATAACCTAAAATTTGTCGGATTATGGAAACAAACATCCGTTAAGCATGACAAATCTAATAAATGTACCCTCCCACTCATCTGGAAGTTAGTTGGATTATCAAAACAAACATGTGCCAAGTCCTCTACAATTTAATAAAGCGGATCTTCAGTGACTCGACACAACCAAACATAACCCAAAAATGGCCAATATAAAGAAAACACGTGGAGATCCTCGTATTGATCAAATAAAGTTGATACCTCAATGCTCAATGCCTGCAATGGAACCCCCACAAGCTGGGACAAAGCCATGATTTCATTTTGAAAGTGCCAAATATTGACATAATTAAGAATATTATTCAATACAGTCATTCAACAAGTTATCATTAATGTTAAATTTCTAGTTGTATAGAACTGATCCAAAGTCAACTTTAATATGATATCATTCATAAAAATTAGTTTGAATTATAAATTTCAAAAATTGATCCTTACTTCCCATAGTTAGGCTTTAAAGCTTTTTAATGGTTATAATTGTTGGGCCGTTAAGTTTTTTAACACAATAGATGAAGTACAATATGTAGAAAAGAGCTTTTGAAAATTAATAGGGAGGCATAAGAATATTTAAAACCTAAAGGGGGTGTATAGAAAGTTTGAAAATCTTTGGGGGCCATAGCCCCAAGGGAGCTTCGTCTCCACCCAGAAGAATACTATTCTTTTCACAATAATTTTGGAAAGTAAATATGCAACACAAAGCAAACAACACTTCACAACACGAAATGAACAAAACTCGCATGTATGATAACCTCATTCATCATCCTTCTCTAACCGTCTGAAATTGTTATTTTCCCAAACAATCACCCAGATCAAAATGTGATACAAGAGTCTTCATATATTTGGTACCATGTTGAACTGCATCAATTGCATAATGAGCTTTCATGCAGGATTAAGTTCTATATCTACATAATGGACTTCTACAACCTCATAACACTCTCTAACCCCAGTTCTGAACTATATCAGATCTGCTTCGGATATTCTAACCATCATATTAAATATATACTCACAAAAGAGTAGAGTTTCTCTGTGGCTGAAGATAATGCAGATACTTACTGCCTACTATCATTGACCAACAAATTCAACACTATATGAAACTACTGCCATGTAATGGCACTTTTTTATTCTGTAGTATAGAGAATGCAACCTTCACTGGATTACTATCCAAATAATTGCATGCAGAAAGAACATATTCACTAAATAATACAACCAATAGATATCATTTAATTGCATTTTTTTTTCTTTCTCACACATCAAGAATGCTAACTATAGAACATTATCATAGTTGCATGCAGGAATTTATTGCCACAAAACCCAACAAACACACATTCAATCCAACATACAAAACTCGCACCTGATCATGGCTGGAATCGGTATCCCTATCAACAATCGCCGAAGCAGCCGATGCGGCAGACCTCACAGTCGACGCCACAGTCGAAGCACCGGACTGAACAATCCTCAGATAACTCGAAAGAGCACGGAATGACGAATTGACAAAACCATTATTCCTGCCCTGCCTCGGTACACCTCCTTGAGGTTTCTGTCCATCATTCCTCATCCCCAATTCCAAACCCCAGCAACAAAGAAGAGAACACAGAAATTTAAAAAACTTTTCTGGTGATTCTCCAAACAAACAACTCTTATCTCTATACTGACGATCATAAGCTCAAGCTGTTCTGTTTCAAGGCTTCAAACAACTCCGAATACCAACAAAACGCTACAAATTCTTCTCCGCCGTGTTCTTCACAGCGCCTTCACTTTTTCACAACACAAAACAAAGTGGAATTCCTCCAAAACACAACAAAAATCAAACTTTTTCGTTGTCTTTTCTCTATATTTACGAAATCAAACCAAAAAAAAATTGCCAATCGGAACAATTATGAAAGAACTGTACAGGAAAAAAATTAAATTAAAAATTAAAATATCAGGAATCGAACTGAATGATCAAGGTTTTCATTTTGATGCTTGGAAGAAAAAACACATATGTATAGGTCGCATGAGAGAGAAAGGGGAAGATTGAGGAATCAGATAATGAATAGGAGAGAAGAAATAAAAGACTCTCGGTTTACGTCTCTCTCTCTCTAAATTAGCTTCAGCTTCTCGTGAAAGAGTCGAGTTGAGTTGAATTCATCGGAGCGCGTCTAACGTCTTGTCGGTCTCAATGCCTCGTCAACGGACTGTGAAAAAAACAAAAATTATGGTCCATTGTGGAGGGGATGAAATGCATCCGACGGTTGGGATTTCGGGCGCGGGTTAGTGTGGTGTTCCGTGTAGTAGAGCAAAGCCGTTTTGTTTGGAAATCAACGGCGATGAAATCCGATGAGAATGTACGGATTTCTTCCGGGTCAAGCGTGTTCGTTTGTCAAGTTCAAGCATTATACGGCATGAACTGTCTGCCGATATTCTCAATTTCAATTCCGTATGTCACGATAATTTGACAAATCCCCCCCCCCCAACAAATTATAAAATTTTTAATTTATATCTTTAAAAATTAAATTTTTTTCACAGTGCACCCCTTTGTCACAAAATATTTCCAATGTAGCTCCCATTCCAACTTTCGTTGTTTTTTTCGGTTATATCTATTTAGATTCACTCAATTTGTTTATTAATTCTTGTTTAACAAATTATATCATATTAAGTTCACATGGTGTATAACCAGTATATAAATAAGTTGTGTCATATATTTTTTTCTAATTAATTTTATTTATTCCCGATTCATTTATTAATCATGGCTCGTCGGATCCACTCGTTTATAAAATGAATAACTTAAAAAAATTTAAACTATCTAATTTTGTGTCGTATGCGTATTGTGTTAACAGATTGAGTAATATTTTGATACTCATACACGTGATATACTTGAGTTTGGCAAAAATAGTAATAGAAAATAGTTTGAGGGTGATATTATAATTATTTTATGATATTAAAAGTACAATGCGAACAAAATGTCGAAGGATACAAATTAAAAAATTTAACATTTTTATTTGAAGTATGAAACAGTATTATAGAAATGGACAATGAGAGATTTGTCATAAAACATAGTATAAATTACATCTATAGTCCTTAAGATTTGTCATTCATTATTATATTTGATCCATGAGAGATATTTTTGGTATTATATAATAATTCATGAAGTCAAATATAAGTCCAGTTACAAAAAAAAAAACCCAAACACAAGTCTTGTCACTGACCACAAAAAATAAGGCTTGTCTTTTTTTTACCCTTTTTCTTCTCTCTCTAATTCAACTCTTTAGACCCAAACAAATCTCTCTCTTTTTAACCAACACATATTCATGATCCATCCCTTTTTCAAACCCTTACACACATACAACACAGTTGATGCAAGGCTTGAATTTTGGGGACCTCCATGAGCAATCAAGCTCAAATTCTCCCTCTCTCGCTCTCTGATGAATAGTTGAAGAAACTCCAATAAAACTGCATGGACAATCAACCACAACTAATAAAAGCTCTAATCAAGCTCCTCATGAAGGATTAACTTTGAATTGGGTATTGGGTTTTAACTTCTAAATCACTGTTTTTTTCTCTCTTTCTCTAATTCTTGATCTCTATCTCTATCTTAATTTCTCAGTAATTAGTGTGGGTAATAGAGAATTTGTACTTGTATCATTGTGATAGAGAAAGACAAGTAACAAGAGAAAAGAGAAGGAATTGTCATTCTAAATCTGCTAGTTTAGTAGTTCGATGTCTTATGCGGTCTAACTACGTAACCGAATCATTCTAAATCTTGGGTAGCGATTGAACCGATCTAATCCAATTCTGCTAACACTTATAGGAATTGTCATTTGACCAGTCATGGAAAACTGTGGGCTATGGCAGGATGACGTACAACCCACTAAAACTCATGAGGACTGTTCATAAACATACTATGGGCTATTGTTTGTTGGGTGAGTTAGTCCAGTTGTTAGTTGGCCAATCAAATCAATGGGCCTGCTCACTTTGGGCAGACCACTAACCATCCTGGTTGGCCCGACTTGTTACGGAACTTCAAAATAACTTCTCTGGTTTATATATAGTTTCGCCACGGCTTCTACACGTGGTGCAATTGTTCGAGGGTCGTCTTTTTCAATTTAACAGAAAATATTTGCAACGGTGATCACGGATAATGTTGACGTAATATAATTAACTAATAATATTAAAATAAATAAATAAATAAATAGGCCTATTAAAATTAATAACCAATTCTCCATGTAAGAAAATAATTATACTCTTATTTTATGGAAACAAATAACTATTTGTGTGAAATTCACCTTATCCATTTGATGTTTTATTATTAGTTGGTGATATCACTGTTGTATTTAATATTTACTTCCAATTTAGGATGCATTTGAAAATGTTTTAATTTTTTTATGCTAAAAACTAAAAAAAAAAACATAAAACATGTTTTGATAGTCATTTATATTTAAAAAAAAATATATATGTTTGATATTATATTGAAAACCCACGACTGAAATCCACGACCACTATCAACCACCCAAAAACCCACCACCAACCCCTCAGCAAAAACCGTCATTCAACACTCCTAAAAACTCACCACCTAACCACCAAAAAAAAATCAAATAGAGGTGAGGAGAGATAAAAGGGGTTGAGAGAGGGAGACGAAAAAAATGAAGTGAAAAGGGAATGGAGGGGTTTTATACTCAAAAACAAAAAAACTTATTTTTTTGTTGTTAAGGAATATCAAAGTCAAAATTTCATTAATTCTACTGATCCCTCGCACATGTTTTTGGTTTTTGAATGTTTATGAAAACACATATTTTATATTTTTATTTTTTAGCCTTGTTTTTAAAACAAAGTTCTTAAAAAAAATAGAAACATATTTTTATTTTTATTTTTAAGAAAATTGAAAATAAAAATTAAAAAATAAAAATAATAAGTTACCAAACACAACCTTAATTACAGGCTTAATTTAATGCTCATTGTATTTTTGAATATGAGATAGAGAACTTATTATTTGACCTAACAAAAAATAGAGAAATTATTATGAATTATATCAAGAGATACGTGTGTGAAGCTCGAGAAGAAGAACCAAACCTTAGTTTACCATGTAACCATTAAATATTGACCGGATGTGCTGTTTGATTTGGCATCAAACGAGAGACCCGGATACAAGTTTCGGATGGCCCGACCGTGGCCCAATATAGCGGCGTTTAGACGGAAATTAAAAGGACAAGAAATACAGACAGCTCGAGAATGCCTTCTAGTATTCACTTGACAACGACTTTACTACATCTTTATCTTTCGTTCTTCACGTTTCATTTTGCTTCCATGGATGAAAGCAAAATGCCTTTTGATATCTCAATTTTTATCCTTATAGATCTTTCGGTTAGTGAGTTATGTTAATTTTTTTTCATATGACTTACTCATTTGAGCAAGGATAGAGCCAGAATAAATACTTCAAATAATATGCTGTCAAGTCATTTAAACTTTAAATTTGATCTCAAAATTTAATTAGTATAACATTAATGAATTAGAATTCATGGTGTAGAAAGAATAAAAAGGGTATAGATTAAATAAAATTTTAAAATCAATGATGGAAATAAATTAATGAAATAAACTTATTTTATTCTTGGCATGCTTTAGCTATCCTATACTTTACCTTAAAGTTTCCCGAATCAAAGACCGAGAAATCCTCCCCCTGACAGTTCCGCCCATCGTTGCCTGTTTCTGACAATAAGCTCCGAGATCCAACATCCAGGCCACAATCCTCTCCACCTCATTACTTTCCAATCATTATCGAATTTAATCACTTACTCTCAATATCCGTGGGGCACATACAACAATATCATAAAAGATCATCGAGATCAACGGTCATACGTCGCGCCTCACCGAAAGTTACATGACTGGGCCCCACGGAATTAACGACACGTGCCACCCGAATAAAATCCCTCACCTTCGCCTTTGCGTGTGCGAAACAACTCATACACACCAATGTTACTCTTCTTCGCAATTATCACCTGAACTCTTACAAAAGCCCACCGCCACCACCGTTTTCGATCCGGTGGTTTATGATATTACGGCGACACGACCACCACTGGTGAAGTCCTACTGTTTTTAATTTTCCGGCAGATCTAGAAGTTTCTACTGCGCGTGAATCTTTCCGGAAGGTGATAAGCCGAAAATGGAGTCGATAATAGCACGAGCCTTGGAGTACACTCTCAAGTACTGGATGAAATCATTTTCCAGAGATCAGTTCAAATTGCAGGGCCGTACCGCTCAGCTTTCTAATTTAGGTTAATTATTCTCCAATCGCACTAAATTAGCTAATTTATTAGAGAAATTATATAAATTTGACTGGGAATTGGCGTGGTTTCAATTGTGATTTGTTGCAGACATAAATGGAGATGCTTTGCATGCGAGCCTTGGTTTGCCTCCGGCAATCAATGTGACGACGGCGAAAGTCGGAAAATTAGAGATTACGGTTGGTAGTTTGAAATTTTGATGTTAGTTTTTGGATATTGATATTGAGTTTCACTGTTCACCGCTGCAATTATACTCTGTTTGGTTGTTGGGAAAATTGAAGGAAGCTTAGTGTTGGATTATAAGAATCTTGTAATGGAAGTAGTTATTTTCAAATTTCCTGCAACTGATATATCTGAGATTTAAAGTTTTAGTGTAATTCCCAACCTCATTGTTTCTCAGCAACCAAACAAAATATGAGCTTGTTAGATGTGTTCCCAATACTGTCCCGTATTAGTAAATGATGCGTACTAATTGACTTGCTGTTTTCTAACCCATTTTGAATGGTGCGATTTTGAAGCTTCCTTCTGTGAGTAATGTACAAATAGAGCCAATCATTGTTCAAATCGATAGGCTTGATTTGGTTCTTGAGGAGAATGATGATTTGGATGGAAGTAGGAGCTCAACCAGGTAGTTTGGCTCATCTGAGCTTGATGCCATCTAAGATAGAATTAATTTTGTTCAGCTTATAGTTATGGTTGAATGTTTTTCTCTTTTGTTTTCTTATCCTGTTTGCAGTGCACAGTCGTCTGCCAGCCCTGCAAAGGGCAGTGGATATGGATTTGCTGACAAGGTTAGTCCCTTTCTGAAATTTCAGATTGCAGGTATTTCCTGCTTTAGTATAGTTGGGAGTATTGTTTACTGTGCAACATCATGTAATTCAGACCTTGTACTAGTTATGTCTTCCTGCCATCAATTTTTGTAACTGGGTGAGAAAAAAAAAAGCTAAGGTAACAGGGCATGTAAGTAAATATATTGGTCACCCTTGAAAATAGGAAAACAATGTATTGTTGCGTCTAGCTGGAAGCATCAGTTTTCCAATCTTACCAATAGAAACCAACAAGCCAATGTGTGATATTTGACTAAGGTTCTGTTCTTCCCCACCCCAACAAAAAAGAAAGTAAAAAAGAAAGAGAAACAAATGTTGTTGAATGAAGACAGCTAAAGGTAGAATACAGTTAAGCTTGCTGTTGCATGTAGTATGATTATTATGGAATTTTGAAGGATTTTTGCTTCAAGGGGCCTGACTCTAGCAATTGCAAATTTGTTAATGATGATGCTGAAGGTGCAACAGCAACAAGGAAATAATACTAACATGCACTTAAAGATCCACAAAAAGAACAAGGGAATGCCAAAGTAAAAATACTTGAGATCTAATGAATATTAAGTTTCAAAGCACTCTACTTTTAGGTTTCTGAATAAGTCCTTAGAGCCTCTGCATGTAGAAACCATGTGAGAAAGCATAAGCTTGTAATGCTACAGCTAATAAGCTTATGCAATGGACAACAATGTTAAGTTCTTGGGATTTTTAAATGCTCTCTCACTCCCTTCTGAGCAGCTGGTAGTTGGCAAATGAATAGACTGTTTTTTTTCCTTTCCTTTTCTTTTCTTTGTCCCCCATTTCTTGGGTCGGCTTGGTTCATTATTGTGTGCTTCATATCCTATCAGCTCAAAAGAAAAGAAAATGATGAGAAACAAAAAATGCTCCAGATGGGTGCTTCATTTGATTAGATCAAGTAATCATGTGGAAACTGTGACTTTGAAAGGCATCAATCTTCCTTTTCTTCCCATATAGGATCGAAAAAAGTTCATTTCCCTTTATGCTGGAATGGTTAGTATTTCAATGGAAACATAACCTAAAAATATGTAGTGTAGATCTCAACCATTGTAAAGCATGTTTTTTCTATTTTTTGGGAAGATAGATGTTTTTTTGTGATGGGATATCATCTGTGTTTTCAGGTGCATATATGTGTGTTTAGCAGTGTCCCACTGTAATATTAATGTCAGGAACAATTTTGGCTCTGTAACTTCAACTTGACAAAAGTTACATTCGTTGTATAAGCATGAAGTTACGTAAATTTTGTTTCCATCTAGTCTCATCTCCCCTTACTGTCTTCTCGTACTCAAAAAATTTTCAGGACCCATGTGCATGTAGGTATGGGTGATGGCTGTATGTAAGTTGCCAGCCCAACTCAATTTTGCTTTATGTGGACTTTGGGAAGCCACATGTTAACCTGGACTATAATGTGGACCTTTTATTCTCTCAGATTGCAGATGGAATGACAGTAGAAGTTCGCACTGTTAATCTGCTGCTTGAGACTCATGGGGGTGCTCGACGCCAAGGTGGAGCAACATGGTAATTTCTCATCACCTCAACCCATTTTAATGCTCGGACCTAATTACATGCACTTGTCCATGGCGAAGCGACCCCTCAATATTCAGTTTGAACTACAAATCGAAAAATAAATAGTGTACTGATATCTTCAAACTGCTAAGTTTTGGTTCTTATTTACACTCCTTGCTCATCTTTTTCCCCCATTCACCAGGGCATCACCTATGGCATCCATCACTATTCGAAACCTTTTGCTCTATACCACAAATGAAAATTGGCAGGTTGTGTTCTGAAATTTGTTGTATGGTTGTGCTTTTTGCTGCTTTCATGTGATAAACAGTTGCTTAGTCAAATAGTCTACTGGTGCAGGTGGTAAATCTTAAGGAAGCGAGGGACTTCTCGAGTGACAAGAAATTCATTTATGTCTTCAAAGTAATTATGCCGGCTTTTTCATAAAGTTTTCTTCTTGGTGCTTGTGTTCAGTTTTGGGGTGGGAATTTTCCTCAGATAATGTTTTAACTGCCTCATGAGCAGATATCGTTATTAACTTGGTTTTTTTAGTTTTTTGTTATTCTCTATTTTAGAAAGTGTACTGTTCATATCATTATCAGCCGGAAATGATGTTTCCTTTTTTTCCCCAACTGTTGACTCACCAGAAACTTGAATGGGAATATTTATCTATCGACCTCCTGCCTCATCCTGATATGTTCACGGAGGCTCATTTTGCAAGCTCTCTGGACGGATCTAATAGGAAGGATGATGATGGTGCCAAGAGAGTATTCTTTGGTGGGGAGCGGTTCATTGAAGGAATATCGGGAGAGGCTTATGTAATGCACATTAAAACACTTGAGAATTGAAATTTGCATTTCACTAGAGAACATTGTGTATAGATGCACCCATTGTTCAGTAACTCTTGAGTTCGTCATTATGATCAGATCACTATACAGAGGACAGATCTAAATAATCCACTGGGGCTTGAGGTTCAGCTACATATTACAGAAGCCATTTGTCCTGCTTTAAGTGAACCTGGCAAGTGAAAGATTATATGTCTTCTTCACATTGTTGTGTATCCACTGTTACAAGTTTTGAATAGCATGCTAATAAAGTACCGTTATGTGACCAGGATTGCGAGCTCTTCTCCGCTTTTTGACGGGGTTATATGTTTGTCTTAACAGAGGAGATGTGAATCCAAATGCTCAACAGGTTTTACGTTGCTTTTATTGTTACTTTTACTGTTCAGTTTTACTATTGTGAACAACTATCATGCTGCGTAGCTATAAACAATTTATAACTGACTCCCAATTTATAACATGTTCTATCTCTCTAGCAGCGTTCGTCAGAAGCAGCTGGACGTTCTCTAGTTTCTATTGTTGTGGATCACATATTTCTTCGCATTAAGGATAGTGGTAAGTTTTTCCTCCTCCTTGAAATGCCTTTCTTTTTGCAATTTTTTATTATGTGAATTTCTCTTTGAGGTATTTCATTGTCTTTTCCCCAGACTGAAAAGATTCCCAATTGTATATTGTGGTACATATTTTTTCTGATAGGCGAGTGGTGTGTAAAATTTGTTTGCAGGCCACATATTTATTTGACTGAAATTTTTACTAAGAATGTCAATTTCACTTGCAGAGTTCCAGCTTGAATTTTTAATGCAGTCACTTTTCCTTTCTCGGGTAACTTTTTATGTATCTTCCACAGAAATTTTTTTATCTTTCATGCAATGAGATAGTATTTTTGCATAACTTGTAGATTTTTAGCGCAGTCTTAAGGGTTCAACATGACATATTATCTTTACTTTCTTGCAGGCTAGTGTTTCTGACGGAGAAAATGCCAAATATTTAACTCGGGTTATGATTGGTGGCCTATTTTTAAGGTCTGTTGTATTCCCACATTTTTTGATATTCGCATTGCATTTACACATTTGAATAGATTTGCTGCATTCGTGCAAGTGAATAAGTCTGCCCATCCATGTTCTGAGAGAATATTGATCAGTTCTGTTTCAACACCTTGGCTCTAATCTTGTGGAATACTTTATGTATTGTCCAACAACAATATATGAACATTTTGGTCTATAACATAGCTGAAGCAAATGGATTCATGTAGCCTACCCAAAACAGTTGAGCAAGCCCTTATGTGGTCTGGTTTGGTTTCCAAACATCATTCCATCATTAGCTTATGAGTTCTTACTAATAGCTTGTTTCGTTTACTCTTACCAATTGACCTGAGCATTAGGCATTCAATCATACAGAACTTAAGGATTGTGATATATATCGCCTTTATGTAATGGCATCTGTGGGTTCTGTTACCGTTGCAGACCGCTATATTGATGGCGTTTACGTATTGTGTTGTCCAACTTATCTATTCTTGCCAGATGCTCTGTTAAATTAATTCCACTTTTACACATTTATTAATTCAAGAATATGAAACCCTGTTCATAATTTAGAGTTGTGTTTTTTGATATCTGATTTGTTTTTGGATGCCAGAGCTCTTATATGAAATTTATCACAATCTGACCCTAAAATCTTGAAACTGAAGAGTTTGGAAGCCCAGAAGAAATGTCTATTGGTCTTGAAGGGGGCTGTAATGTTCTGTTGCTGTGTCAATGGACCTTTGACCATATATACCAGTGATTTTCAATTTGAATCGTTAACCTAGTAATGAAACGTAGTGAAGGGAAGATTTTCTTAGGGGAGCTGTGGAAATGCAGATGCTGCTCCTTCAGAAAATCTGCTATCTAGTTTGTTGGAATTTCCTTTCTTCATGGGGTTTTGGGCTGGGTGTGCCCAGCCTAGCTGGTGTGTGTATTAGTGGGGTATGCAGGATGCTGGTTGTTTATAGCTGTATTATTTTGAATAAATCTTACATGTCTTTTTGGAACATCATGTATTATTTGGAACAAATCTTACAAAGTAAGTATTTCCTACGTAAGAACAAAATATTATTGCATAACAAAGCATGTCTTTTGATGTTAATTCAGATTCACTCGAAATCAATGAAAGACTCGAATACAGCTAGTTGGTTAAACATCTTAGTTTTGGAATCTTATTCCATTGGAAAGAAAACTTCCACTGCTTCTACCTGTGAAGCTTACTGTGACAGGACCATATGTTTACAGATAACAAGATTAGGACCATAATACCACTTGAGCTGGCTCATTTTTTTCTTGTTTGAAAGCAATTTTTTCTCTTTAATAGTTGGAATTTGAAAGCAGATATTACATAATTCCGTGACTGAGGAGAAAGTATTAGAAATAGATTTGTCTGGCATTACTCCCATATAGTGAGATCCTTATTGTATTTGTTTATGGTTCATGTTATTGTATAATTGATTTCTATCTCTAATTTATACATTAATGGTCATAATGCAGGGATACTTTTTCACGCCCTCCGTGCACCTTAGTGCAACCATCAATGCAAGCTGCTACTGTAGAGGCTCTTCATATTCCAGACTTTGGTATGAGTAGTTCCCCTATGTAGTCTGGAGGAAATTAGATACATTTACTGGTATTGATCTGGTGTGGTGTTATTCTTCAATGGCAATTTATGTCTTCTTTTTGTATTCTGAACAGGTGAGAACTTCTGTCCTCCAATATACCCGCTTGGAGACCAGCAGTGGAAATCAAATGAGGGTGTTCCTCTAATATGCCTCCATTCTTTTCAGTTTAAACCCTCGCCTGCTCCACCATCTTTTGCTTCACAAACAGTCATTGACTGTCAGCCTCTTATGGTATCACACTGTTATTTCAATTAAAGAAGCTGTGAGATTTATTAGTTGTTTGACTGCTTTGGCTTAAAGACCTTTTCCTACTCCTTGCTCAGATTTATCTTCAGGAAGAATCATGCCTGAGGATATCTTCCTTCTTATCTGATGGAATCGTAGTAAATCCTGGTGATATTTTGCCGGATTTTTCAGTAAACTCTCTCGTATTTAATCTCAAAGGATTAGATATTACTGTGCCACTGGACATGGAAAAGCCAAGCTATCCTCTTGGCTGTGGCAATATTAATTTTCAGAGTTCCTTTTCTGGAGCAAGACTTCATATTAAGGACTTGTTCTTTTCTGAATCACCTTTCTTAAGACTAAGTCTACTGAACCTTGAGAAGGATCCTGCATGCTTCTGTCTGTGGGACGGTCAACCAGTTGATGCCAGCCAGAAGAAATGGACACTTGGTGCTTCTCTCATCAGTTTGTCCCTGGAAACCTGTAAGGACTCAACTGAAGTTCATAGTTCTCTTATCAGGTCTTCAGGTTTGTGGAGATGTGTTGAACTGACCGGTGTCCGTATGGAGGTGGCAATGGCAACTGCAGATGGGAGCCCATTAATTGATGTTCCTCCTCCAGGTGGTGTTGTTAGAGTTGGAGTTGCTTGTCAACAATATTTGTCTAACACTTCTGTTGAACAGTTGTTTTTTGTGTTGGATCTCTATGTTTATCTTGGCATTGTGAGTGAAAAGATAGCCGTAGTTGGAAAAGATAGGCGATCAAAGAAAACAAGAGATGAATCTATGGGAGAAAAACTGATTGAAAAGGTTCCTGGTGATACTGCTGTGACCTTAGCAGTGATGGACCTCCAGCTAAGGTTTCTCGAACCTTCCTCCATGGACTTACAGGGGATGCCTCTAGTTCAGTTTGTTGGAGAAGATTTGTTTGTCAAAGTTGCTCATAGAACCTTAGGTGGTGCAATAGCTATTTCATCCAGTTTGCGGTGGGAGAGCGTTGAGGTGGACTGTGCTGACGACAATGCAAACTTGGTAACAGAGAATGGTATGGTGCCGATTTCTGTTGAAAATGGTCTTCTGGCTGGGAATGGATACCCTCAACTGAGATCAGTCTTTTGGGTGCAAAACAAAAGGAACCACCAATCAGATGCCCTTTCTGTCTCGTTTCCGTTTTTGGACATAAGTATGGTGCATGTGATTCCATACAGCGTTAGGGATATGGAGTGTCATAGTTTGAGTGTGTCAGCCAGCATTGCTGGTGTACGTCTTGGGGGAGACATGAATTATGCTGAAGCTCTGCTGCATCGATTTGGAATTCTTGGGCCGGATGGTGGTCCTGGGGAGGGGCTTTCTAAAGGGTTAGAGCATTTATCTGCAGGGCCTTTGGCAAAACTCTTTAAAGCTTCACCTGCAATTGTGAATGGGCTCCAAGAGAGTATGAACACTAAACCTTTCATACCTACCAAGGCTTGTTTTTCTGTGTTCTATCTTATATATTCTAGCAGCTTCATAGTTATCTTGTATCATGCACCTTTATTTATATATTTCTTTTGGTACCTTCATTCTCTTTCTTTTCCTCCCAGATGAAAGCTCAGCAGATAAGAAAGACAGTGGTTTCTTGCAGTTGGGTACACCTGATGATGTTGACGTATCAATAGAATTGAAAAATTGGTTATTTGCACTTGAAGGTGAACAGGAGATGACAGAAAGCTGGAGGTCCTGCAATTATGAATATTCGGACAGAGAAGAGAGGTGCTGGCACACAACTTTTCGCAGTTTGCTAGTGAAAGCGAAAAGCAGCTCAAAGCACATGATGAATGGCAATGGAAGATCAGATGGAACACAAAAATCTCCCATTGAAGTGGTCATAGTGAGAAATTGATCACATCTTCTTCTTTGTGATATTGATTATAGGTTTATATGTGATATAGACATCGAATTGAAGTACTATTGGTGGAAAATAGATGCAAATATTGTTTTATTTTATGAACGTTTTTTTAATAAATTTAAGGGATATCTAGCTAACATGACTAAAGTAGCATCTAAATATATTAATGCCACACATGCAGACCATCTTACCAGGATAACATATGGCCTATGAGATATTGTAGGATACTAAGTTGCATTTCTAGGATGCTTATTTTGAAGATTTTTCTTGGTGTTTTTTTTTATTTATTTGAGTTGGGGTGGGGTATTGTGGGAGTGGGCATTTTTGGGCAATTCCATGCGATCATTTAGAAGCCTAGGAAGCATGGATAAGAACAAGGGACGCAATAATTGTATGAAACGCTTGTTTTAGAAATAAGCAAGGAGTGGAGCATTGGTGTCCAACGATTATGAAAAGTGGGCAAGTGTTCTTATGCCATTTTTGGACTAGCATTGGTAAATTAACTACTCTGGGGTGCTTACATTAGATTTGGCTTGACATATAAGAAGTGGGAACACTAACATGTAAATTAATGGAGTTAGTTGAAACTGTGATTAGAAAAGAGTCAATTAGCAAACTCAGTGGGTAGAATTAGAAAACAACCAGGGAAATAGAAAACAAAGGTCATAATTCCTACTATAATGGATAGGATAAACATAGTAATGAAGTTGGAATGATAATAGTGAATATTCGAGAACATTAAATAAGGAGTAACAACCATTAGAAAAGAGAGAGAATAATCTTAATCAAACTTGTAATAAAATTAAACATATTTTAAGTGCGCTTATGTGTCCCAAGTATGATTAGATGAAAACATTTAAAACTCAATCTTTTGGTCATACAGGAATACTTATAGAAGAGAGTATACATAGGAGAAGACTTTAGTGCTTATATAGGAAGTTAGGAACAAAGCAGAGAGGGTATGAGATTTGTCAATGGTGAACATGAGTTTGGGGATCAAAATGATACCAAGAAGTCTATCTTAGATTTTGTGGTGGCATATTATCTCATGATAACAAGCACATATTTTGAAAGAAATATGGACATTGATCAACATTGAAATTGGATTAAATCCTTGTCAAATAGATTTTTTCGTAACAGTGGATGATGGTCTACCATGTAAAGTGCTATAAAGTTACTACAGGAGAGCAACATAGAATAATGGTATTAGATGAATGCGTTTGTGAACCTTCAAGAATAAATACATAGAGACTTAAAATCAAATAACTAGATGATGGTGTTTGAAAAAAAAAAGACCAAATCTGAAACTTAAGTATAAATGCCAAAATACGAAATGTAATTCAGGAAATGGCACTAGTTTAATGCAGGATATGGTGGTAGAATATGTTGAAAGAACGTCGAAAGAGGTTCAACATGAACAAAAAGTAATGGATTGTTAGGTAAATAAATTTGGAGGCGGAACAATGAGATCCAAATCAGAGTAAAAATAGAATGTGTTATAAACCATAATCATATTTAGAAATGAGGAAAGTTTGAGATGAACTTGCATATAAAATTTTTGAAAAATTATTGGACCATGTCGCATTGTCAGCTGATTATACTCACAACTTAAATCGAAGTTAGCGATTGTGGTTTGGTTTGGTCCAGTGTCATGTAGTGGCATCTGGGTGGATATAAGTTTGATATATTACTTGGGGCGTTTTGTTGTTCTCCAGTGCCTTAGATTTGGGTATTCTGTTAATTTGTAACCTTCATTATGTTTCCATTAGTATTTATTGGTAGTCATTGGTTGTTAATTAATCGTGAGGTGTACAAGTATGATTGTGTAAGAGTGCTCGCAGGTTGGTGTGGAAGGCTTACAGATCTTAAAGCCCAAGGCCCGAAAGAGCCTCCTGCTAGATGACATACCTGCAAAAGGGCTCAAATCAGATATTGCGACATGTGGTGGGATAAATCTTGAAGTTGATATTGTGATTTCGGAGGATGACGACGATGAAGTCATGGTCAAGTGGGTGGTTGAAAATTTAAAATTTTCTGTGAAACAGCCGGTAACACAATTTAACTAGTTGAGTATTTAAGTATCTTCTGTTGTCAGTAAAATGGCATGTTGCAATGATATTTTCTCTGCAGATTGAGGTTGTTGTGACAAAGGATGAGCTGCAACACCTTGCCCTTTTGTGCAAGTCTGAAGTTGACTCGATGGGTCGAATAGCTGCTGGAGTTCTGCGGGTGCTTAAGCTGGAAGGTTCTGTTGGCCAAGCTGCGATAAATCAACTAAGCAACCTTGGTATATTCAACATCTTAAGTCTTGTCAACAATGATGATTGGATCTAAAAAGTTTGTTATCCTTTATTTTTTTTGACTTGCATATGACACCTTAAAATGTAAGTTTGGGGGCCATGGGGAGTCAAATGTCATGGATTTGAGTGCCCATAAAAAAGGTTATAGATTTGAAACTGTAGGCTGACTTTAGATAAGTAGAGCCTGAATCGGAATTCTAGTGTTGGTTAATATCATTCTCTTCTTAATGAACGATAAGAGGTCTCCAATGCAATTGAAGATCAAATTTATTGATCTCGATTAGCCTCTTGTGACTGTGTTTCTTATAGCCTTGCCTTTTTATCCGCTTAAGGTTATCCCATGTTAGTTTGCTTGGTGGATTATTCGAAATTTATGTGAATTTATGACTTGCAGGAAGTGAGGGCTTTGACAAAATTTTCACCCCCGAAAGGATCAGTAGGGATAGTAGTTCTTGCAGTATTGGGCTTGGTGCACACTCTGATGTGAATGGTGAGAAGCCCCATTTACGTTGTGAATCGACTGTGGCTTCACTTGAAGAGGTGGTGTTGGAATCACAGGCCAAATGCGCAGCTCTCACTGCTGAATTAGGTAGTTCAGAATCTTCCGCACACCACTTTGATAATATTAGGCAACTCACTCAGAAACTTGAGCATGTGCAGAGGCTATTGAAGCAATTGCGGACTCAAATTTAATGGTTTTTTCTTCTCTGTTGTATGATATTGGGATAGAAAGGATCCCAAACATATACTTTGGCCATTGTTTCTGTAAATATTCTATAATTACAAATACATGTTGAGTGTATATACCGGTCATCAGGCATATGTGAGAAGCAATCATATGCCTGAGTGGAAGTTTTGTATCCAAACAGTTACATTTAATCATCATAAAGTATAAAAAGATGTATGTTTTTGTGTCGAGACTTCGTCAAGTTTCTCGATAGCAGGCGCTTTATTGCAGTTTTGAGTAGCAATGGTAGATGATCTTCATAATTTTTTTTTGAATAAATTAAATAGATAAAAATTGAATCAATCTTAACTATTATTTTATTTTTATAAATTGATAATTAAACTTCTTAGTTTTAATATTAGATAGATTATTAAAATTTAGGGGCATCAATATAATAATAGATAAGTTTTTTTTTTCGGCCGTAAATACAAATGATAAAGGTTTTTATCTTGTTATTGAAAAATCAGGGGACTTCTATGTAATTAGTGTACTAGTGTGAGTAGTTTGTAGTTATTTTCAGCAGATAACAATCATTCGAATATGAGACATGCAATATAGTGAATATACCAAGCTAGGTCTCTATCAGTGTCTAAAATCTAAAACCATTGGGTTGTTTTTCAAGCTGATCTTTGTATAATTTAGCAAAAAACACAAATAAAAAAATTACCAAAACAAAAAAAAAGGTCAAAATAAACCGATCGTCTCGCTTCCCAACCTTTTTTGTTGGAAAAATAAAAATTATAATTAATTCTTGAACAATAATTGAAGGTTCAATTTGATCATTGAACTTTCAATTTAGTCACTTAATTATCAATTTTATTTTAATTAAGTCATTTCATCAATTTTCATCAAAGATTAACTCAATCTAATCAATTTCAGCATTGATTTGGTGAAAATAGAAAAAATGACTTAATTGAGATAAAATTAATAATTAAGAGACTAATTTGAAAAAAATCAAAATTTAAGGATCAATTACGATTTTTATCCTTAAAAAAAACAATATTGAAAGTGATAATGATATTACATCATCATCGGTCTCACCAATCAATTATGTATAAATATATAGAATTAGTAAATCTCACTAAATTTATAATTATTAATAATTTTTACATTAAATAACTATTATAGAATTAGTGGTGGAGTTTACTTATTTTATTTGTTTATTGATTACTAGTTGGTAACATTGGCGTTGAATATATTTGTATAAGAATAATGCTATTTGGACATAAAAAACTAACATAATTTGTTAACATAATGATGCAGGTTTTTAGGAATCATTTGATCAACACCGAAGTCTATTGTTCGATAGAACCTATAGTCAATCTAAAAGACTACGATATTTTTGTCATATCTCTCTCTTGCTGGGCTAAGAAAATGGAAAATGAGAAGTCACAAGTAGCATGGAATTTCCATAAGTTTGGTTCTTACCACTACATTGGTGAGTCATCTGCTAAAGGGCTGCAGTTGCGTGCCTCTACTTCAAACCAACGAGACGAATCAATGATAAAGATCATTACTATTATTATTATTATCTGCTCCAAATGCTATGGTAGAAGGAGCTAAATGCAAAAGGGTATATGCGTTCGGCTGGTCAATATCATTGAGATCTTTTTCTTGACACTTGGTACAAGTGTCCCAAATAGTACAGAGAGGAAGATAAAATTTGCTGTGTCAAAGCACAAGGAGATGAAAACAATGGATAAAGAGGTTAACAATAAAGACAGGTAACCCCTTTTATTCTATTAACAATTTGATGCGAAAGAAAGATTCTTTGTATCACATTATCTAATTCCCTTGCTTGATTCTTTTTGGCCCTTTACATAGAATTAGGACATAAACAATGTTACATATGCAATAACTGTATCAATTTTTCTCATATACATCGATGTTAGTCTTTGAAAGTCGCAAAGCAGTTTGTGGGGATTTGAATTTTGGGTTTACAATATTACTGGATTTTGATGAGATTTTGAACCTCAGGCCACCCGATTAGGCGGTGACGACATGATCATTCGTCTGACTTGTATCCATGGCCGAATGAATGTTCTTCTTTGTCTAACTAGAAACAATTAAATGAAACAAGGTTAGGACAGCAATGTTGTGTAGACAATAATTCTTGTGTTTCTAAGAAACAGTGAACAATGTAGACTGTAGAGGAATCATACTCATCAATACTAGTTTGGAATTATTGAAAACAACAACCACTGCATGACCAATTCTAACAACACCTGCCGGCTAATTTTAAAATTGCAGTAGATCACTCCATAGGGCCTTGATATCAAGCGATGGGCCGATGGCAGCTTGCAACTGAGCTATCAAACAGAATTGATCAATGCATTTACAAAAGCACTGGAGTTGCATATAAATGAAGTAGTAGCAAAAAATTTTTTTCTAAAAAGGGTCTCTCTTCAAACAAGAGAAGGTTGCGCACATTTAATCCTTCTAAGATCCCACAACATTGAGAAACTTGTGCACTGGGCTTCGGAAATAGTTCATCGTTGTTGAAGGGATCACAGGAAATGGGGAACAAAGATGGCATGTTTCGATATGCTGACACAGTGGACAAATTGTTGATGTTTTTTGGTACTTTAGGTAGCATTGGGGATGGTTTGCAGATCCCTCTCATGATGTTTGTTCTCAGCGATGTGATCAACAACTTTGGAAACCTCAATGACAAAGTATCTACTAGTTCTGTGAACAAGGTAAGGACATATACCCAGTTCTCTCTTATCTTTCAGTACGCATAATGAAGTCTCTTATTTATTGGTGTCGTCTTTTTAGTTACTTAGCTTCTTAGATGATATTAATTGAATGCAAAAGCACTTCTACTTATGTAACCCCTTTCAGTACTTTTCTCACATGTATTTAGGTCCTATGTAGTGTATTTTTTATCATTTTTTTCGAGGTAGGTCATCTACCGTAAATTCAAGTGAGACCCATTATATATTCAAGTGAGACCCATTATATATAACAAACTACTATCAGTACCTAGTGGACGATCTCCCATTGAGAAAAATTTTGATAGAGTGTACTAGAATGGATTTGGATCCTTCTCACATGTTCAAATTTATGGTGAACGAGCCTCAAAATCTTGAGCATCTATTACAAAATATTTCCTGCTAATGTTAAAAGATTATTTTAAACCCCACTAGGGAGATTGTTTAGGGAAATATTTATCACATGAGGGTGTAACATAGACTCATTGTGTTGTAAATATTTTACTTTGCAGTATGCACTGAGGCTGCTATACGTTGCAATTGGAGTTGGATCAGCTGCATTTGTCGGTATAAAATACTTCCATATCTTGAGTATATCCTTTCTCAAAATTAATTTTTGTTCTAACCAACGACGGATCAGAACGTGAGTATCTTCTTTTGTGCATTTTTGCAGAAGGATTGTGTTGGGCAAGAACAGCTGAGAGGCAGACTTCTAGAATGAGATTGGAGTACCTGAAATCTGTGCTTAGGCAAGAAGTTGGTTTCTTTGACACCCAGTCAGCTGATTCTTCCACTACTTACCAAGTTGTTTCAACAATTTCCTCTGATTCCAGTACGATCCAAGTCACCATAGGCGAGAAGGTTTTGATTCCCCTGACCTTATTCTTTTTGTTGCTCCTTAAAATCTCAAAATAAAGCACAAGAATTCTCTTGGTTCTTCATGTCAGTGAGCACGTATACATATGAAGATAATGAGAAACTACTGTTATGATGATTAAGAAGCACAGGAAACCTTTTCCTGATTAGTGCACTACTAGCCTCTATGTGTGGAATAACAGCCCTGGAAAGAAATCATAAACTCATTTGTATTTTGCAAAGTAACCTGCTCTAGATAATATAGGCAACCTCATATCCCCTTACAACACCAATAACCTAAATTAGAAGGCTACATATATGTCTTTACAGTCCCTCCTATCCCAACTCTGAAGTCTACTGGTTTCTGATCTGGTGTTTTTGCAAAAGGGGGGTAAAATTACCCCCTGATAAGTCAAGTGGTGATATCTCATGTCAACTAGGTGGAGAAGGGTGAGATATAGCTAGCTGCTAATAAAGGGCTGCAGAGGGTGAAAGCATAGGTTGAGCGGATGATAATCTGGACCCGGTGGTTAAATTGATACTAAATTGATTATTAGACACGCTTTCTTCTTCTTATTCTTTGTCTTCTGGATAGGATTGAAATCTAATTGTTTTTTGATTGTAGATACCTGACTGCCTTGCTTACATGTCCTCCTTCTTCTTCTGCCTCATATTTGCCTTCGTACTGTCATGGAGGCTCACATTGGCTGCTCTCCCATTCACTTTACTGTTTGTTGTCCCTGCTCTTGGATTTGGAACACTTATGATGAATGTAGTAATGAAGATGATTGAATCCTATGGAGTCGCTGGTGGGATTGCAGAACAAGCAATTTCTTCAATAAGAACTGTATATTCCTATGTTGGAGAGCGTCGTACCCTTGATAGGTTCAGTCATGCACTTCAAGATACTATGGAACTAGGAATAAAGCAAGGTTTGGCAAGAGGATTGATGATGGGGAGCATGGGAGTTATATATGTTAGCTGGGCTTTTCAGGCTTGGGTTGGGTCAGTTCTGGTTACCAAAAAAGGAGAAAGAGGTGGCCATATTTTTGTAGCTGGATTTAATGTCCTCATGGCAGGATTGTGAGCTTTTTCTTCTTAGATCTTGTGCTTCAATTCTATATAAACAGCAGAAGACGATGACATAATTCATACCTTAATTCAGTTTCAAAACTCATTATTTCATTTTTTGCAGGAATATTTTGACGGCACTCCCTAATCTTACTGCCATCACGGAGGCAAAAGCTGCTGCTACTCGTATGACTGAGATGATTGACCGGCTACCAGCCATAGACTCTGAAGATAAAAAGGGGAAGGCTTTATCATATGTGAGAGGGGAAATTGAATTTAAAGGCATCTATTTTAGTTACCCATCAAGGATTGATACCCCAATCTTGCAAGGTTTAGAGCTTAGAGTACCATTTGGCAAGACTGTGGGTCTTGTTGGAGGCAGTGGTTCTGGCAAGTCCACGATAATATCATTACTTCAAAGATTTTATGACCCAATAGAAGGTGAAATTCTCTTGGATGGATACAAGATAAACAAACTTCATCTTAAATGGTTGAGATCCCAAATGGGTCTGGTCAATCAAGAACCAATCCTGTTTGCAACATCCGTAAAAGAGAATATATTATTTGGGAAGGAGGGAGCATCAATGGAAGATGCAGAACAAGCAGCGAAGGCTGCAAATGCGCATAACTTCATTACCGAGTTACCAGATGGATATGAAACACAAGTAAGTCCACTTCTGCCTCCATAACATTTGTATTTTTGGTGCTATCCTGCAGGTAACTTTTAGAAGTGTCAAGGAATAAACTATTCCTAACTGCCAGCAAAATGATCACAATGTCCTGCTTTAAACTTTTTCTATTTTCTTAATTGAAAAATGGGGAAAAGCAGATGCATATGTGTACACTGTATATTCTTCCCAATGTCCATCATAGCTATTCATTGTAAGATTTTTACTTTCTTTGAATTCTCCAGGTAGGGCAATTTGGAGTTCAATTGTCTGGAGGGCAAAAGCAAAGAATAGCTATAGCAAGGGCTTTAATAAGAGACCCAAAAATCTTGTTACTTGATGAAGCTACAAGTGCTCTGGATGCACAGTCTGAAAGAATTGTACAGGAAGCAATCAATCAAGCATCAGTAGGGAGGACAACAATTGTCGTAGCTCATCGTCTCTCCACAATTAGAATGGCTAATCTGATAGTGGTTCTTCAATCAGGAATAGTGGTAGAATCAGGTTCACATGATGAACTAATGCAAATGAATGGTGGGCAAGGTGGTGAATACTTCCGAATGGTGCAGTTGCAACTGTCAACGACTCAAAATGAAGTTGAAAGTAACTTCAATCATCAAGCCGATAAAAGAAATCATTACAAGATGAGTGCTCCACCAAGCCCACTCAGTGTGAGGTCAAGTGCACCAAGCACACCAGCATTGTATCCATTCAGCCCAGCATTTTCCAGGAGCGCACCTTTCTCTGCTCCATACTCTGTCCCCTATGATGAATCTTATGAAAGTGACGAAGATGATATTAAGCAGACATCGTATCCCACTCCGTCCCAATGGCGTTTGCTCAAAATGAACGCCCCTGAGTTGGGAAGAGCCTTGCTTGGATGCATAGGGGCTATAGGCTCTGGAGCAGTTCAACCAATAAATGCCTACTGCGTGGGAGCACTTATATCAATTTACTTCCACAGAGACAAATCCTCCATCAGATCTGATGCAAGAGTCTACTCTTACGTTTTCATGGGCCTTGGAGTATTCAGCTTCTTTACGTCTCTCATCCAACACTACAATTTTTCAATAATGGGAGAAAAATTGACCAGAAGAGTACGGGAGAAACTGCTTGAAAAGATGATGACTTTTGAGATTGGCTGGTTTGACCAAGATGAGAACACAAGTGCAGCCATTTGTGCCCGGTTATCAACCGAAGCTAACATGGTTCGCTCCCTTGTTGGGGACCGTATGTCATTGCTTGCTCAAGCATTCTTTGGGGCTACTTTTGCTTATGCACTAGGACTTGTGCTTACATGGAGGCTAACCTTGGTGATGATGGCAGCCCAACCATTACTTATTGGAAGTTTTTATTCTAGGAGTGTTCTGATGAAGAGTATGTCTGAAAAATCTCAAAAAGCACAAAAAGAAGGAAGCCAATTAGCTAGTGAAGCTGTCATCAACCATAGAACTATAACTGCCTTTTCTTCTCAGAAGCGAATATTGGGACTCTTTAAGGCCACCTTGGAAGGCCCGAGGAAGGAGAGCATTCGACAATCTTGGTTTGCAGGTTGTGGCTTGTTTAGCTCCCAATTTTTGGCAGCAGCTTCTACATCGTTAGCTTATTGGTATGGGGGCAAACTATTATCACAAGGATTAATAACTCCGGAGCGACTTTTTCAAGCATTTTTGGTATTGCTGTTTACTGCTTATACCATTGCTGAGGCAGGAAGCATGACTAAAGATTTATCTAGAGGAAGCAATGCTGTCCGTTCAGTGTTTGAAATTTTCGATAGAAATAGTGAGATCGATCCAGAAAACTCATCGGGAGTTGATGCTGTAAGAACAAATATTAGGGGCCGTGTAGAGCTGAAAAATGTGTTCTTTGCTTATCCATCAAGGCCGGACCAGTTGATCTTTAAGGGCCTAAGCCTTAAAATTGCAGCAGGAACGACAGTAGCACTGGTGGGGCCGAGTGGTTCTGGCAAATCTACTATTATTGGGCTCATTGAAAGATTTTATGACCCAATAAGAGGATCAATATACATTGACGAGCGGGACGTAAAGGATTATAAATTGAGAAGCTTGAGGTCGCATATTGCATTAGTTAGTCAGGAACCCACCCTCTTTGCAGGAACTATCAATGAAAACATAGCCTATGGGAAGGAGGACGCTAAGGACTCTGAGATAAGGAAAGCTGCAAGGCTTGCCAACGCACATGAATTTATAAGGTACAAAGTCAATTATGAAGTTAGCAAACTTAAATTCTTTTTACAATACTTGACTTGTTGAATACTTAAAGCTAATCATAGGGTTTATAATTTCAGTGGAATGAAAGATGGATATAAAACTTATTGTGGTGAAAGAGGGAGTCAGCTATCAGGAGGTCAAAAACAAAGAATAGCACTAGCTCGTGCAATACTGAAGAACCCCTCAATCCTACTGTTAGACGAGGCAACCAGTGCACTTGATGGTGTATCAGAGAGCCTAGTTCAAGAAGCCCTTGAAAAGATGATGGTGGGTCGAACATGTATTGTCGTGGCACACAGGCTATCCACAATACAGAAATCTGATTCCATTGCTGTGATCAAGGAAGGGAAAGTTGTCGAGCAAGGCTCACATTCTGAGCTACTATCATTGGGACGTGGTGGAGCATACCATTCCCTCGTAAAGCTACAAGACAGCAGCTCTCCTTACCGGTGAAAATGCAGCTGTTGTGTGTTGTGTACCATATTCTATACATCCTGTTTCGGAAATATAAAGGTTGTCTGAGTTTTCTTTTGTTTGTAAATCATAAAAGGAAACTGGCTTAAATTGGGAGAATGAATGCCAAATTCCATTAGCATGGCTATTACTACTTCACAAGATGTGTTTGATCATTGAAACTAATCATTGTATTGTTTTGGATTAATGAATGCCTTTAGCTAGATGATAATATATGACTGTTGCTATGATCATATCTTTATGTGAAGCTTTCTCTTTTTCTTTTTCTATTTTAAGTAAGGGGACATTAATGGTTAGACTATCCTATTCCCAGACTATAATTTGTTTGTTCTTTTTTTTTGTTTTGGGTTTTTAGCTCTTGGGAAAAGACTTGGTTATAGATAGGGATAATCGGTGTATATGTAACTGGGGTTTGGAATTTTGTTCGCTAAAATGGTGTAAAGGTAGCAGCTGGCAAGGGCGTTGGAGTTGCACTTAGCTTGGGCGGACTAGCCCATCATATGTCAGGGTTGCAGGTAGCTCATTAGCTCGGCTTGTGGGGCAGGGGCTAATTTTTAAGGATGGGTAGCCAGAAGGACTAGTCCAATATTCATGCAAAGTGGGGCTCATTTGAGGCCCATTGGTGTTGGCCTGTTAAGGGCTTGTTAATGCTGACTTGCTGGGCAGGCTGTGGGTCTAGCTCGGTCTGTTGACCAATCAAATTCCAAGTAGTTCCACCCATGACAATTGTTGGGCCTGAAAAGTCTGGGCCAAACTGGCCCAACCCTTCCCGTTGCTAACCCCTTAGGTTAGCTCAATGGCATTGGACTGGTGGACAATTACCTATCCTTCAAATTAAGTTCGTATAACATAATGTTTTTGTTATAAGTGATTTGCTAAGATAGCCGAGCTAACAGATGTGTTAATTTATTATTGGGACCTAAAAAATTGATCTAATTTATTAGTATAATGATATATCAAGTAATAAAATTCCAATAAAAAAATCCAACAATTGTAGTTACAATAATACTATTGAACAGAATGAAAGCAATCATAGCCGTATGAATATTCCGCCACACTAGAGAAACAATGTAATAAAACTTGGCTGGACACCAATGGTAAACCATGGAAGGTAGGCAAAACTTATCAATACTAGTTTGGAGTTATAGAAACCAACATCCATTGCATGACCAATTCTATCATAATTCATGTTCAAGAAATAGTAAACGATGGAGACCTTTTTTTTTTTTTTTTTTTTGGGTATTGCAATCAAAAGAATTCGGGTTAACTTAAGCACATATCGATTAATCTTCTCCCTTGTTCGGTTAAAGACAAATCATCCATGTTGAGACTATATAATTCATAAAGGATAAATCTCTGGTCCTAACTCCTAAGAGACTTATTTAATTTTGAATTTAAAATGGTTAAGGTTATAATTCATCCTTATCTCTACTATGCTATATTTTAGAGCAAAATTGCCAATGCATACTAGTTTGGAATTATGGAAAACATCATCCATTGCATGACCAGTTCGAACAAAACAGCTGCCGACTAATTTAGAAGTGCAACAAATCACTCCATATTCCAAAGACAATGAAGCCGTCTAAAGGAATCGATCAATACTTGTTATAAAAGCAATCGAAGTGCATATAGATGAAGATGTAGTGAAGATTATTGAATTTTCGAAACTAGTGAACGTGAAAATAGTCTTTTTGCATTCAAAATAAGATTACATACATCTAATACTTCTCAAAATTAGTTAGTCGTTTTGAAGGTGGGCATAGGAAATGGTGTGTGCAAATGGCATGTTTCGTTATACTGACGGAGTGGACAAGTTGTTGATGTTTTTGGGGACTTTTGGTAGCATTGGGGATGGGTTGCGGTTCCCTCTCATGATGTTCATTCTTAGCGATGTGATCAACGCCTATGGAAATCTCAATGACACCATCTCTACTCGTTCTGTGAACAAGGCAAGGACAAAGATAATGCTATACTTCCACCTCGATACTGTACCAAAATTCATTTCTAATCGTTGATTTTGGTTTGAATGATTGACGAATCATTAATTGAAAAAAATAATAAAATAATAAAATTTTATACACTTGATGAGTTTTTATTAGATGAAAAGTAGAGAAATGATATCGAGAAATTATTTTTCAATACCGTAGTCACGAAAATAGATAGTTGTATATATGCAAACTAGAGACTTCTATATATGCAAACTATATTAACACGCTATACATTGTTGTTTGTGAATTTTTTTACCTTGCAGTACGCACTGAGGTTGCTATATGTTGCAATTGGAGTTGGATTATCTGCATTTATTGGTACAAAAACACTTGCATATATCTTCAATACATAATTTCTCAAATTTCAGTTCTTATTTAAAGAGGTTAGCGGTTGAACTAATGACCACCGCTCTTGAACCTCGTTATCTCCCTCCCTGTAATAGCATTCGAATTTCAATGTTTTTTTTTTTTGTGGTGCTTTTTGGGTGCCCGTTATTTTTGCAGAAGGACTGTGTTGGGCAAGAACAGCTGAGAGACAAACTTCTCGAATGAGATTGGAGTACCTAAAATCTGTGCTAAGGCAAGAAGTTGGTTTCTTTGACACTCAAGCAAATGATTCTTCCATTACTTACCAAGTTATTTCAACCATTTCCTCCGATTCCTCTACCATCCAAGTCACCATAGGCGAGAAGGTTTTGATTTCTCTGACCTTTTTTCTTTTTTGTTGTTCCTTAAAATGTGACAAAAGCAAATAAAACATAAAGTAATTGTTGGTTCTTCACGTCAGTGATCATGTACAAATGTGGGATTTGACTTGGGTCCAAAAGAGTTATGGTACCCAAGTTTACGATTTTTGTGGACTAAGATTCAAGTTTTTGGGTTCTCCTTACGACAAAAAACAGTTGGAATCGATCAAAAAAATATATACCCTTTTGGACTCATGTTACAACTTTTTGGGTTCAGATTACAATTTTTTGAGATTTTTGTGATCGATACTAAGAATTTAGAATCGATTCTAAAAAAAGTTGGTATCAAGATTTCTTTGGGTACCATAGAATTCTCCATTTACTAGCATGATGAGTAAGAAGCACTAGAAACCTTTTCGAGATTAGCGCATTATAATCCCAAAGGGTAACTTAATTAGTAACAGAGACAAATTGTAAATTCAAATATCATGAATTCGAATTTTGACAATCTTTTGAAGAGGTTAGGCCTTGGGGGATTTATCCCTTATGAATACCCTAATCCTAGCATGGATAGTCTGTCTTTGATTGAACCGGAGAGGAGATTAGTCAACATGCACGTTCGTTGGTCTGAACACCCTTAATCGTTGAAACAAAAAAACAGAAAAAATTAGCGCACTACCAGCCTCCATGACTTGAACAAAAAAAGACTATAACTGAAGTCTAAATTTTCCTCAGAAAGATAATCTAGAAAGAAAACACTAATTGATTTTATTTTGTAAACACTCTCTCCTGTCTTAATTCTTCCCTCAGCCAGTTTCTAGTGGCTAAATTAACTGCAAAAACTTCATTAGACACATTGTTTTTCTTCTCTAATTCTTCATCTTTTCGATATAACTGAAATCTAGTTGTTTTTTGAATGTAGATACCTGATTGCCTTGCTTGCATGTCATCCTTCTTCTTCTGCCTCATATTTGCCTTCGTACTATCGTGGAGGCTCTCATTGGCTGCTCTTCCCTTCACTGTACTGTTCCTCGCCCCGGGCCTTGGATTTGGAACACTGATGATGAATGTAGGAATGAGGATGATTAAATCTTATGCAGTTGCTGGTGGGATTGCAGAACAAGCAATTTCTTCAATAAGAATTGTGTATTCCTATGTTGGAGAGCGCCGTACCCTTGATAGGTTCGGCCATGCCCTTCAAAAGACAATGGAACTAGGAATAAAGCAAGGTTTTGCAAAAGGATTAATGATGGGAAGCATGGGCATTGTATATCTTAGCTGGTCCTTTCAGGCTTGGTTTGGGGCAATTCTAGTTTCCGAAAAAGGAGAAAGGGGTGGCCATATTATTGTATCAGGGTTTAATGTCCTCATGGCAGGATTGTGAGTATTTTCTTCTTAGACTTGTGCCTTGATAGGTTTCTTACCCTAATTTCGTTTCGAAACTCACTGTTTCAGTTTTGCAGCAATATTCTGACGGCGCTACCAAATCTTATTGCCATCTCAGAGGCAAAGGCTGCTGCTACGCGTATGACAGAGATGATTGATCGGCTTCCAACCATAGACTCCGAAGAGAGAAAAGGGAAGGCTTTATCATACGTGAGGGGAGAAATTGAATTTAAAGACGTTTATTTTAGTTACCCATCAAGGCCTGGTACGCCAATTTTGAAAGGTTTAAATCTTAGAGTACCATTTGGCAGAACTGTGGGTCTTGTTGGAGGCAGTGGTTCTGGGAAATCAACGATAATTTCATTGCTTCAAAGATTTTATGACCCTATTGAAGGTGAAATTCTCTTGGATGGATACAAGACAAAGAGACTTCATCTTAAATGGTTGAGATCCCAAATGGGTCTGGTCAATCAAGAACCAGTCTTGTTTGCAACATCCATAAAAGAGAACATACTATTTGGGAAGGAAGGAGCATCAATGGAAGACGCGGAGAGAGCAGCGAAGGCTGCAAATGCACACAACTTCATTGCTGAGTTACCAGATGGATATGAAACTCAAGTAAGTTACCTTATACCTCCATAACATGTGTTTTTGTCTCTAGGATGGGGTTAATTTAGAAGCATCAAGGAAGAACTAATCGTAGCTGTTTAACATATGATTTTTTTTCTTCCTTTGGATTCTCTAGGTAGGGCAATTCGGAGTTCAATTGTCTGGAGGCCAAAAACAAAGAATAGCTATAGCAAGGGCTTTAATAAGGAACCCAAAAATCTTGCTACTTGATGAAGCTACAAGCGCTCTAGATGCAGAGTCTGAAAGAATTGTACAGGAAACCATTGATCAGGCATCGGTAGGGAGGACAACAATTGTCATAGCCCATCGTCTCTCAACAATTAGAATGGCTAATCTGATAGTGGTTCTACGTTCAGGAAGAGCGGTAGAATCAGGTTCACATGATGAATTGATGCAAATGTACGGTGGGCAAGGTGGCGAATACTTCCAAATGGTGCAGCTGCAGCAATCAACAGTTCCAAGTAAAGTTGAAAGTAATTTCAATCATCAAGTCCATAGAAGAAATCATTACAAAACGAGAGTTCCATCGAGCCCATCGAGTGTAAGGTCAAGTGCACAAAGCACACCAGCATTGTCTGCATTAAGCGAAGTATTTTCCAGTAGTGTTCCCTTCTCTGCTTCCTACTCTGTTCCATTCTCTGTCATATATGATGAATCTTATGAAAGTGACGAAGATGGTTCTAAGCATACTTCTTATCCTGCTTCATCCCAGTGGCGTTTGTTGAAAATGAATGCGCCTGAGTTAGGAAGAGCCTTGCTTGGATGCTTAGGGGCTATAGGGTCTGGAACAGTTCAACCAATAAATGCCTACTACGTGGGAGCACTTATATCAGTTTATTTCCACAGTGACAAATCCTTTATCAGATCTAACGCCAGAATCTACTCTTATGTTTTTGCGGGCCTTGGAGTTTTCAACTTCGTTACCTGTCTCCTCCAACACCACAATTTTTCAATCATGGGAGAAAAGTTAACTAGAAGAGTACAGGAGAAACTGCTTGAAAAGCTGATGACTTTTGAGATTGGGTGGTTTGATCAAGATAAGAATACAAGTGCAGCCATTTGTGCTCGTTTATCAACCAAAGCTAACATGGTTCGCTCCCTTGTTGGGGACCGTATGTCATTGTTGGCTCAAGCATTCTTTGGGGCTATCTTTGCTAATGCACTTGGACTTGTACTTACATGGAGGCTAACCTTGGTGATGATAACAACACAACCATTACTTATCGGAAGCTTTTATTTTAGGAGTGTTTTGATGAAGAGAATGTCCGAAAAATCTCAAAAAGCACAAAAGGAAGGAAGCCAATTAGCAAGTGAAGCTGTCATCAACCATAGAACTATAACAGCCTTTTCTTCTCAGAAGAGAATTATGGAACTTTTTAATGCCACCTTGGAAGGCCCGAGGAAGGAGAGTATTCGACAATCCTGGTTTGCCGGTTGTGGCCTGTTTAGCTCCCAATTTGTAGCCACAGCTTCTACGGCTTTAACTTACTGGTATGGGGGCAAGCTATTATCACAAGGATTAATAACTCCAGAACGACTCTTTCAAGCATTTTTGGTATTGCTATTCACTTCTTATACCATTGCCGAGGCAGGAAACATGACTAAAGATTTATCTCGAGGAAGCACCGTCATCAGTTCAGTTTTTGCAATTATTGATAGGAGCAGTAAGATCATCCAGAAAACTCAGAGGGATTTGATGCTTCAAAAACAGATATTAAGGGTCGTGTACAGCTGAAAAATGTGTTCTTTGCTTATCCATCAAGACCTGATCAGCTGATCTTTAAGGGTCTGAGCCTTAAAATAGCAGCAGGAACAACAGTAGCATTGGTCGGGCCGAGTGGTTCTGGCAAATCTACCATTATTGGACTCATTGAAAGGTTTTATGACCCAATAAGAGGATCAATATATATTGATGAACGGGACGTCAAGGATTATAATTTGAGAACCTTGAGATCACATATTGCATTAGTCAGTCAAGAACCTACTCTCTTTGCAGGAACTATCAATGACAACATAGCCTATGGGACAGAGAACGCTAAGAACTCTGAGATAAGGAAGGCTGCAAAACTTGCCAATGCACATGAATTTATAAGGTATGAACTCAATTATGAAAGGTGCAAATTAGGATAGCACTATGTACCCGAAAAAATCCAGTATCGTATGGAAAGTTGCTATTTCTGAGGTTCATGTCATATTTTTTAGTCTAACCATATGATGGTTGTTTAATGGCAGTGGAATGAAAGATGGGTACGAGACTTATTGTGGTGAAAGAGGGACTCAGCTATCAGGAGGTCAAAAACAAAGAATAGCACTAGCTCGAGCAATACTAAAGAACCCCTCAATCCTGCTGTTGGACGAGGCAACCAGTGCACTTGACAGTGTATCAGAGAGGTTAGTTCAAGAAACTCTTGAGAAGATGATGGTTGGTCGAACATGTATCGTCGTGGCGCACCGGCTATCCACGATACAAAAGTCCGATTCCATCGCCGTGATCAAAGAAGGGAAAGTTGCGGAGCAAGGCTCACATTCTGAGCTACTGTCCTTGGGAGGCGGTGGAGCATACTACTCCCTTGTAAAGCTACAAGGCAACAACTCCCTTTCAAAATGAAGCTCTTGTTTGTACATTTTTTTTTTTGTGTGTGTGTGCGCGTGCGCGCCCCAGTATTATATGTTGCCTGTTTTTCTCTCTCTTTTTTTTTTTTTAAAAAAACTAGTGGGTGTTTAGGAGGATTGTATTTAGTAATAAAGACTATCCCAACATCCAATTGGTACTATTGTTCAATGAAAAATGACCAAACTCGTGCATTTACAAAGAACAGACTTGAAAGCAAAGGGATAAGGCTTTAGGTAAGGTCTAATCTTTCTCAGAAATTAACGGAATGTGTGGCAAGGTTAGGGTGAAGTAGTCAAGTTTCAACTAAATACGATTGTAAAGGATAGAGCCCTATTAAATTGCATAATAATGAATTTTTTTAAGATGGAAATGTGCCTTATTTGGCATAAATGTGTGAAAAATGATACAAAGAAACACTTTGGTAGTATTGAAAACAATTAAAGTAATGTTATTGACACATAAAAAAGTTGACCTAATTTGTTGAAAATCGAGACTTTGGACAAAAAAAAAAACAAATGGGGACAAATTGTAATTCTACCAATCTTGCATTAAAAATCTTCCTCAAAATAAAAATTAATATTTCATTCCACATAGAAAAAATCTCAATAATAGTGATGCAATACAATGAAGAACAAGATTAAAATCTACAACAACAACACAAAGGCACTTAAAATAACAGAGAGTACCACCCGCGCATGATAGCAATCAAGCTCCGGTGCGCCGGACTTGAGTCTAATGCCCTTCTTCTTCTTCAATTTGTCACCGGTGCCGTCGACCTCCACATTAGCCTTCAGATCCAACTTGTGTCTCTTGGTCTTAAACCCAATGATCCTGAATCTCACCGCCGTGACCAAATCCACCCTGAAAACCGCCAATGACCCATTTGAAACCGCCTTGAGAGCCTCATCCCACGGCACTCCGCGAGTATCCAGCAGATATTTCCGGTGAGTGTTCTTCCCGTGGCCCTGGTAAAACCCATGCACTGTGTAATTCCCTATGAGAAAACTAACGTTCGGACCGTAATAGAAGGTGAGGTTGACTGCATCGTAGTGAACCCCCTTATCTTTGTTCGTGTTGTCGAGCTTAAGGTCGAAGAAGATGGTGTGGTTTGTAGTGGAATTCAAGGTTTTGTTAAGGGCAGGGACGTAGAAGTTTTGGATGGAGCATTTGGGGTTTGAAGTACGTAAGCTTAGCCATAAGAAGAGAGCTGTTAGACCGGAGGTTAATATGAAGCTGCAACAGCACCGGCAACATCCGCCGCCGTCGGAATCTGACATCGTGGGATGGAAAGTGGTGCTTTCCGGCGAGTAACAGAAAACAACTGGTTCTTACCTTGAGTATGGATCAAGAATTATTGTAATGGATCTTCTTTTTATAAAGAAGTGATGTTCCTTTTATTGACCATGTTGGGCCTTCTTTCTCTTTTTTTTTTTTTTTTTTTTTGCTTTTGGGAAACGAGTGGCGAACGTGTGTGGGAGGTGCCTATGTCAGCTTCAGTGAAATAACCAGGTTAGAGCAATGGTGGTGGTGGTGGACTTCTCCGTTGACTGGGGACTATACAAGTGCGTGAATTTTAAGACAAAGCATATAAACATAATTAAATGATAGATTCTAAATAACTCCTATTCTATTTCGAATATAGATTTTATTAATTACATGTGCGAAAGTGCCCGAGAGCGTCCAAGAAAAACGCGGCATATTGTTAGAAATGTCCGTGTTTTATCAGATAATGAATAATTATCCTAAATATTTATACAAAAAGTTATTAAATAGTTTTAATATAAGTAAAAAATAATTATACAAGACTAAAATAATCTTATTCAATACGTATTAGAAAGAAAAAGAATATGAAAGGCACTTAACCTCTACCTAATCTAATACATTAAAAAATTAAAGATAAATTTAGAAAAAAAAATATTAATTATATTTTGATTTCATTAAACGAAAAATAGAACAAAAAAAATTGTATAAAACGACACACATTTAGGAATAGAGAGAATAATATCTTGCAATAACATAATGACCCTAAATCACAACTTACTAGGCATACCAAGTGCAGAACTTCCAAAATAACAACAAAAAGAACAATTAAATGATTTTTTTGTGTGTTTAAGGCTAATAATTGAGTCAAACTATTCGAACTCAGCCCAAATTCAACTCACTTAACTCATGTTCTAAAAGAGACTAATTTGAATAATTTTTTAAACTCTTTTAAAAAAACGAACCAAAGATACTCGACTCAAGTTCGTAAAATTCAATTTCAATTTCAATTTGTTTACATGTAGAATAATCAAATTATTCCGGGCTCGGGTCAGATTCAACTTATTTTTTAAACAAGTCAGAGCTTAAACAACTTTTTAGACTTGTTTAGACAAACGAGTTCAACTCAAGCTCACAAACTTCGGCTCCGATTATCAGCCCTATGAGTGTTCAAATAGCAACTCAATGATTTAAACTCCCAAATAACGTGCTTATGAGAAATTGCCAAAAAGAATGCTTAATCTAGAAGAAGATGAAAAAAGCTGTACCATTATACGATTAAAGGGAGGCTGGAAGATAGGAGATGTTATCATCAACTACAAAATTCATGGAAATTAAAGATTGTATATGCATGATATCTAAATAACGAATTACTCGTCATCTTTGTATGGGTACTCCTCGGGAACTTGCTTCACAAGTTTCAGCTGCAACTCAAATGCATCATCCCCTCTTAACATATCACGTATCCATGTCACTTCAGTCTTCATTGACACCTGAAAAATAGCAAGGAAAAACTTCAGATGTAATCTAGAGTAACAGTAATACTTAGCGGCCAAGTGTGAGTAAGAAATCATTTGTACAATCCGGCTATGCTCAAGACATATGATCTAATACGCCAAAGACAAAGTTAAAAATTAATATGATTTGTTCCTAAATCCTTTTGATAACGTGTTTCAATGGATTAGCATCATTCCTTAGAAAATCAAATCTTTAGAGTAACACTCTCATGCAAAAATCAACATAATTTATTAGTTTCATTAAAATGTTTTACTTGGAGGAAACAAGGATATAGCAATGTATTGCTCGATCATTCTAATGGATAGTTAATTATCAATCATCATACAACGGTCTCGTCAACGCTTATTGCTATAAAAAGCCAAAAGAAATTCTCAGACTTTTTTAACAAGTTACCTTACATACTTAACACACATCTTAGAGCAAAACAGCTAAGGGAGGCTTTGAACAGCAACCCAGTTGTCTGTCAGGCATCCTCTCCATCACCAACAATGCTCCAGCCATTCAGTCCTAATATGCATGTATATGCACATGATCTAATGATGGTTCAAAGAGGAAAATGGATGCATATCTAACCTACAACTTTATAAGCATGATCTGGTTACCCTCAAGTCCCTAAAAAAGATTCAACAAATAAAATAGACTTGCCCCAATTTGTCAATATCTGGTTTTCTTCTCTGCTCGCTTCTTTTATCCCGATTTTGTATCTTGTTACGTAAATATGCATATAAATATTTCAATGAAATGCCACATATTGAACAACCATTTTCAAGAATGTGAGCCAAACAACTGAATTATACTTCCCAAATAAGAGGTTTTGCAGAGAAAACAAATTTTATGCCAGATAAAACAAAAAAGGAAATCAAGGCAGAGGGAGCAATGAAGCAAAAAAAAAGATGCTTTGTAAAGCACAGGACCATGCTGCTTTCTTTCATTAAAACACAGGAATGATGACAATTATTTTATTTTTTGTATTCTTTAACCTTGAAGCAGTGACAACAACAGTTGCTTATTCCAAAATCTAGATATCTCATTTCACATATGCAAAAAAGTGAAGGTTCAAAGATTTTGAGAGAGACTCAACCAGCCATTTTTACAAGTAAGACAGCCAACTTCCTCATTGGTGGAATCATCTCTGCTGGTACAAATCTCAATCATGCTTAGCAAAAAAACAAATGCACTGCACAGACTTCAATTTTCTCATAACAAATAACGAAAGCCCAATCTAAAAAATGCGATGTACCAAAAGGCCAAAATTATGGCACCAACTATTATAATTAGGTGCTTCATCCAAAAGGTAGTGTAACCACAAGGTATCCACAGAAGTGATAACATAGGAGAAATCTCACCATCTCCAATGCTCCTCTGATAACACCACTTAAGATGTTGCAGTAGTACAGACCTTGGCAAGTATCAGGAAGCTCAACAAAGTCTACCAGTGGGTTATCCTCCAATATAAGACTGCAACATGTTCCATCAGCATCCCAGTTGGTCACAGATGCAGCGACTCCCAAGAACATTTTTAAACCAACCTGTTACAAGTATTGCCAAAGACTGGATAAATGAAACCTAGTACTTGAAAGAGACTTAAACAACTATTGTAAGGATATGACATAATACAATTCAGCATTTCATAACAAACTTTACATTTCAATCTGAAACATGTGGAAAGTATGACCTGCTTTTATGACTTCAGCAAAAGATATCTTGGGCTAACTCCTTCATAAGGCTGTTATTATGTTGTTAGTAGACAGTTGTGGACTGGGATATAACAGTCGGTGTTGCCTTTTGATAAAAGTTGTGTAAAATATTCAAAATTCTGTTTATCCCATATCTATGCTTCTTGATGCTTAAACAGTATACTGGCAGTTGAGTGTTTTTAGGGGATTTAAATTTTTTACTTCGAAAATAAAGATTACCTAATTCATTTGCCAAACCATTTTCACTATGCGGATAGTTATCCATCAGTTTGGCGTGGGCTCTAAAATTATCTACTCCACAATCTACAAATTTTGTACGTAGGTGTTTGTTCATTATGTTTGAACCTGGAAATTGCTTCCATGGATGACTCAAGGATGCCATGCCCCAACCAACAACCATAACAAAAGAGAATAAGAGAAAATATTTCTTGTCAAATACCATCAAGGTTGTCACCTGTGTCCACCATTATCCAACATTCAAGTGGATACTTATAAAACCTAAACTTCCAGAAATTTTTAAAAAAATGATAATCAATAAATTCGGTCGAAGTACAAGCATGTTATGCTTCTTTACCCACCACTTTACCATTATTTTTACTTTACTTTCCCAGGTTCTTCAGGTGCCATCAATTTTCCGATAACAGCAACTATTCACACATGACAAGTAAAAACACTTTAATAAAAAAGTAAATCAAGAGTTACATTGGGAAAAGTGATGTAGGACATGATCAGCAATGACTTTCTACAGAGGATAAGTCCATAGTGTGTATCATTATGATATGTAGCAGCAAACTATTACGTTACAATCTTAAGGGGGTGATTGCTTAAACTTGGTAACCAGAAAATGGTCTCATTAGCATCTCAGTTACACACAGATTGGAGCAAATCTAGAGTAACCTAGCTACGATATACCTCAGTTTTAGAGAGAAGCATAAAATGGAGAACAACAAAAATTTCACTTCTTCCGTAGAACAAGTGATTTATCTTTCTTTACTTTCTCACATATTTTTAACTTTTGCTTTATTCTTTGTCGGGTAATTTATTTTTCTAAAGAAAATCCGTGAGGCTTGTAGTAAAATTATAAGACTATGAATACTCTAATCATTACATGTGCCAAGTTCCAGCCAATCGAGATCAAGCCATCACTCGTACTGATATATCAAAGCAATGTCAATCACAAAAAGCATCTGTGTGGCATGGATATTTCCTCATGGGTTAATATTTTCATGTAAAGCCCATTTTGCATTATTTTTGGGGATAATATCAGTATCTAACACTACTATTATCTAACATCTAACATAAAAGAAGTGTCTGACAACGAAAAACAGTAAACACGTTCCTTGTTCGCAAAAGTTTCCTGGAATACATTCTCAAAGTTGCAATCCATCATGTGAAGAACCCAAGCCATATCCTTTGACTTGGGAAAACAAATCGGACATCTGGACACAAAAGAATTCTTCCACAGCGAGATGGAACTAATTACAGGCAACGGTAACCCTTTGAGACAATTCAGTACCTTTTTAAGTCAGTTGATGCAGCAACGAGCTAATCACAAACAAAACCCTGGTATGAACCAAAACTATATGTGATAATTTGGCCCCAAAACAGATGGCCCATTTCTACGTCCATAAAGAATATTAACTAACTAATTTGGATAATTCGCATGAGATTATATTCCCAAAAGTTTGAATCAACATTATTAACCAAAGACTAACTCTACCAATAAAATACCTTGGCAATGACTTCGGCAGTTTCCTTGAAGTCCACACACCTAGAGACATTGGATTTTGCGAGGAATTCATCAATTAGCCGAATTCCGATGTTATAGCCCCTACAATAAATAGAATGAGATAGTCCAGTCCACATTATCATAGTTTAGGGATTGAATTATAACAATTGTATACACATAGATAGAGAGAAAGTAAAAAATACATTTGATCGAGCTGTTTATTAACTTCCTCAACCTCCTCTAAATCCGTAAGCAATTGACGCACGATCGCACCATACGTTAGAGTGAAAAGCTCGGCATTCTGTCAAGAGTTAATTGCCCAAGTCAACATCAAAATCAAATATAGTTTGAATCTAAACAGTTCATCAGTGATTGCGGAGAAACCGTTGGCATAACGTAAATGTAAGACTTGGAATCTCTCAATACAATACAAAAATCAAATTCTTCTGTGGAATCGAACAGAAAATTAAGGTGATCCGATAGAAACATCAACGAAAACTATTTAAGGCAGAAGTTCCCAACTTACGACGCGCTCAACGTTGGCAAAAATGGCATCGCCGGATCTGGGAGCGAGAGGAGGCATGGAATTCCTTTGAGATATCAACTCAAACCCTGGTTGTTTGATGCTTCGACGATGAGCTTCAGTTTATTCACAGTGTTTGCAGTGCTGGTGTACAAAATGCGTCGGGTTAGGTCGGAGTGTGTTTGGGTTTGTTATTACATTTGTGGTTCACTAGCAAAGCAGCACGTGAGAACGATTGATAGAATATATAAAATTTTAATTATATAGTTCAATTATATATTATTTCATATTTATTATATTTAAATTATTTGTATTGTAGATGAAGAGAAAAAAAAAATATATATATATATATATAAATATATCAATTTTTTGGCACTAGAAATAATATTATATCAACAAAATTATCAATGTGTATTAATATTGCGATTTTTTAAAAAAAATAATAATATTTTTATATATCTTGTTAAGAGTAACATGGTGATCTAAAAGTTTTGTAAATATAGAAATTTACATGATATACTAGAAGTTAGTTTATTATTTAAGTACAGAGGGATATAATGATAATTTGTATATTTAAATATAAAATGACATGCTAGCTTTTATAGTTTTTTATAAAGGTAAAATAGTGAAACAAATGTTTTTCATGTAAGATATTTTTCTTAGTAGTATAGATATAGATATAGATACAGATACAGATAAAACATATAATTACTTTAGGTAAATATCATATATCTTTAAATTTTGTATCTAGTTTTATTTTAGTCATTGAACTTTCAATTATATTAATTTAATTCTTTAATTATCAAATTTATCTCGCTAAAGTTCTTCTATCCATCTTCATTGTTATATAAAATAGAAACATACGATTTAAGACTAAAAATTGTTCAAATTATGCTAGTCTCTGTTTGATCTTGAACATAGAGAAAAAGACTGAATTGAAAAAAAAATGATAGTTGAAAGACTAAAATATAGTAATTAAAAGTACAGAGACTAAATTTAAACAAAAGACAAAACTTAGAGATTAATTATGATATTTACCTAATTACTTTTGTTACTTTTTTAGTTATGAATATTTCTCACCAATAAAAAAAATGGTATAAACATTTACAAAATGAGTTTATCATCTTCTTCTTATTTTTTTAATTGAACAATGGGTTTATCTTCAAATGTGCTAAATTAACAGTTCCAAGCATTGTTCCATTAAACAAGGGATTTTTTTGGCTTTTAAGAAAAAAAAATGATTTATTTAATTTAAACAAATATGTATGCAAGATTGGTTGTTTGTAAATAGAAGTACATTTTTTCAAACAACTCCAACACTGAATAATGTGACATTTAATTGAGGAATCTCTTTTGAATATTGTTATATTCAATATTTGTACAATTAGCAGTCTAGATGAAAAATAAGCAAATTGATAAAATAAGCGCAAAGAGTACGAATATTTTTTTGTATTCAAGCATGTTCCTAATTGCTCGGACTCTTATTGTAATATAAGCCTTGAAAGTATTCAAAGTTAGGCGATTAGCACGAATTCCTTTAAATGAATTCATATAATTTAGTGGAAAAACTTTAAAATCCCTTAAAAAAAATGCACCGAGTGTCGTATCTAATTAAGTAGTTTTAGAAGTATATACAACTTGTAACGAGGGGTCTTAATATTTAAAAAAAAAGGATAATTAGATAATGTAATTAAGATCGTACCAAAAAAAAAGTAATTAAGATCATACATCACCCTAGGTGTCATGATCTAAACTTCTGTGTCGTTCACCCAGACCTGTACAGACATGAGGCATTTTGCGGGGTTGTTGAACACAAATTAAGGAGAAAACAAAAACATGGCTTCCTTCGGCCTCGGGGCGCCCTTCTTAGTCAGGAGGTTCATACTCTTGCTAGTTTCTCTCATCTCTTGCTTCATCTGAATCTCCTAGAATTTCACCCAACAATCGTCTGTAATTGTCGATGATAGAACTATAAGTATGATGACGTGTATCTCGATGTTAATCTCGCATCAATACTAATTTTGAGCCTTTGTGTACCTGGTTAGTCCAGGCTCAACCATCTTCTCAAGTCCCACAATTTTGCTACAAGACTCGTAGAAGTCCCAAATTTCTCATAAAACCCTACCACCAATTTGTCTGTGGCATCACAAATTACTCCTCCCTGCTCCTGCTGGCCATTGGTTTTCATGGACTGAATATAGGACTGTTAATCAAATTAAACTACTCGAATTTGGCTCGAGTTCTATTCGAGCTTGTTTCGAGTTCGGCTCGGTCAAATTTAGTTTGTTTTCTAAATGAATCTGAACTTGAACAAGTTTTTATACTTGTTTAAAAAATAAATCCTACAATCTTAGTTTAAATTCGACAAATTCAACTCATGTATATACAACTACTCAAATTTTGGTCAGATTCAATTTACTTTAAACTCTTCAACTTCGACTCATTTCTTAAACAAGTTAGGGTTGAACAAATCTTCTAACCTCAATTCAAATTTGACTGGGATCCTTGGACTAACAGCCCTAGCCGCTGTATCGGTGTTCAAGTTGACGAGTGGCGACCTGATTTAACTAGTGAGCTAATGAAATTATCCTACATATACGGTATATTATTAAATGATTTTTGTGAGGGGCACCGATGGATGGCTTTCCGGCATTAGCGACAGTAAAGAAGGACGCACGACGTGACAAGAATTTATAGATTTTTTTTGCCGACAAATGTTTACGTCTTTGTCAGGAAGTATTGACTCCGTCAAATTCGTCGTCCTCTGAAAGGCTAAATTTAACTCCGTTAGTTCAACACTTGCCAATGCGAATGAATAGGGTCAATTTTACTCACACCCCCTAAGTTTAAGTCATATTTTATCGACACCGCATTTAGTTTCTGAAAATATTATTGCACACTCCTTTAATTTATATACGCACTTCACAAATTATCCCTACCATCTATGTCGTTACTGACAAGTAGAAAAAAAAAACTTATGATGTGATGATTTCTTGTTTTTTTGAGTTACCATGTTTAACCTTAGCCATACAAAACAAGAACTAACAAAAAATAAGTATTGTTTGAAAATTAAAGTAGTGGGCAATGTCCCTTTGGTATTAATTTAAAAACAAATATTAAATTGATGATATTAGTTGCTAAATTCATAAAATTGAATGTTAATTAGATAAAATAAAATATTTATTTGATAAAAAGTTAAATTTGGTGTTAAATTCAAGAAATGATATTAATTTAGTAAAATTAAATATTTAATTAGTAAATTTGAGTGTTAATATGATAAATTTGAATGTTGATTTGAGATTAAATTAAAGAATGATGGTACTTTAAAAAATTGAATGTTAAATTGATGAAATTAAATATAAATATGACATAATCAAAAGATTTTTTTGGTGTTAATTTGATGAAATTTAAATTATAAATTTGATAAAATTGAATATTATTTTAGTGTTCATTAGACAAAATTGAATATCAATTTGATAAGATTTAATATTAATTTGATAACATTTAAGCTCAACTTCACATACTTTAGTATTATTTTGATGAAATTTAATATTGATTTGATAAAATTGAATATTAAATTAATATTTAATTTAATGTTAATTTGATTAAATTGAGTATTTAATTTTTCATGAAGTGTAATGTGGATTTAATAAAAGTGAATGTTAATTTGGTGAAATCAAATATTAATTTTCTATTTGTTTAATAATATTGAAAGTTCATTGATGAATTTAATGATAATTTAATGAATGTGAATCTTAATTTGATAAAATTTATAGTTAATTTGATGAAATTGAATATTAATTTGATGTTAGTTTGATAAAATTAAACATTAATTGAATAAAATTGAACATTAAATTTGTATTAATTATATGAAATTATGTTAATAATTGTAATATGCGAAATGAATATTTAAACTCCTCTCGTAAAAAAAATTGTGACCATGTTTAAGTTAGGGCATAACTTGGGATACAATTTAAAATAAAATAAAAATATAATGGTAAATTTGAATATCACTCTTATAATGGTAAATTTTATAAAATCACGTTCTCTGTGAAGTCTTAACAATAAAATTTGATGTGGGCATATAATAATATTTTAGAAATTAGAGGGTGTGTTAATAAAATATGACTTAAATATACGAAATTGTTGTTGAAATTTACCCAATTAATTTTTTTTTTTTTTGATCAGCACCCATTGAATAAGGACCGCAGACTTTGCTTACCAAGTCACCCACTCGAAATCTCATACGACACCGTTCCGTAACGCGTCTCCCGACCTTCCACTTCTTTTCTCAATAATCAAATACAATTTGATTTAATGAGTACAATAACTAAAAATAATGATTAATCATTAAAATTCTTGTATCTGTGGTAGGATTACCAAAAAAAAAAGAGAGGATAGAAATAAAACACTACGGTTTCGTTTGGTAACGATTTGGTTTTCAATTTTTCTGTTTTTGTTTTTAATTTTTTAGAAAATTTAAAATTTAACCTCGTTTGGTAACTATTTTAATTTTTTTATAAATTAAAATCGATTTCAAATTTGCCTCAGATTTTGAAAACGACAAAAAAGTCGTTTCCAAAAAAAATAAAATGAAAACGGGTTGAATTCAATTTAATGAGATCACACCATCAACTCTTGTTAGGAACAAATAAAACCTTTTACCAAAAAACCATCAAACAAAATTATTTAAAACCTCATCTCATCCTCTCTCTGGTCTCATCGTCACTCTCATCTCATCCGAAGCTCTCTCATCTGTAGCTCTCTTTCTCGTCTCATCGTCACCAGGCGTTCAGCAGTTCGTCTTCTCATCTGAAGCTTTCTCACCAGGGTTTGTCCACAATAACTTCATCTCTCTCCCTAAGGTAAATTCTTAGATCTAGGGTTTTCAAAAAAAATTTAGTTTGACCAAAATTTTTTTGTTCGATCCAAAATTTTCTCTTGTGCCGATCTCTGATTTCTTTTGGTGGGTTATCTCTCTTTCTTAGCTCTAATTTTTGGGCTTTGGACTTAATACCAGAAACCCATCTGATTACTCTGTTGAGATCTCCAAACTAGCA